TGCCATTGTCAAAATGCAAAAGAAATGTAACTTTTTGCGCTCCGCGGCTCAAACAATGTTTCACTGATCAAAATTCCCTGAGGTCATATGAAGTTTACATGTGTTGAGATGATGTGGAGCATTTTGAAGTCAAATCTTTGAAAACGGCCGAGGAGGATCTCTTTCCAACTCGACTATGTAAAAAATCATGCTTCATTTTTTGCATTGTCCACTAAATTCATGGGTTTGACCGGATTGTTCAGAAGCTGACCATAATAACTTGTTGTTGTGATGAACAGGAATTTTGTGCCAGCACAAATCTGCGCTACTTATTCTTCCAAAGGACGATTATCAAAATGCAGCTGCATGGATATGAGCATCTTTTGTAATGAATACAAAAATAAAGTCAGTTAAGTAGCAGCTTAAGACAAAATGATTTTTTTTCCTTTTTTTTTCAGATTTCTTTGCATGGTCAATGGCAATAAGGGACAGCAGTGTTTCAGAATGAGAAGTCGTAGCCAAGCTTCTGAAACCTGATGAACTCAAATCTAGTGGATGAATGAATCCATTGCATTGTTCTTTTCATATGACAGTAATCTGTAAGTTTATCTTTGGACAGGCCAATAATGTTTTTATTTTCTATATAATCAAGTTCTAATTTATGCTTCCTCTGCAAAAGTTTTTATCCAATTATCATAAAGGAATTAGGGTATAGTGTATAATATGTATTTGTTTATTTAAATTCCCTTTTTGATAATATTGCACTCAAAGCTGTCGCTGTAGTTTACTAAATTCCCCCCGACTGCAGGACACAGCAACAGCAAAACAACTTATTTTTTGGGGGTGGAGCCCATCTTCCAAAATCTGCCTGCTGAATATAAAATTGTTTAACACATCGTTACCAATAACTATTTGAAACATTTAGTGTATCTTGGTCTGGGTTCATAAAATAATTTTACAGAAAAAACAGTTCAAGCAAAAAAGCACCGCAACCTAAGGAGTACTGTAGGGAATGTGTTAGTGCCCAGAGTCCCAGAACTAAACATGGAGGCTGCTTTTCAGATTCATGCTGCTAAAATCTGGAATATACTTCCTGAAGATGTGAGGGGACAGGCCTCCACTCTGACAACGTTAAAACCAGGTTAAAAACAGTTTCTGTTTTAGCTGTGCATACAACTGGGGGATTTTTATATTTTTATCTTTCTTTATTAATGTTCTTGTGAATTATTTATGATTTTTAATGCTTTCATTGTTCAGCCTTTGAGAGGGCCTTGTTGTTATGAATTGTGCTATACAAATAAAAAACGTTTTGCCTTCGCTTGCCTACATCAACGCCCACATCATACAGGTAATGCCTTTTGTGGTCCGGATCCCTGCATGAAGCAGTGTAGTTAGTGATAAGGAGCTTCAGACCAAAAGCTTCAAAATGCTTTTGACGCGCGTCAGCTGATCCGACGAGTTAATATTTGTGTCATTATGGTGCTTCAACTTTTTGACGCGAGTGACTCCGGTGGGAGGAGCTTCTCTTGTGCCGGTGTAGTCCAGAGAAGATGGCGGATTTCCGAAGAGCAGCTTGCCATTATTTGTTTGTTCAAAATCCAAACAACTCGTCGTAGGGCTTCTACACAACGAGTATGGGTTCAACAGCATACTTCATAGGCGTGCAGTGTTTGGCGAGTTCACACCATTACCCCAGGAGCTGCTATGGACGAGGCTCGCTTTCCCAGTCGGTACTTCCGAATGACAGTAGCCCAGTTTTGATGACCAGCTCACCCGCATCCGGAGCTACTCGCATCGCCGCAGGACACCAGCTACAGCCGCTCGATTCCCGCGGAAGAGCGCCAGTCTATCTGCCTGAGGTTTGTGATAATTTTCCTGATAAAATATCTACAATACTAGTATGCTCATTTTGGTAAAAGTCATTACAATGGACTTGGGTTCAAGCCCACCGCAATACCTACGTTCACACTCCCACTGATGACTGCAAGAAACACTTAACCCCACTTGCCTGAAACTGAAAATCTACATCTATAATACTAACTAACAACAATACTCAATCTATAATTACTAAACAAGAAACTATCAACCTGAAACTTTGCAATGGAGCTGAAGCCATTGCGATTGACTGCGGAACAGATCTAATGTGGAAATCTGCTAAAAAAAATCCTTGAAATCCTTTAAAAGGCCTTGAAACTGTTAAAATACTTGATAGATATTTGAAACTCCTGAAGTCCTTGAAATTGTTGAAACCTTTAAACGCCTGAAATCCTTGAAACTGTTGAAACATTGAAACTCCTGAAATCCTTGAAACTTTTTTAAACCTGGAAACTGTTGAAAGTGTGGAAACTCCTGAAATCCTTGAACCTCCTGATATCCTTGAAACTGGTTAAATTCTTAAACAGTTGAAATCCTTGAAACTACTGAATGTATTGAAAGTGTCCTTGAAACTGAAAAATCCCCTCACCGCTGAAACAATTTGGTTCCTGTAACTAAGGAAACCTGGTCTGTGGTCATTATCTGGTGGTGGTCTGAGTCTTCGTTTGGGTCTTGGTCTGGTGGTATAATGCAACCTATTAGGTTGCATTATACTGGTTTACATGGAAAAATCCCTATTAGGTTGCATTATACTGGTTTACATGGAAAAATCCCTATTAAGTTGCATTATACTGGTTTACATGGAAAAAACCCTATTAAGTTCCATTATACTGGTTTACATGAAAAAAAACCCTATTAAGTTGCATTATACTGGTTTACATGGAAAAATCCCCCATTAAGTTGCATTTATACTGGTTTACATGGAAAAATCCCTATTAACTCATTGGTGTCCCATTGAACGCACAAATACGTCAAAGCAAATAGTAACGTCGTGTGCCATTGACGCATTAATCCGTCAATTGCCTTTTTTGCTATTTTCACGTTCCCAGATGTCTATTGTATCTAATATGATATGGGGATGACTTGAGACCATATTTTATCGAGCCAGCAGGTGGCAGCATTGCTCTCTGAATGGTTTGAAAACATGTAGGTGCACATGTTGTGCTCTTTTTTTCTCAATACCCTATTATGGTGATTTCTGGTGATTTCAGTAAAACTTCCCCTACTCGACGGAGGATTACATTAAGGGGAACGATGAAAAAAGCCTATAAACACAATTTCTTTTTGCTGAGGAAAGTAGACAAGTAGACAGTCCATTCTTTTAGAATCTGGTGTCGGGATTTCAGATAGTCATAGTACACCCAATTATTCTGTGGGTCTTGAAACATCAGTAAAAATCATTAGAAATGGCTGGCACTGGGGGGGAGTTACCTGGTTCTGAAATAGGCTGGCATTCAATGAGTTAAGTTGCATTGTACTGGTTTACATGAAAAAAACCCTATTAAGTTGCATTATACTGTTTACATGAAAAAATCCCTATTAAGTTGCATTATACTGGTTTACATGGAAAAAACCCTATTAAGTTGCATTATACTGGTTTACATGGAAAAAACCCTATTAAGTTGCATGATTACAAAGTCCTGAAACTGTTGAAACCTTGAAACTGTTGAAACCTTGAAACTGTTGAAGTCCTTGAAACTGTTGAAGTCCTTGAAACTGTTGAAAGTCCTTGAAACTGTTGAAACCTTGAAACTGTTGAAACCTTGAAACTGTTGAAGTCCTTGAAACTGTTGAAACCTTGAAACTGTTGAAACCTTGAAACTGTTGAAACCTTGAAACTGTTGAAGTCCTTGAAACTGTTGAAGTCCTTGAAACTGTTGAAACCTTGAAACTGTTGAAACCTTGAAACTGTTGAAATCTTGAAACTGTTGAAACCTTGAAACTGTTGAAGTCCTTGAAACTGTTGAAGTCCTTGAAACTGTTGAAGTCCTTGAAACTGTTGAAGTCCTTGAAACTGTTGAAGTCCTTGAAACTGTTGAAACCTTGAAACTGTTGAAACCTTGAAACTGTTGAAACCTTGAAATTGTTGAAACCTTGAAACTGTGGAAACCTTGAAAATGCTGAAGTCCTTGAAACTGTTGATGTCCTTGAAACTGTTGATGTCCTTGAAACTGTTGATGTCCTTGAAACTGCTGAAGTCCTTGAAACTGCTGAAGTCCTTGAAACTGCTGAAGTCCTTGAAACTGCTGAAGTCCTTGAAACTGCTGAAGTCCTTGAAACTGCTGAAGTCCTTGAAACTGTTGAAGTCCTTGAAACTGCTGAAGTCCTTGAAACTGCTGAAGTCCTTGAAACTGCTGAAGTCCTTGAAACTGTTGAAGTCCTTGAAACTCTTGAAATCTTGAAACTGCTGAAATCCTTGAAACTGTTGAATCCTTGAAACTGTTGAATCATTGAAACTGTAGAAATGTCTGAAAGAGCTGAAGTCCTATTAAAATGCATGGGCCTATTAAAATGCATTGCAGAATTCTCAATGCAAATTAATGGCAGAATTCCCAAGCCCGTAGAAAAAAACTGGAAAACTGCAGAACTCTAATTTTTTCTGAAAACTCACAAGTTGTGGAAGCTGAACATGCACAAACTGCAGAAAATGCTGAAAATGTTGAAGAAAATTCTGAAAACTATGAATTTGTGGAAGCCCCATTATAAGTCAATGGGAAAAATCGACCGATTTTTGTCCGATTGCGGAAGAACCGGAAATCGCTGAAGTCCCAAAAGTAATAGCAATAATCTCCCAAACATGTGGAACGTTTTGAGGTATAACTTGTGGAAATTGTTGAAAATGTGAAAGCTGTGAAACGTGTCAAAAATCAGGAAAAAGACTGAATAAAGAACACCAAAACCAATGGTTGACTGCGGAAGGTTCCGCAGTCAATCAATAATCTACATCTATAATACTAACAACTACAATAATCTACATCTATAATACTAACATCTAAAATAATCTACATCTATAATACTAACATCTACAATAATCTACATCTATAATACTAACATCTACAATAATCTACATGAATGCTGCCTCTAGCAAGTTTCCCTGGATAAAAGCACACAATCAGACAAAGTTTTAGTTTTTACTCGAGAGAAAAATGGCGGCTGCAGCCGACGTATGCCCTGCTCCAGGACCATCTCCGGCTTTTCAGCGGTCAGTGTTTTATTACAAGAAGATTGGTCAGTCCCATTTGGGGACACTTGAGTTATGAGTTCCTTCAACAGAAAAGTACAAATAAGATATGGGACACGCCTAGTATGCAAATAGCGAACACACGCAACAAAAGAATCACTCAACATTTGCTTGCTCTTAGTGATGGGAATAAGAAGCCTAGTGAGGCAATGAGGCATCACAGGTGATTAATATGCTCTAACGCCATCATGTGGACAAAACATGTATAACACTCTTAAGTGCCTAATGATGCATCTGAACCATACGTCTGAACATGGTAGTGTTCCAAATGACGCTTCATTAACTATTTGGGGCTTTCAGTCAATTGTATCAATACAACAAACAAAGAATCTGAAGCGATGCACTTTTTCAAGAAAGTGTTTAATTGAAGAAAAACTCAATTTAAGGTGGATTAATCAAACACAACAAACCCTTTATTTTCCAGGAATAAAATATGTTCACTTTCCCATCACAAAACAAAATAGCTTTCTCCTTTGACACATTCAGCACATTACTACTTGTTTCAGGGATGTTGTTTTCTCTCATTGTGGTGCGGCTTTGCCCGACAGCTACCTTACCAACAATCGCAATGCATCATGGAATACTCCTTCACTCGACGTTGCTTCTAAAGTGTTAGGACACCTTACACCCCCATGGGCAGGAGCAAAATCTAGGGTAAATGAACAAATTAAGGACTAGGGTCTGAATTGGGACAGGCCCAATAACACACATTCACACGCTTACAAAGGAACGAAACACAAGGCTTCAAACAGAACCTTCCTTGTTAACATATAAACATAAACCCTTCTGGTATGAAGACTTCACCGACCTGAGGCTAAAGGTGAACTCACCTACAATTATCTACAATTGTATTTATCCACACCTACACTACCGTTCAAAAGTTTGGGGTCACATTGAAATGTCCTTATTTTTGAAGGAAACGCTGTAGATAACTTTAAACTAGTCTTAACTGTAAAGAAATACACTCTATACATTGGTTATGTGGTAAAGGACTATTCTATCTGCAAATGTCTGGTTTTTGGTGCAATGTTGTAATTGCTGCAAATGGAGGATTCTTTGACGAAAGCAAAGTTGGATGTAAAACAAATCTTATTTCAAATACAAATCATTATTTCTAACCTTGTCAATGTCTTGACTCTATTTTCTATTCATTTCACAACGTATGGTGGTGAATAAGTGTGACTTTTCATGGAAAACACTTGAGTGACCCCAAACTTTTGAACAGTAGTGTACGTCTTCACACAGATATGACACAGATGTTATTTATACTGCACTGTTTTTCACACAATGGATGACTTTGCAGAAACATAAAATTCTCCAGCTCATGTTAGCATGGCTAGTGTGATACTTCAGCTCCATGTTTCAGTGATCTCTCCTGCTGCATCCTGCCCATCTTCAGTGTGTCACTATTTTACCCTGTTTGCATTTGACCCTGTATTTGACCCTGTATGTGACCCTGTATTTGACTGTTTCAGCCTGTGACTGCGACCCGGTGGGGGTCTCTCAGCCCCAGTGTGACAGATCTTCTGGGCAGTGTGTTTGTGTGGAGGGAGTGACTGGACCGAGGTGTGACCTTTGCGCTCGTGGATACTCTGGTACTTTCCCCGACTGTCACCGCTGTCATCAGTGCTTTGGCCAATGGGACGCCATCGTGGAGCAGCTGACCAATCAGACGCAGCGCCTCGTGGGGAAGGTGCGCTCCCTTAAGCAGAGCGGGTCTCCAAGCGGGTCGTACCTCCTCAGTCTGGAGCAGAGCGCTGAGGCGGTCAGGAGCATCCTCAGCACCAGCCCTGTGTCTGAGCCTCTGGGAGAGCTACAGGAGCTACTGCAGCAGGCTAGGTACTGTCTTTGAGAGAGCTACATGAGCTACTGCAGCAGACCAGGTATAGCAGTAGCTCCTCTAGAATAAATGAAACAGGACTTAAACTCAGGAAAGTTAATCGTGTTCTGGAGTAACTAAGTACATTCAGAATTTTTCAGTTCAAGTATTTTTCAGCTACTTTTTGATACTTTACTGTTTCTTTTATATATGAAATCACATTGTTTGATTGTTTTTTTGTTGCTATTAAATATTTAATTTAAAGAAACTGTGAAAGTGCATCACTTTCAGTTCGGGGTTGCAAGCCCAACCCCGAACTTAACTGCCCCTCCCCCACAGTGAGCTGATGCAGTCCCTCACAGAGACCCTGAATTCTACTGAAGCAGCTTTAATGCCGACATCTGAAGAGGAGCAAGAGGTCCACAGCCGTCTGGACTCCCTGAACTCTGACTCAAACAAACTTCAGCGAACTGTGGAAGAGCTGCTGCAGCAGGTGGAGATCATCAGGAACTCAGACATCAGAGGTACAAGTATAGTATATTCTGAGACGGGTTTGTATGTATACTGAGACAGGGGTGTATGTATACTGAGACAGGTCTGTATGTACAGTATACTGAGACAGGTCTGTATGTATGTACAGGTCTGTATGTATACTGAGACAGGTTGTTTATAGACAGGTCTGTCAGGTCTGTATGTATACTGAGACTGATGACACTGACGGGTCTGAGACAGGTCTGTATACTGAGACAGGTCTGTATGTATACTGAGACAGGTCTGTATGACAGGTCTGTATGTATACTGAGACAGGTCTGTATGTATACTGAGACAGGTCTGTATGTATACTGAGACAGGTCTGTATGTATACTGAGACAGGTCTGTATGTATACTGAGACAGGTCTGTATGTATACTGAGACAGGTCTGTATGTATACTGAGACAGGTCTGTATGTTTACTGAGACAGGTCTGTATGTTTACTGAGACAGGTCTGTATGTTTACTGAGACAGGTCTGTATGTACCCTGAGACGTATGTATCCTGAGACAGGTCTGTATACTGTATGTGTTTATTCTTTGTGTGTGTTCAGGAGCCACAGTCTCTGTGAATAAGTACTTCCGTCAGTCCCAGGCGTCTGAAGGCCGTGTGAATGCCTCCACTCTGGACCAGAACAGCACCGTGCAGAACTCAGTGAGACTGCGGCAGCTGACGGAGGTCACACTGAACTCCACGGCTCTGGACTTCCTCCAGAAGCAGACTGAACGTGCTCAGAAGCTGGACGACCTCGCCGGCGACATGCACCACCTGGACGTGTCAGAACTCAGCCTCCAGGTATCAGAACCCTGATAATAACTGTTTGTATGTGTTGTGTGTCAGTGTGCATCTGTGTGTGTCAGTGTGTACCTGTGTGTCTGTTCCACATTTAGCAATTTAAGTGAAATGTGCTATAAAAACACAGCTATAGAATGTGCTATATAAACCCAGTTCCTTCCTTTCCAGATGTGTGGCAGTGCGGTGTCCCAGGAGGCCTGCTCCTCCTCCTCCTGTGGAGGTCTGGGGTGTGTGGATCCTGAGGGGAGACTGTGTGGAGGAGAGAACTGTGGAGGTTTCCTCACCACAGCCAAGAACATCTGGACCAGAGCACAGGACTCTGAGCAGGAGATCCTCCGAGCCATGGAGGAGGTGGAGGAGCTGTCCAAGAGGGTAAGGAGGAGTCCTAAAGGGTGAGGAGTAGGAGGAGGAGCTGTCCAGGAGGGTAAGGAGGAGTCCTAAAGGGTGAGGAGTAGGAGGAGGAGCTGTCCAGGAGGGTAAGGAGGAGTCCTAAAGGGTGAGGAGTAGGAGGAGGAGCTGTCCAGGAGGGTAAGGAGGAGTCCTAAAGGTTGAGGAGTAGGAGGAGGTATCGAGGAGCGTGAGGAGGTTTAAAGTCGATGCAAAAGTGGGGAATGTTGGGGGAGCCGTAACCGTGTGTTGAATTGTGTAACTGTGTTCAGGTTGCGGAGGTGAAAGTGAAGTCTGACGAGGTCAGAGGTCGGACTCTGGACGTTCTGCTCAAAACCAACAACACAAAACTTCGAGTTGATCAGAGCAACGAAGACCTACGAGAACTCATCAGACAGATACGAGACTTCCTCACCCGTAAGTACACACAATACACACAGACGCACAAATACAACACCGGCAGGTATGGACCCTGACCCTCACTCTGACCCCTCACCCTCACTCTGACCCTCACCCTGACCCTTGCAGAGGATTCGGCTGACCTGGAGAGCATCGAGATGGTGTCTAACGAGGTCCTCCAGATGCAGATGCCTCTGAGGCCTGAGCAGCTGCAGAACCTGACGGAGGAGATCCGGCTGAAGGTGGAGGAGCTGGGGAGTGTGAGGCACCTCCTGCAGGAGAGCACTGAGGAGATCCTGAGAGCAGAGGGTCTGCTGAAGCAGGCGCGCCAAGCCAGGTACCAGCCGCCTCTATCTGGTACCGGCCTCCTCTATCTGGTACCAGCCTCCTCTATCTGGTACCAGCCTCCTCTCTCTGGTACTAGTCTCCTCTCTCTGGTTCCAGCCTCCTCTCTCTGGTTCCAGCCTCCTCTCTCTGGTTCCAGCCTCCTCTCTCTGGTTCCAGCCTCCTCTCTCTGGTTCCAGCCTCCTCTCTCTGGTACCAGCCTCCTCTCTCTGGTACCAGCCTCCTCTCTCTGGTACCAGCCTCCTCTCTCTGGTACCAGCCTCCTCTCTGGTACTAGCCTTTTCTCTCTCTGGTACTAGCCTCCTCTCTCTGGTACCAGTCTCCTCTCTCTGGTTCCAGCCTCCTCTCTCTGGTACCAGCCTCCTCTCTCTGGTACCAGCCTCCTCTCTCTGGTACCAGCCTCCTCTCTCTGGTACCAGCCTCCTCTCTCTGGTACCAGCCTCCTCTCTGGTACTAGCCTCCTCTCTCTGGTACCAGCCTCCTCTCTCTGGTACCAGCCTCTTCTATCTGGTACCAGCCTCCTCTCGTTGGTACTAGCCTCCTCTCTCTGGTACTAACCTGGTACTAGCCTCCTCTCTCTGGTACTAGCCTCCTCTCTCTGGTACTAACCTGGTACTAGCCTCCTCTCGTTGGTACTAGCCTCCTCTCTCTGGTACTAACCTGGTACTAGCCTCCTCTTGGTACTAGCCTCCTCTCTCTGGTACTAACCTGGTACTAGCCTCCTCTCGTTGGTACTAGCCTCCTCTCTCTGGTACTAGCCTTTTCTCTCTCTGGTACTAGCCTCCTCTCTCTGGTACCCTCTGGTACCAGCCTCCTCTCTCTGGTACCAGCCTCCTCTCTCTGGTACCAGCCTCTTCTATCTGGTACCAGCCTCCTCTCGTTGGTACTAGCCTCCTCTCTCTGGTACTAGCCTCCTCTCTCTGGTACTAACCTGGTACTAGCCTCCTCTCTCTGGTACCAGCCTCCTCTCTCTGGTTGCAGCTTGGAGGCCTTGCAGGTGAAGGACTCTGCAGAGAAAGTGAAGGAGGTTCTGGACGCGGCACAGGACGCTCAAAGTGCGGCCTCCAGCGCCATCTCGCAAACCACAGAGAACATCGAGAGGACGGACCGCCTGCTGTCCAAGGTCTGTCTCTGTGTCTATCTCTCTGCCTCTGTGTCTGTCTCTGTGTCTGCCTCTGTGTCTGCCTCTGTGTCTGTCTCTGTGTCTGCCTCTGTGTCTGCCTCTGTGTCTCTGTGTCTGTCTCTGTGTCTGTCTCTGTGTCTATCTCTCTGCCTCTGTGTCTGTCTCTGTGTCTGCCTCTGTGTCTGTCTCTGTGTCTGTCTCTGTGTCTGCCTCTGTGTCTGCCTCTGTGTCTGCCTCTGTGTCTGTCTCTGTGTCTGCCTCTGTGTCTGTCTCTGTGTCTGCCTCTGTGTCTGCCTCTGCCTCTATGTCTGTCTGCTCTGCCTCTGTGTCTGTCTCTGTGTCTGCCTCTGTGTCTGTCTCTGTGTCTGCCTCTGTGTCTATCTCTGTGTCTGCCTCTGTGTCTGCCTCTGTGTCTGCCTCTGTGCTCTGCCTCTGTGTCTGCCTCTGTGTCTGTCTCTGTCTGTCTCTGTGTCTGCCTCTGTGTCTGCCTCTGTGTCTGTCTCTGTGTCTGCCTCTGTCTCTGTGTCTGCCTCTGTGTCTGCCTCTGTGTCTGCCTCTGTGTCTGCCTCTGTGTCTGTCTCTGTGTCTGCCTCTGTGTCTGCCTCTGTGTCTGCCTCTGTGTCTGCCTCTGTGTCTGCCTCTGTGTCTATCTCTGTGTCTGCCTCTGTGTCTGCCTCTGTGTCTGTCTCTGTGTCTGCCTCTGTGTCTATCTCTGTGTCTGCCTCTGTGTCTGCCTCTGTGTCTGCCTCTGTGTGTCTCTGTGTCTGTCTCTGTGTCTGCCTCTGTGTCTGTCTCTGTGTTCTGTGTCTGCCTCTGTGTCTGTCTCTGTCTCTCTGTCTCTGTGTCTGTCTCTGTGTCTGTCTCTGTGTCTGCCTCTGTGTCTGCCTCTGTGTCTGCCTCTGTGTCTGTCTCTGTGTCTGTCTCTGTGTCTGTCTCTGTGTCTGTCTCTGTGTCTGTCTCTGTGTCTGCTCTGTGTCTGCCTCTGTGTCTGTGTCCTCTGTGTCTGCCTCTGTGTTGCTCTGTGTCTCTGTGTCTGTCTCTGTGTCTGTCTCTGTGTCTGTCTCTGTGTCTGTCTCTGTGTCTGTCTCTGTGTCTGTCTCTGTGTCTTCTCTGTGTCTGCCTCTGTGTCTGCCTCTGTGTCTGCTCTGTGTCTCTGTGTCTCTGTCTGCTCTGTGTCTGTCTCTGTGTCTCTGTGTCTGCCTCTGTGTCTGTCTCTGTGTCTGTCTCTGTGTCTGCCTCTGTGTCTGTCTCTGTGTCTGCCTCTGTGTCTGTCTGTGTCTGCCTCTGTGTCTGTGTCTGCCTCTGTGTCTGCCTCTGTGTCTGTCTCTGTGTCTGCCTCTGTGTCTCTGTGTCTGTCTCTGTGTCTGCCTCTGTGTCTGTCTCTGTGTCTGTGTCTGCCTCTGTGTCTGTCTCTGTGTCTGTCTCTGTGTCTGCCTCTGTGTCTGCCTCTGTGTCTGTCTCTGTGTCTGCCTCTGTGTCTGTCTCTGTGTCTGTCTCTGTGTCTGTCTCTGTGTCTGCCTCTGTGTCTGTCTGTGTGTCTCTGTGTCTGCCTCTGTGTCTGTCTCTGTGTCTGCCTCTGTCTCTGTGTCTGCCTCTGTCTCTGTGTCTGTGTCTGCCTCTGTGTCTGCTCTGTGTCTGCCTCTGTGTCTGCCTCTGTGTCTGTCTCTGTGTCTCTGTGTCTGTCTCTGTGTCTGTCTCTGTGTCTGTCTCTGTGTCTGCCTCTGTGTCTGTCTCTGTGTCTGTCTCTGTGTCTGCCTCTGTGTCTGCCTCTGTGTCTGCCTCTGTCTCTGCCTCTGTGTCTGTCTCTGTGTCTGTCTCTGTGTCTGTCTCTGTGTCTGTCTCTGTGTCTGTCTCTGTGTCTGTCTCTGTGTCTGCCTCTGTGTCTGTCTCTGTGTCTGCCTCTGTGTCTGTCTCTGTGTCTGCCTCTGTGCGAGTCGCCGAAACACACTGTTGCATCAAAGCCCCTAACCAACACCAGCCATTCACTCCCTTTTTACATTCAGACCTATTGTACATGTTTTTAGTGGTAGGGGAAACCGGAGCACCCGGAGGAAACCTAGACAGACAGGGGGAGAACATGAAAACTCCACACAAAAGGCCTGGAGGTGGAATCAAATCTGGGACATTCTTGCTGTGAAGCACACGCTTAACCGCTGTGTCTGTCTCTGTCTGTCTCTCAGTGTCTGTGTCTGTCTCTGTGTCTATCTGTCTCTCTCTGGGTCTGTCTCTGTCTCTGTGTCTATCTCTTTGTGTCTGTCTCTCTGTCTCTGTGTCTGTCTCTCTGTCTTCAGTTTTAAAACAAATTCAGGAAACTGTTTTCATAACAGGGAGCTACAGAGATACAGTCTGGTGCAGAGTTACAAATAGTAACTCTGACCTCGGACCTCTGACCTTTCACATGTGAAACCTTCAGGTACAGTTGGAGACAGCAAATGCAGAGCAGAGACTGTCTGAGGCCACAGAGCGACTGCAGACTCTGCAGCTGAATGTGACATCACTCAGAGACAGGTCCCTGAACGTCTCACGGAGCTCGGAGCAGACCTCAGAGGACGCCGCCGCCATCAGGGACATCGCCAACAAAGTGCAAAAGGTCAGACCAACCATCAAGTCTGCTTAGAGCTGGGGACCTTAACTTTAAAGCTAGGTTCTGTAACTCTAAAGCTAGGTTCTATAACTTTAAATCTAGGTTCTGGAACTTTAAAGCTAGGTTCTGTAACTTTAAAGCTGGGATTTATTATTGTATATTTGCACTGAATGGCCATTCATTTTAGCACTTGTCTACATTTTTTGTCTGTCTTGTCCATACACATTAATGTAAATACAAGCTATCTAAACGCAAATATCCAGTCTCTGCCTCTCTCTCTCCGAGTCGCACCCAGTCTTCTGAGATCTAGCCTAACAACTACCTTAAATGTATATATAGTACAGTACAATACCTGTTACACTAGGTTCTGGAACTCTAACTTTATTATTATCTTATATAATAGTCTATTTGATGTGTGCAATCTGAGCGCTCTTATCTCCTTCTTTCTCTGCTGTGATGTGCAACGATGACACTGACATTTCTCCACTGTGAGACGAATAAAGGAATATCTGTTCTTAACTCTAAAGCTGGGGTCTGAAATGTTGTGGCCATACCTGCATGCGAAAGCCACATCTCATCAGACCTCTGAAGATACGCATGGCAGGGTCTGGTTAGTACTGTGATGGGAGACCTCTGGAAACACCAGGTGCCACAGTGGGGCAGCTGTAAAGTGCCAAATTGTCATTGTGCCTTTAGGCAAGACACTTCACCCACATTTTCTAGAATGAGTCTGGTGTGTTTGTGAATGGTTGGTGGTGGTCAGAGGAGCCGAGGGCACATACTGGTTGCCTCACTTCTGTCAGTGTGCTCCAGGGCAGCTGTGGCTACAGTAGTATATCATCACTGTATGGAGTGAAAGAATAATGTCTTCTGATAAGAACTATATAAAACTGATGCATTAATATTGTTACTTTCAGACTAATAGAACTCTATTAAATCCATGTAATGTCCACAGTTGTTTCCTGTCACTAGTTTACATCATGTAGTTTTGATGTCACATCTTTAGATCAAAGAGGACCACCCTCCCTCAGCCAATCAACTCTTAGCCCAAAGAGGCAGATAGTGGCTCACTGGGATCTTTCTAAGTATGCAAAGTATAGCATGGTTTCTAATTGGATATACAGAATGTATGCTGTATTTTTACAAAACTCTTCTGCTGCTGCTGCCATGACTCCGTCCATCCCTCATGATCCTCCCTCATGCTCCCTCAGGACCTGGACTCTGACATTAAGGATAAATACTCTGCGGTGCAGAAGTTGGTGGATGAAAAAGCAGAGGGTTTGTCAGATGCAAAGAAGAGAGCGGTGTCTCTGCAGCAGGAGGCCAAGGAGCTGCTTCTACAGGCCTCCCTCAAACTGAGGCTGCTGAAAGGTGAGGCACATGCAGCTGCTGAGGGGTGAGGCACATACAGCTGCTGAGGGGTGAGGCACATGCAGCTGCTGAGGGGTGAGGCACATACAGCTGCTGAGGGGTGAGGCACATGCAGCTGCTGAGGGGTGAGGCACATATGGAACAGAAAAGTGCTGCAGTTCACACAGGTGGCCACCAGATGTCTCTGTACTGCAGTGTATTATGACAGTGATTTCACAAAGATGATGAAGACTGTTCTTAGTGAAGATCAATTCAAAATGTTTGAAAAGGGTCAGATTTATATGTAACTAATTGAGTGTGTAACTTATTATTTCAATTGTGAAAAATTGGAATAAGTTGACCTCACATTGTCTCCTAATGTGTGTTTGTTTGTGGGGCGTTCCAGAGCTGGAGAAGTCGTATGAAGATAACCAGAACACTCTGGAGCAGAAAGCAGAGCAGCTGCTGCAGCTGGAGTCAGAGGTGAAGGACCTTCTGCAGGGCATCAGTAACAAAGTCACGGTCTACAGCACCTGCCTGCTGTAGGACTGAAGACCTGTATTTACACATGTATCTGCACTGGTTCCAGTTTTATGTTGAGGTAACGCCTCTAACGCTTTTTGAAAACAGACTCAATATTTATCATTTTATAAAATAAAATCGAGGTGAACCCAGGTCACACTTTTTACTGTTTAAAATAAAACACTTTCCCCTTAAACATGAGTCTGATTCTTGGGAATTGTGTAAATTTGGAGGAGGAGGTCTGAGAGTGAAACACTGAAAGAAGTGAATGATGCCTAATTGGTCTGCAACAGGTCACACGACTGTTTGATATGACCCTGACACATGTTTAGTATGAACATGACACATGTTTAGTATGAACATGACACATGTTTAGTATGAACATGACACATGTTTAGTATGAACATGACACATGTTTAGTATGAACATGACACATGTTTAGTATGAACATGACACATGTTTAGTATGAACATGACACATGTTTAGTATGAACATGACACATGTTTAGGATGAACATGACACATGTTTAATATCAACCTGACACATGTTTAATATCAACCTGACACATGTTTAAAGCAGTGTGGGAGTTGGGTCTCTGAAACTAACTTTAGTCTCTCGACTGTAAAATCCTTGTAAAACTCCGTCTGCAACGACATCAGGGAGATCTGAAACAGGACAGATTATTATATGTTTCATATTCACAGTCTATGGAGCAAACACACACATCCCATAGTTCTGACCTGAACTGTAGCAGCAGACATAAGGATCTCTGAAGAAATGCAGAGCTCGATAATTTGAAAACTGGTAACTGTTGGAGAGAAGAACAAGGTTAACAGATCAGACTGATGAGACCACAGGGACATAGACCACAGGGACATAGACCACAGGGACATAGACCACAGGGACATAGACCACAGGGACATAGACCACAGGGACAGTGACACACACCTGTCGTCCTCATGACTGTCGGGGTCGTCCAAAGATCTGAAACACAAACATGTGACATAATTTACATTAATTTGTTTGTGATGTCACATGGTGTACTCACTCCATGCTGTAGGCCTTGGTGCCTGTGTGGAAGTGCTTCAAATGCAGAAAGTTTAATAAAACTTGAGGAACGTCTTCATCCTGGAAAATGATGTCCTTCAAACAGAAGAACAGGTCAGAATCAATACTGCAGCAGCTGTTCTGCAGAGGGACCAGTCGGGGTCAAAGGTCTGGTCCCTGGTTTTGTCCCTGGTCTCCCCAGTCTCCCCTGGTCCCTGGTCTTACCTGGATGTAAATCTCCAGCTCCTGTCGTCTCTGTTCCAGAGGTTTGGTTCTTAAATGTTGGTTTCTTTTGCTTGGGAAATCTGGAGTCTGGATCAACTTTCTGAGCTGAAACAGGACAGAACTGGGTCATAGAAAAGGACAGGGACACAGAGACAGAGAGACAGACAAAGATTCATACTTTTCGGTGCAGAGTCTGGAACTCGCTGTGTTTCCTCAGAACAAAATGTTTTCTCTCGTTGAACAGAACTTCTACCCGGAACAACTGCAACAAAGACTGCATTAACACTGACTGCATAAACTATATTATACAACAAATTATCCTTTATATTTAGTTTATGACTGAAACTGTTCAAACACTAGCCTGACTCTCGCCAGACCCTTAACGCCTCTGGTGGAGCATGGCGGAACTACAAGGGTCTGGCGAGACAAACACCACTAAAAAGCAGATTGTAAACCTTTCAGACACATACAGTCTGGATCCTCCACAGTATTCATAATATTGATAATGGGTGATTTTAGTTTAATGTAATGGGTCTATTTATGTTTGTTATTTTGATGATTCGCGGTGTTCTGGTGAATCATTAAATAAAAATGATTACATTTGTTTGGACGTGCATTTCACACATGCACGTTCATCAGAATCCTAGACCCAGGCGCAAAAGAGACGACAGTGGGTTCGGCTCAGAACAAAAAGTCTCTAGTCAAAACTGTGGTCAGCGAAGCACGTGACCATGTGTGCTTTGTTGTAAGTGCGTGCATGTACGTACACATGTGTATATGTATGCGCACGTGTATATCTCTGACACTTTGCAGTAATAACCCGACAGTGAAAGTGATTGTACACAAAGACGGAAGTGGACGCCAGGTAGACACACTCACCTGGTCAGGCTCGATCTCTATAAACGGGAAAATACTAGTCTTCCAAACATGACATGCGTATATTCAACATGACCATCCATAGCGATGTAAACACCATACAAAGGTAACATACAGTATACAGATGGACATGCTATGAAACCAGGCAAGGAAGTCCCACACCTGGTCTCATGTCCTCACCTTTTTGGTCTTCCCCGCCTCATCTTCCTCTTGCACCAGTGAAGGGATCGAAACTTCAATCATTGTAAAAACAAAGATTACAAAAACAACGAGGTCCAAATGTAGAAACTGCTTGAAACACGTTTGTTGACGCTCGGAAGGAGCAGGAGTTTGAAGAGGGAGGGGCTGTGGAGAGATGACCACGCCCACAGACAGGTGACACGCCCACAGCTTTAAAGTTGAGAGACAGTCTGGTCAAAATGAAGGAATCAGACCGCAACATTCTGTATTTATCTTGAAAACAATATATCTTTTGCATACTTTTAAGGACGATCCCTGTGAATCACTATCTGTCTCTTTGGGCTGAGAGCTGATTGGCTGACTGAGGGTGTTCCTCTCTTTGATCTTAAGACGTGACATCACAAATACAAAATGTGCAACTAGTGATAGAAGAAACTCTTTTTGAGATATGGGTTTAATACAGAGTTGATTGGTATGCATGTTATAGGACCCTGCTTTAAAGTTACATACCCCAGCTTTAAAGTTACATACCCCAGCTTTAAAGCTTCATTGCTTGTAACTGTGTCTTTGTGAGGCTCTCTTGAGTTCCCAGAAACATGTATTATTTAAGTGTTACACTTATCATGTAATAATGATGCCTGGATCACGACGAAAGAAACTGAAGCAGAAACTCCACAAACAGAAGTGGAAGTGTTTCAGATCCTGGTTCACTATCACACACGGTATCAGGAAAGAACCCAGACCCTAAACCCTGAACACAGACCCTGAACCTTAAACACAGACCCTGAACCCTGAACACAGACCCTGAACCCTGAACACAGACCCTGAACCCTGAACACAGACCCTGAACCTTAAACACAGACCCTGAACCCTGAACACAGACCCTGAACCTTAAACACAGACCCTGAACCTTAAACACAGACCCTGAACCCTGAACACAGACCCTAAACCCTGAACCCAGACCCTGAACCCTGAACACAGACCCTAAACCTTAAACACAGACCCTGAACCTTAAACACAGACCCTGAACCTTAAACACAGACCCTGAACCCTGAACACAGACCCTGAACCTTAAACACAGACCCTGAACCTTAAACACAGACCCTAAACCCTGAACACAGACCCTGAACCTTAAACACAGACCCTAAACCCTGAACACAGACCCTGAACCTTAAACACAGACCCTGAACCTTAAACACAGACCCTGAACCTTAAACACAGACCCTGAACCCTGAACACAGACCCTGAACCTTAAACACAGACCCTGAACCTTAAACACAGACCCTGAACCTTAAACACAGACCTTCACCTTAAACACAGACCCTGAACCTTAAACACAGACCCTGAACCTTAAACACAGACCCTGAACCCTGAACACAGACCCTGAACCTTAAACACAGACCCTGAACCTTAAACACAGACCCTGAACCTTAAACACAGACCTTCACCTTAAACACAGACCCTGAACCTTAAACACAGACCCTGAACCTTAAACACAGACCCTGAACCTTAAACACAGACCCTGAACCCTGAACACAGACCCTGAACCCTGAACACAGACCCTGAACCTTAAACACAGACCCTAAACCCTGAACACAGACCCTGAACCTTAAACACAGACCCTGAACCTTAAACACAGACCCTGAACCTTAAACACAGACCCTGAACCCTGAACACAGACCCTAAAACCTGAACCCAGACCCCAGGCCTAACATAGACCCTGGATGTCAGATTCAGATTCAGATGTTGACATGCAGCTGATGGTGATGTCAGAGAAAAACCATCTGGTCCCTGATGAAACAACGTGACCATGCCAAACTAAATTAACGGACAGGCTTTCCTTTGTCACACTAGAAGCAAAGTCACAAGAATCAGGACTGCTAAAGCAACACAAGTTTGGACACAGATAAAAAAGCTAACATGAAACTCGCTCATGGCAACAGAAATGAAATAAACTGTCAAAATTAGATATTTACGGAGCCAACAGTAATGGCAAACAGGTTTAACACATATTTCATTGTCTCAGTTAAAATCCTTAAAGGTACACTGTAGTTTTTACTCCCATCTAGCGTTGAGATTATATTGCAGTCTTCTGTCAACCGGTCTGAACAGGGTCTTTCTGAGTGGAGAAAAACATGCACACTAGGTTAAATCCTCCAGCTCTACAGATGGGTTCAAGGGCTCTGTCACTACGGCGACCACTGCTCCTGACGTAAGCCTTAGTGGCATCAGGATGAGTCAAATGCAGAGGATGAATTACCCTACAGGGATTAATAAAGTGCACCTTTACCTTTTAAAAGTTTCTTGTTGGGATAAATCTTTTACATAACTGTGGTGCTTCAAACTTGTGAGGGCACGATGGAAGCAACAATATTAGTCGCACCTGTGAAACAAAAAAGCGATCCTCCCATCCTTTTTATTCCTTATCAACCACTGTATTTCAAGATGGCGCAATGACCGGGGGAGCACTCTCTCGTACATTTATAATTCAAATTCAGAGGCTATAACAACAATTCAAAAACATGGGGGAGGTAGATAATCTTAAAAAGGTCACATTTGTTTTTTCTTTGCGTGTTTTTTCATCTGGAGCAAAATTACACAGAGTACCTTTAAGTATCTTCAGCTTCTGTCTTGGTCACTGTCTCTCTGTATCTCTCTGTCCCTGCCTTCAGTCCCTTCAGTCATGTCTACATATGAACACACTCTGAGACTGTACCACAATCACAAATACACAAATTAATTAGCACTCTAAGATAAGATGCTTATGGACTGAACACAAAGTTCATCAGAACCGTTACCCATAACAAGTACTGTAAATGCAATACACACCAAATCTCCAAATCAGGGGAAACAAGCATCTACAGACCCAGAAGCATTTTTATTATCTCTTTTTGACTGTTGCACTGAGCCAAAGCAATTTCCAAGTCTGTGACCTCCCGTTACTTACGTTGGCAATAAAAATGATTCTGATTCTGATTCTGCCTGTACTTACTTGAAAAGTGTGTTACACAGCAGCTCACCACATCTCAACTGCAGTCCTTTTAATCTGCACCAAATGCCATTTCTCTTTAAGAAAAATGACTCCACAGAGACAGATGCTTTCTAATGGAGAAGCTGAAGGCAAACATAGACAAGGATTTCGATACTGTCAAATCCCAAATGTTAATCATAATAGTGGCATACTTTCCCCTATCGCCACAGACTCTACATTGGCTGGAAACATATCTAACAGGAAGAAAACTATTTGTAAAGATTCAGAATTCAACATTAGCAACATGCAAAAACCTACCTATCATGCTACTATTAGGCCGGTATATGAATTACTTTCTGAAAGCTGCCCACTCAAAGTGCACTGCCAACTGTACGCAAATGACTGTAATTTAGCCTGCAACAAATAAACATCAAGCAGCTCAAGAATTAACAGCTGTAATCTACAACATCTGATCCTTATGTATCCAAAACAGTCAGCATGTCCTTCTCTAAAACACTGCAGACAGTGAAAACGTACTCAAAAATGGAACAACAACTGACACTCGACTCTTAACTCTGTACAATAAGTGACGAAGGTCACCAACAAAATAAAATGTAATCTCTCAAACTTCAGACACATAAGAGACAACCTGACATTTGAGGCGGCCACTCTCTACTTCAATACAATGATTGTCTCTTGACAATGAGGGTTGTGTGCAATACAGGGTTGTGCAGTTTCTTTATGAAGATGAATGGCTCTAACTGAGACACTGTATGAATTCCTATTGTTGATGTTTTTAACCCCTGTGACCCCACACCCCTGGGACTATAGACTACAGAAAATTTGCCTTTAGCTACAATCTGACATGTCGACAAATATGTTCACCCATATACAGTGGGGCAAAAAAGTATTTAGTCAGCCACCGATTGTGCAAGTTCTCCCACTTAAAATAATGACAGAGGTCTGTAATTTTCATCATAGGTACACTTCAACTGTGAGAGACAGAATGTGAAAAAAAAATCCAGGAATTCACATTGTAGGATTTTTAAAGAATTTATTTGTAAATTATAGTGGAAAATATTTGGTCACTTCAAACAAGGAAGATCTTTGGCTCTCACAGACCTGTAACTTCTTCTTTAAGAAGCTTTTCTGTCAAAAATCCCAGAACCACACGGGGGACCTGGTGAATGACCTGCAGAGAGCTGGCACCAAAGTAACAAAGGTAACACATCAGTAACACACTACGACGACAGGGAATCAAATCCGTGTCCCCCTGCTGAAGCCAGTGCATGTCCAGGCCCGTCTGAAGTTTGCCAGAGAGCACATGGGTGATACAGCAGAGGATTGGGAGAATGTCATGTGGTCAGAGGAAACCAAAGTAGAACTGTTTGGTATAAACTCAACTCGTCGTGTTTGGAGGAAGAAGAATACTGAGTTGCATCCCAAGAACACCATACCGACTGTGAAGCATGGGGGTGGAAACGTCATGCTTTGAGGCTTTTTTCTGCTAAGGGGACAGGACGACTGATCCGTGTTAAGGAAAGAATTAATGGGGCCATGTATCGTGAGATTTTGAGCCAAAACCTCCTTCCATTGAGTTGAATTTTTGTTATTACCAAATACTTATTTTCCACCATAATTTACAAATAAATTCTTAAAAATCCTACAATGTGAATTCCTGGATTTTTTTCCACATTCTGTCTCTCACAATTGAAGTGTACCTATGATGAAAATTACAGACCTCTGTCCTTAATGCAGCCAGCGGAAGTTCAATTTGGTAGACGTCAGCCAAAGGTAACCCCTCCAGGCCGGTTCACATCCCCAGCCTATCGCACGGCAAACGCCCCCTTCCAATCACCGTACCGGCCAGGCAGCCGCTTAAAAGCGGAGAAACTCCCACTCTCTGCCTTCTCGAAGCCTGCAACCACCGCCTCCCCTCCTCCTCCTCTTCACCCTGCCTTCAATCTGCCTTCAATCTGCTTCCCGCTGCCAAATGCCGCCACCAGTGCCTAGGTCCCGGGGGATTGGCACGCTCCATCGCAGGAGCCTCTCCGATCTGAAGGCCGCACCGGGGCCTAGGGCGCCAAACCTCCTCCCAATAAAATACTCAAAAGCTTCTTGTTTTCTCGTCTCTCCAAATTGAATTTTAAGTAGGAGAACTTGCACAATCAGTGACTGACTAAATACTTTTTGGCCCCACTGTAGGTTTGTTGACATATACTCTGCTAGTCAAATAAATAAATACAAATACAATGTTCTAAAGAAGAGTTATGCACATTTCCAAGGGTCAGAGGTCACAGTTCAGGGTCTGACCTTTGACCCTGACCTCATAAATGTAATAACCAGAACATTCCAAAGGGAAGAAATCTGTGATTTAGGCCCAAACAGGAAACAGCCTCTAACAAGTTTCTGTAACTCTGAGACATAAACTGTTCAACCTTTATGACCTTAAGCAGTCATGTGACATCACACCATGTGGTAGTTGAATATAATATATAAGTTCAAGTCTAAAACAATACAAAGCCTGATTTGTTGAATATAGTTTATTTAAATTCTTCCAATACATTTAGTGTGTGGCGCTAAAACAGAGAAAGAGCGCCCTCTAGCGGTATGTGGACAAAGTAAACAGTGTACAGTGTAAGGTCCTGTGTCTTTGGTTTAAAGACTGTCTCCAGTCCATTCAACACTTAAGAAGGAAGAACTTGTTCCAAGTTGATGACCTGAAACAGAGAGTGTTCTTAGACCTGCGTCGTGTTCAAACAGAGTCAGTTCTCTCTGTGTACTTGTCATGGATCTATAATAATAACGGTACCTGCCGCTGTTGTCCACACCCACATGTACGAGCTGGTAAACACGGACGTGTCCGGCAGCGTCTCCCATCACCACGGCGCCCGAGTCTGGACTGAAGCGCACTGAGGTCAAAGGTGAAGCCTCAGAGGTCAGCACCACAGCAGGGACCACTCTGTGAGATGTCAAACTTTCATTATGTGTTCACACAGAGGCTTTAAACACAGAAGACACAAAGAGAGTTCAGGAACCCTGACCGCTGACCCTGAGGCTTCTATAATGGAGACGTATAAGGGAGGGTCAAGGAACCTTGACCTCTGATTCTGACACCAGGGATCAGAATGAGACAAGCACAGATGTGGTGCAGTTCTACACGGCCATCATCGAGTCCATCCTCACCTCCTCCATCACCGTGTGGTTCGCTGGAGCCACAGTCAGGGACAAACAGAGACTGCAGCGCATCGTGCGCTCTGCAGAGGAAGTGATCGGCCGCAGCCTTCCATCGCTGCAGGACCTGTACGACGCTCGAGCTCAAGGCCGGGCTGGTCGTATCACAGCCAACCCCTCTAACCCTGCACATGGACTATTCCAACGTCCATGTGCCAACTTTACTGCCGTCACCTGACTGTACTGCATTACTTTCTAATTTTGTATAATTTAGAAAATGTTATACTTTAGAAATATTCTATTAAGCCTTATTCTTTCTTTACTTTTGACTTGTTTGCACCGAGAAACAAAGCAATTTCCTAGTCTGTGACTGCCTGTTACTTACATGGCAATACAAATTATTCTGATTCTGATGTAAAAAAAAAAAAAAGCTCTGAATGGCCAGCCAATCGCTAACCAACCGCCCTCGTTTGACCATGGATAATGTTGTAAAATTATGCACTAAGAAGTCACTTATAAAAGGTGCCATATTGCTTTCTTCTTCATGTTTCTCAATCACATGTATGATAATAATTTGAGTGATACACCACTGTGAGGGATGACTCCTCTCTCACAATTGGAGCTCACTCTCCTGTGGGCTGACTCCACCTGCACCCACTCCACCTGGGGGTGTTACGCTCAGGCTCCACCCTATGACCTGAACCAGGGCAGGTCCAGAAGAGGGGTTGTGTGGGAGATTCATTTAAGTTTATATTGTTTAAGTATGTATGAGTAAAAGTTTCTATAATTATTATTATTATATTATTACAGTTATTTCCCTTTATCCTTAAACTACACAAAACTACTGTGTAGTTTTGTGTGTCTACAGCATTTATTTTGGAGAAATGGGGGAAAGACAAGACCATCTTGTATGATTTGATAAAGCCAACAAAATCCTGCAATGTGGCCACAAGGGCTCAGTCGAAAATGTGAGACAAATCCCCTGCTCTCAGTGCTTTACCTTCTTATGACGCAGAGCTGGAGGCGTAACAAGCAACATTTTTGTTGGCCTGGCCTACACTTTGCAGTTGTCCATTTTGCAAAAGTTGTCCTGAGTGACAAAAAACCACACTCAGAGCTCCAGCCACTCCCAACAAAAACAATTCCGTTTGACCGCCCTGGCATGGATGTGGCTGGTCCAGTGGAGAAAGGCAAATCAGGAAATCGATTTATGTTGGTAGTTACAGATTATGCCACAAAATATCCAGAAGTTTTCCCTTTACGCAATGTGAAGGCAAACAGATGCGTGAAAAGCTGCAAAAAATGAGTGATCAAGCTCAGGTGAACATGAAGGCGGCACAACATGACCAAAAGATGTGGTACGATCGGGCAGCACGCCACAGAAACTTGGAACTTGGAAACAAGGTTTTGGTCATCTTGCCTACCAGTGACAGCAAACTCCTAGCAAAATAGCAAGGGCCCTATGACATCACAAGATAGACCCCTGGGCGCCATCGCTCCAAAAGAATCCTCCATGTTAACCTTCTCAAGGGGTGGTTTCCCAGAGAGGAGAAAATCGCAGAGGTGATGCTGATCCGGAAGGTGGAGGAAGAAGACGAGGTGGATGATCAATACTTACCTTCAACTCAACGTTCCCATCTTTATTTAAGTTTTTATGGAATATCCGGCCGAACAAGTGTGGTGGAACATACAATTGTATTGAAACCTGATGCACCCATTAAGCGCATGAGTTACAGAATACTTGAGTGGCTCCTGGTGGTGTTGAAGAAGGGGGTAATCCTGTGGGGTTGGTTCCTAAAAAGGATGGGGCAATCAGGGGTTGTATCAACAATCAGCTACTGTCTCAAAATTGGACTGTTATCCAACAGTCAAATGACCTCATTGAGCGACTGGGAAAGGCCAAGTACCTGATCACCATTGACCTCTGCAAAGGTTATTGGCAGGTTCCCCCCACGCACAGCAGTCATAGGAGTTCATGGCCTTCCGCACACCCTGGGGATTGAGTTTACAGTACTGCCATTTGGTCTTCCAACAATTGATGGACCAGGTACTGTGTGGTCACTCAGAGTATGCCTGTGCTTATTTGGATGACATCGTTAATTTCAGGACCACCTGGGAGGGACATGTGGAGCATCTGGCAAAGGTTCTGGGAACTCTACAGGCAGCTGGTCTCACAATAAACCCAGCAAAGTGCTCTCTGGCCCAGGCTGAGACTCAGCTTCAAAATTGGAGGTGGGGTAATAAACCACAGATTAAAAAGATTAAAGCAATTGCATCTTGTCCTTTGCCACAAACTAGGAAGCAGTTGAGGTCTTTCCAAGGGATGGCCGGGTTTTATCATCGCTTCAGCACTTACTTACTGATGGACATGACTGGCTCTCAGCAGCCTAATCAGCTCAAGTGGACAGAGGAGAGGATTACGGCCAACAAAGACATTCAACAAGCCTTGAGTAAGGATCCAGTGTTGCTTCGTCCAGATCATGACAAAGATTTTGTTTTGCAAACAGATGCATCGGACCGGGGCGTTGGACCGCCGGAAGACCCACACTCGGTTGCGTACATACAGTGCCTTGCAAAAGTATTCGGCCCCCTTGAACCTTTCAACATTTCGCCACATTTCAGGCTTCAAACATAAAGATATAAAAAAAATATCTTTTGTCATGAATCAACAAGTGGGACACAATCGTGAAGTGGAACGAAATGTATTGGATAATTTAAACTTTTTTAACAAATAAAAAACTGAAAAGTGGGGCGTGCAATATTATTCGGCCCCTTAACTTTCAGTGCAGCAAACTCAGTCCAGAAGTTCAGTGAGGATCTTTGAATGATCCAATGTTGTCCTAAATGACTGATGATGATAAATAGAATGCACCTGTGTGTAATCAAGTCTCCGTATAAATGCACCTGCTCTTTGATAGTCTCAGGGTTCTGTTTAAAGCACAGAGAGAACCATGAAGACAAAGGAACACACCAGGCAGGTCCGAGATACTGTTGTGGAGAAGTTTAAAGCCGGATTTGGATACAAAAAGATTTCCCAAGTTTTAAACATCTCAAGGAGCACTGTGCAAGCAATTATATTGAAATGGAAGGAGTATCAGACCACTGCAAATCTACCAAGACCCGGCCGTCCCTCCAAACTTTCATCTCAAACAAGGAGAAGACTGATCAGAGATGAAGCCAAGAGGCCCATGATCACTCTGGATGAACTGCAGATAACTACAGCTGAGGTGGGAGAGTCTGTCCATAGGACAACAATCAGTCGTGCACTGCACAAATCTGGCCTTTAGGGAAGAGTGGCAAGAAGAAATCCATTTCTCAAAGATATCCATAAAAAGTCTCGTTTAAAGTTTGCCACAAGCCACCTGGGAGACACACCAAACATGTGGAAGAAGGTGCTCTGGTCAGATGAAACCAAAATCGAACTTTTTGGCCACAATGCAAAACGATATGTTTGGCGTATAAGCAACACAGCTCATCACCCTGAACACACCATCCCCACTGTCAAACATGGTGGTGGCAGCATCATGGTTTGGGCCTGCTTTTCTTCAGCAGGGACAGGGAAGATGGCTAAAATTGATGGGAAGATGGATGGAGCCAAATACAGGACCATTCTGGAAGAAAACCTGTTGGAGTCTGCAAAAGACCTGAGACTGGGACGGAGATTTATCTTCCAACAGGACAATGATCCAAAACATAAAGCCAAATCTACAACGGAATGGTTCACAAATAGACGTATCCAGGTGTTAGAATGGCCAAGTCAAAGTCCAGACCTGAATCCAATCGAGAATCTGTGGAAAGAGCTGAAGACTGCTGTTCACAAACGCTCTCCATCCAACCTCACTGAGCTCGAGCTGTTTTGCAAGGAAGAATGGGCAAGAATTCCAGTCTCTCGATGTGCAAAACTGATAGAGACATACCCCAAGCGACTTGCAGCTGTAATTGCAGCAAAAGGTGGCACTACAAAGTATTAGCGCAAAGGGGCCGAATAATATTGCACGCCCCACTTTTCAGTTTTTTATTTGTTAAAAAAGTTTAAATTATCCAATAAATTTTGTTCCACTTCACGATTGTGTCCCACTTGTTGTTGATTCTTGACAAAAAAAAATATTTTTAAAGCCTGAAATGTGGCGAAAAGTTGAAAGGTTCAAGGGCGCCGAATACTTTCGCAAGGCACTGTAAGCCGCAAGCTGTTCCCCCGGGAGGTGCAGTATGCACCATTGAAAAGGAAGCTTTGGCCAAAAAAATGGGCGCTGGGCTTTTTAAGTATTATCTGCTGGGACGGTAGTTCATCTTGCAGACAGATCACAAGGCTCTGCAGTGGCTGGAGAAGATGTGGGACACCAATGGGAGAATCACCAGATGGTATAACGCTGACTATCTTTCCTCCAGCCACAGTGAACAATTTGAAGAGGAGGGGTGCGTGAGGGATGACTCCTCTCTCACAGTTGGAGCTCACTCTCCTGTGGGCTGACTCCACCTACACCCACTCCACCTGGGGATGTTACCAGGCTCTACCCTATGACCTGAACCATGGCAGGTCCAGAAGAGGGGATGATTGGGAGATTCATTTAAGTTCATATTGTTTAAGTACTGTATATATGAGTATAAGTTTCTATCATTATTATTATAATTATTATTATTAATATTGCTACAGTTATTTCCCTTTATCCTTAAACTAGTTTAAGTAAATGTATTTGTTTTGTGTAGTCTTGTTTACCACCCTTTAGTTGATAGTTGGTCTGATCATCCAAATGTTCCCCTTGTGTTAGGTCAGTGTTTGTCATGTTCAGTTGCTCTTTTGATTTTGGCCTTGTTTATTTTCATTGTTTTACACATTTTTTGGCAAAATAAAAACCCTTGTTATTTAAACAGTTTGTGTTTCCTGCTGCACCATTGGTTCCTAACAACCACACACTTTACTTTTGAATGCGCTGGAAACGGCACCTACGTAGCTCTGAAACAGTTGTCGTTTTTGTGCTTTACAATTGTTAGTTTCTCAATTGGAGGAAGGCTAACTTTTTGAAAAATGCTAACAAAGCTTTTAACATTTTACTTTGGACCAGAGCAGAGAAAATGGTCCGAACCAGGCTACTCCACCTCTGCTGCTGTGAACTGTCCTGCACCACCCAAAGGATGACCCACCTCTGCTGTTGTGACCTGAAATGCCGTTTTCTTTCTATTATTACTATAATTATTGTTAGCTTTTTAGAATTATACCTTTTTTTGTTTTGTTTGTGTGGATGGATGTGTTTTTGCTGCTACTGGACGCCTGAATTTATCCTATGGGGATCAATAAAGTATCTATCTATGTATATGTAGGGTGAGGAAAAGGTGAGCGCCAATCGGGCGTGAATAGCAGACCCTTTCCGTAAACATGCCCTCCCTAGCTCCTGAGACTTCAAAGTAACTGCGGGTTCAATTAAAGGCTAACATTCACCAGGAACGCCGCAACGAGACCCAGAGGGGCAATAAAACAACAGAGCAGGACATCTGTGTGCCCTCCTGCCGGACAGAGATCAGGAACCATTCATCAGCAATCGCTCATGGGACATTCCACAACCTGAGACTCTCCCACGGCACTCTGGCGCCCCCCAGCGGACACTGAACACCATCACACCCGGCCCGGACATTCTGTAGACCAGCCCGGACTCAGTGTTATTCCGATAAGTCTGTACAGCGTCCTACATGTGTGTATCAGTGGCAAATAATGAAATGTGGTGTGTGTTTGTACATGTGTTATGATCGTCTGTATTAATCCTGTGTGTTCCCATTATAACCCATCTGTTGTGGGGAGGCTGTCCAAGGAAGACGCACAAATATGACGTCACGGACGCGCCCACTTTGACCACAACAAAACCAGTCCGCAAACCTAGAGACTGCCTCTTGTTTCTCCCGAATTCATCATAACAACCATCCCGTTTGGTACGTGTCCCCTACACGGCCTACGCCCGCCACCATCTCGGGCCTGTACATCCACGAGGACAGCAATCACTCTCGCTGTCGGAGACGAGGACCTTCCATCGCCAGCCACTTTCGGGCTCCTGGAACACCCCACCGCAACGCTATTCTAGACCGTGTCGTGTGTGGAACCCACGCCTGGACCCGACCTGCCGCCTCCCTCCTGCTCCCTGTTCGAACAAAGACCACGTGGACGAGGACATCGCCTCCATCCTATTCTTCCTTCTCACCCTCCATCTCCATCCTCATCCTAATCACCCATCTCCCTCTGAACGGCTCAAAAGTAAGACTGTTCTTTGTTAAATGTGCGATTTGAATGAAATGTGTACAACTCCTGCTTTAATGTGACCAGAAATCCCCTTCGTTATATTTTCTATCTTCATTTTTGTAATCAATAAAACCATGTTAACACTGTAATTCCATTTCCCCGAGCGTCGTGTTTATAAATACAGGATATCACTGGCAGATTTCACGTATTCACTACCTATTAGATTCATAAGACTGATTCGAGGCAAATTGGTTTGGATCTGTGCAGTGTTTTCATATACTGCTGGTGCCTAAATAAATATAAGCAGATCCCCCACTCGAATAGGACGGCCAGACTCTGATTGGGAGACTAGCCGCACTATTCTTCTCTAATAAGTAATTATACCACATAAATATAAGTAGTTACCCTACATATATATACGTATATATGTCTATTATATACACCCACAGACTCCTGCTGAGGTCCCAGATCTCCAGTGTCTCCTTCTGCAGAACAGCAAACACAGTCGGCCATGTGGGAGACCAGTGGACTTCATGGACCGCTGAGGACCTGCTGAAGGCCATGAGGGGAGAGGGACGGTCTCGCCTCCACAGCTGCACCGTCCAATCAGAGGAGGCACTCAGAAACAGATTCGGAGAGAAGGGTGACCACGCCACACTGTTCACCTGACACTACACAGAGGTCAGAGGAAACATCAGTTACATCTGACACAAGACTATTAACTCAGACCCAGAAGTGTTTGTGTGTGTGTCTTTGTATGTGTGTGTATATGTATGTGTGTGTGTGTACTTACAAAGTGCTTTGTGTATGTGTCCAGAGGGAAGTATCTGTTAGAGAGGGAGCACATGTGGATGAGGCCCTCGCTGCTTCCAGTCAAATACACAGTGGGGTCCTGCACCAAATACATGTTGGTATATACATTATATATATGTAGGGCTGGGCGATATGGCTGAAAACTATATCACGATATAAGTCATTCATATCGGTCGATAACGATATATATTGAGATTTTTTTTTAAACCTAAATAAATATATTTGTCGTGTGGGCTAACCAACCTTAGCAGCCTTGTTTACAGTCACGGGGCGATGAGGCTGGAGGAATATGTTCACACTGTGTCCCTCGTTGTTAGTCCTGGTTTAATCCTGGTTTTTTATTCCTGGTTTAGCTCCTGGTTTAGCTGTTTGAGGGTCTTGTGTCCCCGTGACCGCTCCGTGCGGCTCTATGTGCCGCACATGCTTCCCGAGGAAAAAGTTAATCTCTTGCTTTCGCCGAATACATGGTGTCTGTCCACTGCCTCTGCCGCCGCACATGTTATTCCGCGCACGTACGTGCATAACCATTGACACGGCATTGAAACACGAGCTATAGATCCATGGACGCTACGCATGCTGCGGTTGTTGTTGTTTTTGCATTTCCCACAAAGTTTTGCGGTTCCTGCTCGGCTGTTATTGGTCGAGAAGCCTCTGCCTACATCCCCCACAATGCTATGCGCTTATGAGTCGGCTTTACTTCCGGTGTTTTCTTCCTGTTTTTCCTGACAGAGTTAAGTTAAACTATCGAACATTCTATCGACCCCATTCTCTATTGATATCGAACACATGTCTATCGCGATATATATCGTTATCGTTTTATCGCCCAGCCCTATATATATGTTATACATTAATAATGAAACGATTTTATATAGCACTTCTTTAGACACTCAGACGCTTCACATGTCATTATTCATTCACTCCATACACAGTGGTGATAAACTACTACTGTAGTCACAGATGCCCTGGGGCACTTTGACAGAAGCAAGGCAACCAGTATGTGCCAGACCAGTGTCTTGCCTAAAGACACAACGCCAGTTTGTCACTTTACCGCCGCAGTTGCCCCACTGTGGCACCTGGTGTCCCGACAGGTTAAGTGTCTTGCCAAGGACACAGCGTCAGCAGACATCAGGGGGAGTCAGTGGAGAAAGTCTTGTGTTGGGCTCAAATCCACGACCTTCAGGCTCAAAGGCCAATGTTCTACCGACTAAGCCACTGTCGCCCATACATTGCATAAATGTATATTATGTGTATATAGTGCTTCTAAAAGTCACCGTTGGATGAAAGTGAAGGCAGAGTCCAGCAGTGGCGCTGTCTTTCTCCCTCCGAGACGTCTTCTTCATCTGTTTTCCGGTCCCTTTTCTCAGCTGAAATAATTCTAGATTTCAAAATAAAAGACACACAACAAACCATTCATGACACAGAGTTCTTAAGTAACCGTTCTAGTTATTGGGCTAGGCTGTGTTTGATCTTGTGTTTGGTCATGTGTTTGATCCTGTTTTTTCTCTTGTGTTTGATCCTGTTTTTTCTCTTGTGTTTGATCCTGTGTGACTCTTTATGTTTCTTTGTGTCTTGTTATGTTATTTGTCTGTGGAGACAGTGATGAGGGTGAGTACCGCTGGTCTCTAAGCCTTTGGTTCCCAGGAGCCAGTTCTGGATCAGTCCGTTCACCGACACAGAGACTAAACCCTGTTTGGTCCAACACAGCTGTAGCACCTGCTTCTGCCACGGCAGCCTCAACACATGTAGACAGTAGTACTGTATTATCACACTGTTGTAAGTCTCTAACTCTAACACTAACAAATTATCTATAACCCTATCACTCATCAAAAGATCAGTGCTGTATTTGTCACTTACAGACTGAATGCCACACGGCGGCCTGTGCACGTGTTGAACAGAGACACGGAGCCGTCCTTCAGACCCACCCCCAGCTGAGAGCTCACCAGGGGAGAGAAGTCCAGAGAGGTCACAGAACTGTGGCAGGAGATGACCCGCTGTGGCCACTAGAGTGCGCACACACAACATACTGCTCAGACAGGAAATGACCCTCTGAGGCCACTAGAGGGCCCCCACACACACACACACACACACACACACTGTGAAGACAGGAAATGACCCGCTGTTGCCACTAGAGGGCCCACTCACACACACAACACGCACTGTGCGAACAGGAGGTGACCCCAGGAGGTGACCCACTAGTGGCCACTAGTGGCCACTAGTGGGTGCACACACAAACGAATGCATTTGAAGTGTCATGCTTGTGTTTCGTACCGTGATGTTCTTCAGCGACCACACACAGATAAGTCCAGTTCTGTTCTGGTCACGAGCAGAACAGTCATACCCCACAGCAAGGACATCCTAGAGCAACAACACAGAGTCACACACAGACATCACAGAGTCACACAGGCTAATCACAGACTCACATCCCGCAGAGCCATCACAGAGTCAAACTCATCAGAGAGTCACACAGATCACAGAGTTATCAGAGTCATCACTGAGTTATCAGAGACATCACAGAGTCACACAGAGTTATCACAGAGTTATCACAGAGTTATCACAGTCACACTGAGTCATCACAGTAAGTGTGTGTGTGTGCCATTACTGTTTTCTCCTTGTTCCAGGCCAAACTGGTGACCACACAGCCCTCTGTGATTTCACATCTAAAAGACCAGAGCCAGATCAGAGCTGGGGCCTGACGCCACTCCACAGACACTGCACGGCCCTCCTCCTCCTGCTCCTCCTGCTCCCTCACTCCAGTCTCTGTGTGTTAGTGTTGTACATTAAACTTTTAAAACCTTGTCCAGTATTAGATATTTATGTAGGTGTTTAGGGGGCGACAGTGGCTCAGTTGGTAGAGCATTGGCCTTCGGGCCTGAATGTCGTGGGTTTGATCCCCACGACAGTTTGACAGTACCTCGATGTTCCATTAGCAGTCTGACAGTACCTGAGTTTTCTTTAACCAGTCTGACAGTGTGTTTGTATGAAGCCAGTTGTTGTTGGTAGATGTTGAACACCAAGCTCCGTTCCATGTGCAGAAGTGTGTTCAGCTGAAGCTTAGGCCCTTCCCCCACATACCTGAGGATCTGAGGAGACTCTGGAAACAGACATGGTTCAGGCTTAAGAGACTCAAACCTCTAAAACTCGCAAGCAAACGAGAAAAAACTATACATATGCTGCCAATAGCAGATGTATTTTGAACTTCATAAGCCACAAGCTATATATCATTTTAAAGCTTATTTTCTCAGCTATATTCATATGTAAGTGTAAACGATATCAGACTTTGCATTAAAAAGATATAACGCACACTATGGGCAAAAAAAAAATCGTGTTTGTATACTTTCGTCTTCTGCTGCTCCAACAAATGAGACTTTCCCCATCCTTGCTTAGTCTCTTTCTCCCCGTAAGTCTTCATTGAAAAAGAATATCCACTTGTATTTCCCAAAGTATAATCCATTCTTCCGAAAGAATCCAAAATGTGCATTTTTCTGACCGCGGTGAAGTTAGTTTGAAGTTGGATATCCGACAGACATTCAACGGTCTTTCCCTCTCGGTACACCTCTCCTTCGCTCTGGGTACATTACGACTCAAAAGCCGCCGCAACATTTAAGTGCACCCGTACTACAGACAGTACGGTAAACACACGGAGACATGTACGCTGGTATTTTATTATTGAGTGTTTGGTTTTAAATTTTAAATTAATTAAAAATACTTAAAGAACTTAAATGATAAAAGAAGAGGTGTACCTCCTGCAGCTAGTGGAGGACTATGATCCTGACTAATTTGGAGTCAATAGATCACATGACCTAGAAGCTATTGAGCTAAAACGCTAATATTTAAATATAAACATTAATTAAAAATACTTGAAAAAGTAAAATGATAAAAGAAGAGGTGTACCTCCTGCAGCTAGTGGAGGACTATGATCCTGACAAATTTGGAGTCAATAGATCACATGACCTGGAAGCTATTGAGCTAAAATGCTAATATTTACATATAAAAAAATAATTTAAAATACTTTAAAAACTTAAATGACAAAAGAAGAGGTGTACCTCCTGCAACTAGTGGAGGACTATGATCCTGACTAATTTGGAGTCAATAGATCACATGACCTAGAAGCTATTGAGCTAAAATGCTAATATTTACGTATAAAAATTTATTAAAAATACTTAAAACATTTAAATGACAAAAGAAGAGGTGTACCTCCTACAGCTAGTGGAGGACTATGATCCTAAACTGATTTGGAGTCAATAGATCACATGACCTGGAAGCTATTGAGCTAAAATGCTAATATTTACGTATAAAAATTAATTAAAAATACTTACAATATTTGAATGACAAAAGAAGAGGTGTAACTCCTGCAGCTAGTGGAGGACTATGATCGTGACTAATTTGGAGTCAATAGATCACATGACCTGGAAGCTATTGAGCTAAAATGCTAATATTAACATATACAAAATTAATTAAAAATACTTTAAAAACTTAAATGACAAAAGAAGAGGTGTACCTCCTACAGCTAGTGGAGGACTATGATCCTGACTAATTTGGAGTCAATAGATCACATGACCTAGAAGATATTGAGCTAAAATGCTAATATTTACGTATACATGAATTAAAAATACTTAAAACATTTAAATGACAAAAGAAGAGGTGTACCTCCTACAGCTAGTGGAGGACTATGATCCTGACTAATTTGGAGTCAATAGATCACATGACCTAGAAGCTATTGAGCTAAAATGCTAATATTTACGTATAAAAATTAATTAAAAATACTTTAAAAAGTTAAATGATAAAAGAAGAGGTGTACCTCCTACAGCTAGTGGAGGACTATGATCCTAAACTGATTTGGAGTCAACAGATCACATATGGATAGCACGTTATTTAGAACCGTGCATGGTACAGCCGGGGGCCCACCCTCGAGCCAGGCCTGGGGTTGGGGCTGATCTGCGTGCGTCTGGTGGCCAGGCCTTAGCCCACGGGGCCGGCCGGACTCAACCCGATGGGATTGAGTGGGTTTGATTGATGGGCCCTCCTGGGACCCAACACCCACAGAGGGATCCGTGGTGGAGAGGTAAGTAAGTAAGTAAGTAATCTTTTATTTATATACCGCCTTTTCACTGCAGATCTGAGTCTCAAAGCGGTTTACAATTGTTAATTTTGGGCATTTGTCTCTCACTCCACACAGAGATGGGAGCGGTCGCCAGTACAGGAAGCGCATGCTAGAACTATTGGACATATTTTTAGTGGTAGGGGAAACCGGAGTACCCGGAGGAAACCTACGCAGACACGGGGAGAACATGCAAACTCCACTCAGAAAGGCCCTGGTCCGACCGGGATTCGAACCCAGGACCTTCTTGCTGAGAGGCGAGAGTGCTATCCACTCAGCCACCGTGCCGCCCAGGTGTTGAGAGGACTGGGCAGCAGTCGAAAGCGGAGACCTCACTTGGGCGGAAGAAGCCCGAGCTTGTGGGGGAGGTTGAGAGATACCGACTAGAGATAGTCGGCCTCACCTCCACACACAGCTTGGGCTCTGGAACCCAAATCCTTGAGAGGGGTTGGATGCTCCACTTTTCTGGTGTTTCTCGCGGGGAGAGGCGGCGAGCGGGGGTGACGATTCTCATTGCCCCCCATCTCAGCCGCCATGTGTTGGAGTTCTCCCTGGTGAATGAGAGGGTTGCGTCCCTCCGCCTCCGGGTGGGGGACAAGTCTCTCACTGTTGTGACGGCCCATGGGCTAAACGGTACCCAGCCTTCTTGGAGTCCTTGGGAGGGGTACTGGACAGTGCACCGCCCAGGGACTCCATTATTCAACACTCTACAACAGCCATTCCCAAACTCAGTAACACCGAGGCCCCCTTAAAAATCTGACGGGTCTGCGTGGCCCCCCAAAATAATAACCAAGAAGACAACATTAAGAATAGGCTCTTCTGGTTATTTTATTTTGGGGAAATAGCCTCTGCTACAAACATTGTAATACAAAAATGATTACAGTGGATTATTCAAGTCAAATAATGAACACAAATATTTTAATATTACAAATTAAATTTAACATTAAATAATTATATATATATATATTTTTTTTTTTGACCTCCCGCGGCCCCCCTGCAGTACCCTCGCGGCCCACCAGGGGGCCGCGGACCCCACTTTGGGAGACACTGCTCTACAACACTCAGATCTATGTCTCACGGACTGCAGGAGAACATGGATCAGTGGACTCACTCCTTCACTGTATCCAACAGATCAGTGAGTGGATGCAAAACAACTTTCTACAGCTAAACGCAGACAAAACTGAAATGATTGTATTTGGTCCCCAGAAACAAAGAGAGCGTCATCTGTCACCTACAGTCTCTTTCCCTAAAACCTTCAAATCAGGTTACAAATCTAGGGTAATACTGGACTCAGACTTACATTTTAATAGCCACATCAAATCAGTAACATCAGCAGCTTTTTACCATTTAAAAAACATTACCAGGATCAAAAACATAGTGTCTAAAGCAGACTTGGAGATTCTTATCCATGCATTTGTCTCCAGTAGGTTAGACTACTGCAATGGCCTGCTCACAGGTCTCTCCAAACAGGCTGTAAAACAGCTGCAGTACATTCAAAATGCAGCAGCCTGAGTCCTGACTAGAACCAGGAAGTACGACCATATCAGTCCAGTTCTCAGGTCTCTACACTGGCTTTCTGTGGCTCAGAGAATAGACTTTAAAACAGCTCTACTTGTGTACAAGTCTCTCCATGGCCTCGCACCAAAATATATTAGTGACATATTAGTACCATATGAACCAGCCCGGACTCTGAGGAGCACAGGGACTGGACTCCTGTTAGTGCCCAGAGTCAGAACTAAACATGAGGAGGCTGCTTTTCAGATTCATGCTGCCGGCCGGCAGAGGAGGGGGACATCAAGTCTGAGTGGATCATGTTCTCTTCTTCTATCGCCGAGGCAGCGGCTCGTAGCTGTGGTTGCAAGGTCTCTGGTGCTGGTCCCGGCGGCAACCCCCGAACCCGGTGGTGGACACCGGCAGTAAGGAGTCCTATTGAGCCATGATGGTTTGTGGGACTCCTGAGGCAGCTGTCCAGTATCGGCTGGCCAAGCGTACCGCGGTCCGTGCTGTTGTAGAGGCAAAAACCAGGGACTGGGAAGAGTTCGGAGAGTCCATGGAGCATGACAATCGGTCGGCCTCGAAGAGATTCTGGCAAACCGTCCAGCGCCTCAAAAGGCGGAAGCAGTTCTTTGCCAACACCGTGTAGCTCTCGATTTATCGGTCAATCTTTGTTCCTCCCTCACCTATGGTCATGAGCTTTGGGTAATGACTGAAAGCTGTAATGACACGGATACAAGAGCTGCTTCTCCACGTCGAGAGGAACCAGTTGAGGTGGCTCGGGCATCTGTTCAGGATGCCTCCTGGATGCCTGTTCCGGGCACATCCCACTGGGAGGTGACCCCGGGGAAGACCCAGGACACGCTGGAGGGACAATGTCTCCCAGCTAGCATGAGAATGCCTTGGGGTTCCCCCCGGACGAGCTGGAGGAAGTTTTTGTGGATAGGCAAGTCTAGGCGTATCTGCTTAGACTACTGCCCCCGCGACCCGGCAACGGATAAAGCAGAAGAAAATGGATATGGATGGGTAGTAATTTAAATGTAAAAAAAAGAGGTGTACCCCCTGCAGCTCAACAGCTTCCAGGTCATGTGATCTATTGACTCCAAATTAGTCAGGATAATAGTCCTCCACTAGCTGCAGGAGGTACACCTCTTCTTTTGTCATTTAAATGTTTTAAGTATTTTTAATTAATTTATATACGTAAATATTAGCATTTTAGCTCAATAGCTTCTAGGTCATGTGATCTATTGACTCTAAATTAGTCAGGATCATAGTCCTCCACTAGCTGCAGGAGGTACACCTCTTCTTTTGTCATTCAAATGTTTTAAGTATTTTTAATACATTTTTATATGTAAATATTAGCATTTTAGCTCAATAGCTCCCAGGTCATGTGATCTATTGACTCCAAATCAGTTTAGGATCATAGTCCTCCACTAGTTGTAGGAGGTACACCTCTTCTTTTGTTATTTAAATGTTTTAAGTATTTCTAATTAATTTATATACGTAAATATTAGCATTTTAGCTCAATAGCTTCCAGGTCATGTGATCTATTGACTCCAAATTAGTGAGGATCATAGTCCTCCACTAGCTGCAGGAGGTACACCTCTTCTTTTGTCATTTAAGTTTTTAAAGTATTTTAAATTAATTCTTTATATGTAAATATTAGCATTTTAGCTCAATAGCTTCCAGGTCATGTGATCTATTGACTCCAAATTAGTCAGGATCATAGTCCTCCACTAGCTGTAGGAGGTACACCTCTTCTTTTGTCATTCAAATATTTTAAGTATTTTTAATTAATTTTTATACGTAAATATTAGCATTTTAGCTCAATAGCTTCCAGGTCATGTGATCTATTGACTCCAAATCAGTTTAGGATCATAGTCCTCCACTAGCTGCAGGAGGTACACCTCTTCTTTTGTCATTTAAATGTTTTAAGTATTTTTAATTAATTTGTATACGTAAATATTAGCATTTTAGCTCAATAGCTTCTAGGTCATGTGATCTATTGACTCCAAATCAGTTTAGGATCATAGTCCTCCACTAGCTGCAGGAGGTACACCTCTTCTTTTGTCATTTAAATGTTTTAAGTATTTTTAATTAATTTGTATACGTAAATATTAGCATTTTAGCTCAATAGCTTCTCATGTGATCTATTGACTCCAAATTAGTCAAGATCATAGTCCTCCACTAGCTGCAGGAGGTACACCTCTTCTTTTATCATTTAACTTTTTAAGTATTTTTAATACATTTTTATCGTAAATATTAGCATTTTAGCTCAATAGCTTCTAGGTCATGTGACCTATTGACTCCAAATTAGTCAGGATCATAGTCCTCCACTAGCTGCAGGAGGTACACCTCTTCTTTTGTCGTTTAAGTTTTTAAAGTATTTTTAATACATTTTTGATATGTAAATATTAGCATTTTAGCTCAATAGCTTCTAGGTCATGTGATCTATGGACTCCAAATCAGTTTAGGATCATAGTCCTCCACTAGCTGCAGGAGGTACACCTCTTCTTTTGTCATTTAAATGTTTTAAGTATTTTTAATTAATTTATATACATAAATATTAGCATTTTATCTCAATAGCTTCTAGGTCATGTTATCTATTGACTCTAAATTAGTCAGGATCATAGTCCTCCACTAGCTGTAGAAGGTACACCTCTTCTTTTATCATTTAACTTTTTAAGTATTTTTAATACATTTTCATACGTAAATATTAGCATTTTAGCTCAATAGCTTCTAGGTCATGTGATCTATTGACTCCAAATTAGTCAGGATCATAGTCCTCCACTAGCTGTAGGAGGTACACCTCTTCTTTTGTCATTCAAATGTTTTAAGTATTTTTTCTTAATTTTTATACGTAAATATTAGCATTTTAGCTCAATAGCTTCCAGGTCATGTGATCTATTGACTCCAAATCAGTTTAGGATCATAGTCCTCCACTAGCTGTAGGAGGTACACCTCTTCTTTTGTCATTTAAATGTTTTAAGTATTTTTAATTAATTTGTATACGTAAATATTAGCATTTTAGCTCAATAGCTTCTAGGTCATGTGATCTATTGACTCCAAATTAGTCAAGATCATAGTCCTCCACTAGCTGCAGGAGGTACACCTCTTCTTTTATCATTTAACTTTTTAAGTATTTTTAATACATTTTTATCGTAAATATTAGCATTTTAGCTCAATATCTTCTAGGTCATGTGATCTATTGACTCCAAATTAGTGAGGATCATAGTGCTCCACTAGCTGCAGGGGGTACACCTCTTCTTTTGTCATTTAAGTTTTTAAAGTATTTTAAATTATTTTTGTATATGTAAATATTAGCATTTTAGCTCAATAGCTTCCAGGTCATGTGATCTATTGACTCCAAATTAGTCAGGATCATATTCCTCCACTAGCTGTAGGAGGTACACCTCTTCTTTTGTCATTCAAATGTTTTAAGTATTTTAAATTAATTTTTATACGTAAATATTAGAATTTTAGCTCAATAGCTTCCAGGTCATGTGATCTATTGACTCCAAATCAGTTTAGGATCATAGTCCTCCACTAGCTGTAGGAGGTACACCTCTTCTTTTATCATTTAACTTTTTAAAGTATTTTTAATTAATTTTTATCGTAAATATTAGCATTTTAGCTAATAAAAAAACACTACGAAAAATGTTCAGGCTTCTCTTTCACATTTCACCAAGTTTGAGCTTTGTTTACCCCCACAAACATCATATACACGTGTTCCTTGAGTCCTTAGCTTCAAAAAGAGAGGTTCCACGAAAAGATAAGAGCAGGTTTCAGTCCGCAGGACCCTTGTGAAAAAGACAAACCGCATCCACTTGCAGAGGGGTCCGTTTTTGCCTTGTTGTTGATTACAGGCTAGCGCTATGTGCTAGCACTGAATGATTGACGTGTCTAAGAAGCCAATAAAAACAGCTTTCTTTTTTGCGTAAAGACGCTGTTAGTACTGCTGCGCATATTTGATATGCATTTACACTAATAAAAAATTAATTTAGAAAAAATGTAAAAGGAAATCACACAGATTTATAAACTTATAAGTACCAAAACTAAAAAATATGCTTTTTATGATGGTGAAATGTTAGTAAAGCAGTTTGGCACAATTTGGCACACATTTTGCCAAATTTGTTCCGAATGGCACTACTTGATAAAAAAGATCAGCATAAAAACTATAAAACTTAGAAGTCTGAAACTTTACACAGTTGTTGTCAACAACACAATGAACGAATTGGCGTTGAAAATTTTCTTCTTCCAATGAAGTAGGCTTTTTTAGGGCATTTATACATTGAATTTTTTAGGCGAGGCTAAAAAAAACAGGTTTTTTCCCAAACTTCAAAGGATGCAGAGTGAAATAGGAATGACATACATTATTTCAGTGTATATTTACATGTTTTTAAATAAGCTAAGACATTTGGGTATGCCAAACTTTTGTGCACGAGCCAAAACAGATGTAGGAGTTTAAGAGGTTAAGAGACAGACAAAACATGGTATTATTACAATTGTGGCATCTGACACAACATAAAAAGCACATAGGACTCTGAGATCAATAATTTCAAGACCATAAATGTGGTTTGGATTTGGCGCTTAGACCCCGACAGAGCACTGCACAATTGCAGAAGGAGAAAGAGATTATGAGATGAAATCCCCCTGGGCCTAGACCCTGGTGGTGGTAGCTAGGAGAAGGATGAAAGAGCTGGCCTGGAATGAAAAGGAGATGGGGAGGAGGAGGGCTGGGGTATGATTGAAGCTGCTGCTTGGCTGGAGCTTGAAATGGGACAGTGCCTGATGTTTGCCAGGTGAGGGCACTGTGGCGCTGCAGCTGCGTGTGATGGACTGATGCTGAAGCAGAAGCTCTCAATGGTGAGCTTAGTTCTTCTGTCTTCCAGTCTGAATATCTACTTTAGCTTCATCACTTCAGCAGCATGCTGCTGCTACTGCTGCTGCTACTGCTACTGCTGGTGCTACTGCTGCTCACCTGGGTCAGTGTCAGTGTTCTGAGCAGTTGTTCTGATGACCCCCTCTCTGAGCTGCAGGTCTCTGTCTGTGGGGGAACTCCTGCTGTCGTAGATCTGCCAGGAACTCACCACTGCATCTGTATGAATGAGTGAGTATGATTTGTGTGAAAGAGTATGCTGTCACCAGCACATCTGTAAGAATAAAAAATGTCACCAACACATCTGTATGAATGAGTGATGTCACCAGCATATATATAATATATAATTATTATTATCTTAATTAGGTTTGCCTGGATCGGTTTGCACACTTGGTGTGCAATCCATGAATCTTGGTGCTGTAGCCTAGGCTAGCCTAGCCGTGGCTGCTGCTGTCTCACCTCCTTTCAGATACGCTCTCTTTATTCAAGGCTAGGTTTAAAACAGTCCTCTTTAGTTTAGCATATGGCTAGGAAGGTAAGACTCAGGGAAGGCTAAACTCCTCAGACTGTCAGTCAAGGGGGGGTCTCCCTCCCTGTAGGTTTCCCTAGTTCTCCCCAAGGTTTCTCACTTTTTCCCACAGGGTTTTTTAAGAGTTTTTCCTTGTCGATGCAGGAGGGTCTTGTTGGACAGTTAGTGTCCAACAGAAAGGATTGGTGATGATCAGGACACTTTAGCATTCTACAACATGTATGGACATTTTCTTCTGTGTGTGCTTTATATTTTTCATGTGTTTTAACTGTTGATTCTCTGATCTGTGTTGGTGATTTCAATGGTTTTGTTAAGTCCTCTTTACTGCAACCGGCGCGCCGGCGGCCGTTTTTATGTTTTTAAATGTTCTGCTGGCAATAGCAGATGTATTTTGAACACCAAACCCCAAAAGCTGTATATCATTTTAAAGCTTATTTTCTTATCTACATTTATATACAAGTGTAAAGTCCTCTGAGATGACTTCTGTTGTGACCTAGGGCTATACAAGAATAAATTGTATTGTATTGTATCTGTATGATTGAGTAATTTCACCACCAGCACATATGTATGAATGAGTGATGTCACCAGCACATCTGTATGAATGAGTGAGTATGAGAACATGTGACACCACATGTGTGATGTCACAAATAGAAGGGACACACACTGTTATATACCAATGAGGAGGGGACTGACCTGATTCCACTGTGTCCAGAGAGTCGGTCTGGATCAGTTTATTTTTCAGGGCGTCGCCCAAAGTCTGCATCTCTCTTTCCACAAATTTCTCATTTCCAGGTTTGGTCTGACACAGCTCTATGTAGTGACGGTTCCTCTGTCTGTAACAAAGTATTTGTTTGATGGTTCAGACTCTAGAGTTTTCTGCTCCTCAGTCAGTGTTGATTCCTGAACATTGTAAAGTGCTCTGGGTGACCTTGGTCTGTAAAATACGCTTTATAAATAGTAAGTAAGTAAGTAAGCTTTTATTTATATACCGCCTTTTCACTGCACATCGGAGTCTCAAAGCGGTTTACAATTGTTGGGTGGGGGTGCCAGTACAGGAGGCACATGCCATACCTATTGTACATATTTTTAGTGGTAGGGGAAACCGGAGCACCCGGAGGAAACCTACGCAGACACGGGGAGAACATGCAAACTCCACTCAGAAAGGCCCTGGTCCAACCGGGATTCGAACCTAGGACCTTCTTGCTGAGAGGCGAGAGTGCTATCCACTCAGCCACCGTGCCGTAAATAAACATTACTTACTTACTTACTCAGTCTTTAGAGTCCTCTGCTCCTCAGACTCCAGAGCCAGATGTTCCCCAGACTCTAGAGCCCTGTGTTCCTTAGACTCTAGAGCCCTGTGCTCCTCAGACTCTAGAGGCCTCACCTCTGGAGTCTGAGGAGCAGAGTTGAGGTGTGCATTGACTTCAGGAGGTCCCCCTTCCCTCCTGCCTGTCACTCTTCACTCTCTCCCGGTCGAAGTGGTGGATCAGTACAAATACTTGGTTACCATCATCACAATAAACTCACCTTTGAGCCCTAGGTCGATGCTCTCTGCAGCAAGGCCCACCAGCACTTGTCCTTTTATTGTAAACTGAGTAATTTTAATGTTGACAGAACTCTTTTGAAAAATTGTATTGTTGTTTTATTAAATCGGTTCTTACCTTCTCTTTTATTTGCTGGTTTGGAGCGTTATCCGTTAAGATATTGCTCAGATCCTAAAAAGAGCCACTGTGGGCAGAGTTTAAGTTGCTTCCATCTGGACACAGATATACTGTAGCTCCACTAAATGTAGGACTAACAGATTCAAGAACTCTTTTACCCCTTTTGCCATTGGTATTTTAAACCAGTCAGTGTAGTCCTGTTTTATTGTGTATAAATTGTTTCCTTGTGTATATGTGTGCCTGCTGCAAACACATTTCTGCTCGAGGATAATTATACCTTGAACTTCTGCTCCTCAGACTCTAGAGCCCTCACCTCTGCTCCTCAGACTCCTCTGAGGCCTCAGATACAACAGAGCTGGGGAGGTCCAACAGAGATATGGTGCTGGTCTCTCTGCAGCAGATGGTTATCTGCTCATCCTCGTCGTCTATTCAAACATATGTACATTAGTCATGTGTGATGTAAAGTTCAGTGTTGCACATTCACCTCTGTGATGTGTGTGAGGCCTCGGGTCACTCCTGGTGTCCACAGTGAGAGAGCTGAAAAACATCGCTGGAATTTATTAAAGGGACAGTCCCAATATTAAAGCTGGGTTACCTCACTTCTTACTGTTTTAGAGCTAGTAACTAGAGACATGGGTCTCTTTCTTTCTCCAGAGGCATGAGCTCCAGAAGCCCGTCTCCAGAAGGTGATTGACAGACAAATCAAATCAGTGCACACAGCCTTTCCTTGTGTGTGGTTTTGCGTCTACCAGTCTGTTCTAATCTGTTTCTGCCATTGTCAGCGACTAAAAGTTTAATCTTTATGTGCATCATTATTGTATGCCCAGTATGATCTTCACACCACAGTACAGCACTGAAAGAGTTAGTTTCTTGGATATTTTGGTCATGAAATCTAATGGCAAGATCATCACCACATTGTATAGAAAAGAGACTGATAGGAAAACACTATTGCTAGCCTCTAGTTTTCATCCCACCTCACTAAAGAAGAATCTTCCCATCAGTCAATTCTATAGACTCAGGCATATTTGCCACTCCAAAGAGGACTTTATCAAACAACAGATGACATGAAAATCCGATTTGCACAGAGGGTATCCTGCTGCAAAAAAACAAAAACAATTCTCTGTGACTATCATGTCCCAGAACTCTCCTCATTCTGCTGCTGTGAAGAGTATCTTTAAAACACACTGGCATATTCTAGCTTCAGACCCCGAACTCTCAAACACCCTGTTTGTGAACAATAGGGGCAAGAATCGGAGAGATTTTTTGGTTCGATTCCCAAAGTCACATTTACTCAGACCCTCCTGACCCCTATTCCGAATGGGAATTACAGATGTTTTTTCAGCACCCACACAGTGGAAAGGAAATTCTAAACAAAAGCATGATCACCTGTGCATCCACTCATGTTGGGAAGCAACAAATTAGTGAACAAAAAAGTACAATGCGCAGAAATAACTACCCAGTGGCAGCACACTTCAAAGATGCTCACCATGATGTTAGTACTCAGCGTTTCATTGGCAGTGAACAGGTCCTTCCACCCCTTAGAGGAGGAGACCATGACAAGCGTCTAAAACAGAGGGTAGCGTAGATAGATAGAAAGATAGACCCTCATTGTCCCCTGAGGGAAATTCATTTCCACAAACACTGTCACATACATAGAATAGGGAGGAAGGAAGTTACAATACACACAAGACACACAAAAAACACAGAAAGAAACAAATACAATACAGGATTAAGGGAAAAATTACAGACTGAGAGCAGCTATGAAGAGAAACAGCTCTTGCTAAATCTTGTCCGCGTCTCTACTTCCTGCGAAAACTTAAGAGAATTTACCACTAACTCTAAGATTCTGCTTAACTTTTATTGCTGCACCATTGAAAGTTTACTTGTTGGTTCTGTGTCTGTGTGGTTTGGAAACATCACAGATAAAGAAAAGAGAGATTTAAACAAGGTTCTCCGCTCTGCAAAGAGGACCGTGGGCTGTGAGCTTCCTGTTCTGGAGGTTCTTTATGAATCGAGACTTTTAAACAAAACTCTTAGGATTGTTAATGACTCTTCTGGCCACCCTGGGAAAGCCATGTTCCAGCTTCTTCCCTCTGGCAGAAGATATTGTTCTCTGAGATGCAGGACATCACAACATGCTAACAGCTTCTTCCCACAAGCTGTTAACAGTCTGAACAGAGCACTTTAATGTTCTTGCACCTGTATTGAAACTGTTTTAGTCAAATCGTTTTTCTCAGTGACAATTGTTTATTGTTTTATTTATTTCTGTACTTTTAATGTTGTGTTATGTCTGTATTTGTCTGTGCACACTGGTGACTTTTGCAAAGGTATTCCAGAGTAATTTTATACTGCAAATGGCAAATAAACTGAATCTGAATCTGATTTGAATGTTCTGTATCTGCGTCGTGAGGGCAGCAGAGTGAAGTGGGTGTGGAGAGGATGGTCTGAGTCTATGTTAACTGTCCGGGCCATGCGTGTTACTGCTGTGAGGTTAAGGTCTGTGGTGGGGAGAATGATGATTTTGGATGCTGTGTGTGTGTACTGGATTGAACACTTACACGCTCTTGCACCAAAGGGACTAAATGATGAACTGGTAGTAAATGTATTTCTATAAGGTCTGCATTTTGGAATAGCGGTGTATATAAGTTAAAGGATGGAGTTTGAGACAGTGACTTTGAGCACTGTCAGCAACATCCATTATATATTTACACTATTGTACCTCATGTATATATTTTCTGCAAGTGACACTTCACCAAAGACTGTTTCAAAACTACAGTTACCATGAAACTGGACTCACTCAAAAATAGCCTGGCCTTAGCCATCCTTAAACTACATGTACGTCTGGGTCTGATCCTAGTTGAATTCCATCTGACCATTCAGCAAGCGGGGGAGGCGGGTGTTGTAGGTAGGTGACATCAAGAGTTTTCAGCAAATTTGCTGGTTGGAGTTTGGCAATGGCCAAATCCGTTCTGGTTCGGCTCCAAATATCAAGAAATTGAAGCCGGAGCAAGAGGAATGTTAAGCAAATTTCAATGCTGGTGTGGCAAGCTGGACTTGGCCACTATATTTGTGTCCACTAGAGGGCGCATAAATGTATAAATTGCCTCGAGTTGAGTCTTTGTTTACGTCTGCAGTTCCATCTCCTGTGGTTCGCGCCTGCCTTCTCCTGCTCCAGGTAGTAACGTTCTAGTGTTCATGCTAATATTTGTAAGTTGCAGCCACTAATAAGTTATTTTATTGTAGTGCCGTGGTGAGGCCTTCTTGCCCCGCGAGTCCTGCTTGTATATGGCCATGCTGTCCTGTCGCTTTGGCGTCTGGCCGCCCTTGTGAAATGTAACAAAACATGTTGAACGAAGAAAACTGAACTATACATCGTAATGTAATAAATCAAAGTAACTTAATGTCTCAGGCACATTACATACGTCAAGGTAAAATCAGATTCAATCGTTTCAATCTGCAAAAGGAGATAACCCCTCCCACCTGTAGACGGAGCTCATTGTAGCAAATCCAGACCTTAGTAAATAATAAAATTAGTACAATGGTATGGTAAGACCAGACTAACTCAAAAGCTGATCTGGAAACCTATATTATTCCCACAATAAAAAGACACTAACGAGGAGCAAGAAGCTGTCTGAAGAGAAAGAGGTGTGAGGGTCTCCATGAGCAGGAGGTGTGTGTGAGGAGGTTACGTTGTGTTGGAGGTGGTGCTGTCTGAGTCCAAGTCGCTGCCTTCATCCAGAAAGAACAAGCCGTATCTGAGGGCTGGATCCGGGGGAGGGAGGAGGTGCAGACCATGTTTGAGGTCTGGGTCTGGAGGAGGGACGAGGTGCAGGCCATGTGTGAGGTCTGGGTGAAGGGGAAGTGGAGTCCCATCTGAGCCATCTTCATCCAGAACCTTCAGAAGAAGAAATAGCTTCTTGTAAAGAAATCACCTTTAATACATATACTTATTTTCTGCCTGTTAGGAAGAAGAAAACATTTTGTGACTCAGAAAATCCATTCTCAGCCCAAAAAGTCAAATAATGACTCTCAGGGCTCTTTGTTACAGGTATGGTCTTATTTGACGAGCACATATCACCAGAATGATTGACCAATAGTCTTGATGATCCACCCGAAAGTAGAAAATCCTCCTATATGTGGCTACTCCACATCTGCTGCTGAGACCCATCCTGCTCCACCCAGAGGCTTCTCCATCTCTGCTGCTGTGGCCTGAAGGACTGTTGCTGGTTATTATTACTATTGTTAGCTTTTTAGAATGATCAATTTAATTTTTGAATTTTGTTGCTACTGGACACCTGAATTTCTCCTATGGGGATGAACATGTATGAAACAAAAATAACAACAACAAACAAGACTGTTGTGGTTTGTTCTGCAGGGTTTGTTTACATTATTATTGCAAGGGAAATTTAGGTACCGCAGCTTTAATTTAGTGAGTTTCAGTTTTGGTGCTTCAGAAGGAGACACGAGGGAGACACACATCAGGAGGAGACACAGGAAGGACACTTCAGAAGGAGGCACAGGAGGAGACACAGGAAGGACACTTCAGAAGGGGACACAGGAGGAGACACAGGAAGGGCACTTCAGAAGGAGGCACAGGAGGAGACACAGGAAGGACACTTCAGAAGGGTACACAGGAGGAGACACAGGAAGGGCACTTCAGAAGGGGACACAGGAGGAGACACAGGAAGGGCACTTCAGAAGGAGGCACAGGAGGAGACACAGGAAGGACACTTCAGAAGGGGACACAGGAGGAGACACAGGAAGGGCACTTCAGAAGGGGACACAGGAGGAGACACAGGAAGGGCACTTCAGGAGGAGACACGGGAAGGACACTTCAAGAGGAGACAAAGGGAGAACACTTCAGGAAGACAATTCAGGGAAGGATCGAGGGAATGCTCCTGTCCAGGGAGTGCTCCGCGCTGGTCAAATAGAAGGAAAATTCCATGTAGTCTGTTCATTGTTATTCACCCGTTGTCCCATCGTCTGTTTCATGGTGCAACGACGGGACCTCTGAACCTGGCCTCCTCCATCTACACCTGCGGACTGCCCTGCCCGACCCGCCTGGGAACTGTTTCAGTCCTGCACCGGACCTGTCCACGCTCTGCGGCCGCTGTGTGGCCCTGGTCCACGTACGGAAGCTTTGGTCCAGGTCCGTGTGGAGCGGATCCCTCTCACAATATGTGGGTCTCCCAGAGGTTTCTCACTTTTTTCCCACTGGGTTTTTCTTATGAGTTTTTCCTTGCCGATGTAGGAGGGTCTGTTGGACTGTTATTGTCAAACAAAAAGGATGTGGTGAAGTTCCAGGAAACTCTAACATTCTACAACATGTATGCCATGTGTTCTATATTCTTTTTGTGTCTTAACTGTTGATTCTCTGATCTGTGTTGGTGATTTCAATGGTTTTGTTAAGTCCTCTGAGATGACTTCTGTTGTATTGTATTTAAGTCACTTGCACTAGGACAAAAATAAAAAAACTTACTGATCTGATTACTATTGCCACTGTTTCTTTGATTGCCACTTTTTATTGCATATAATATATCCTGCATTTAACATGTTTGCACATTTCTTTCTTTTGCACAATCTTGAGTGATTCTATCCATGCCAGATGTGATGTGTAAATTTCTCCTGTGTGAGATCATTAGATAGTTTTCCACTAACGTCACACACTACCCCACAATTCCGCAGTTCGCCAAGGTTGTAGCTAACCAAATCGGGCCAAATAACTTTTTTGCTAAAACATGCCGACTGCCTGCATCGCTTGGGGGTGCAGTAACCGCGTAGATTGTGGGGACATTCCGAAGGCTGTTACGAGCCAGGGGAGAGACTCGGGACGGAGAAATTACTTCTTAGATGGCGAGGATCAACCAGAGGAATTAAACCCTAACCCATGGAAAACGGCACTATAAGGTCTGTTCTGACCATTTCATAAGAGCTAGCTAAATCTGTGCATGTGTGGTTTATATTCAGAGCTGCCATTTGACTGATACTAAGTCTATATGGGCGCCTCGAGCATCCCATCTAAATGAATGAGAGGGGGAGGGGGAGGAGGAGGAGGGGGGGATAGCGCAGTGATTTGCGGCCTGTGATATCAACTGCTTCGTTCAAAATAAAATGTTGATTGAAAGAAATATTGCATCATATACATCATGACGTTTTTTTAATTGTAAAACTGTTAAGTGAAAGTAAGCCATTTCTGGGAAGTCCACTGGTCTCGTCGCGTTTCATATAGATCCAAATCTCCCGATTCTCAAATGATCTTGCCTCACAGATTACTCCAGCGTATCAATATACTTAACGCGGTCAGTGTCGGCCGAATTCGTGGCTTTAGATGACATGGGGACAAATGATCCGTGACAAATTATCAGTGACAAATGATACATGCAATATAAGCTTGACTCCCAAAATGCCGTTCGCGCAAAGCATCATGGGTAATAAACACGTGATGGAAAACCATGTATAAAGTCTATCTTATCTCTTAATAATTCTCTTTCTCGGTCCACAACGTTATTATAATAGATCCATGGTCCACCCCCACCGGCTAGGCTGGAGATTGCAAGCATGTCAGCGCACGTGCTCATGGACCTTTTTGAGCCAGGACGGGACCCGCTCCCAATGGTGTAAACATTTTGGTCCCTGACCCAGACCCTGAATGTGCCTTATCTTTGACCTCACCCTTATATTCTTCTTGGGTTCATGGATCTTCTTCTCTGATCTGTCTTTTCTCGTAGACTTCGTAGAGACAGCTCCTCGGACACTAGCAGAGCTTCCACTGGAGGAGGAAGAACTCCTTGTTTTCCTAAAAACAAACACTTTTCAAGATGAAACATTCTCAGAACCGTTAGTAAAATAGATCCATAAGCGGAACCCGTAGCTAGCGTTTGAAGAAGATGACAAAGTCTGGGATCGCGTCTTTAATTCAGACAGAAGACATGTTTTATTGTCGATGGTAGAGATAGCACGAACAACACGAACAAAGGATGTAAAAGACTGTTAGTTATAATATGGCATGGGAGAATGAAGTCCTCCAATCAGCAGCTGCCACGGTGTGCTTGTAGCTTGGCCTTCAGATAGACAAAGGGCGGCACGGTGGCTGAGTGGATAGCACTCTCGCCTCTCAGCAAGAAGGTCCTGGGTTCGAATCCCGTTTGGACCAGGGCCTTTCTGAGTGGAGTTTGCATGTTCTCCCCGTGTCTGCGTAGGTTTCCTCCGGGTGCTCCGGTTTCCCCTACCACTAAAAATATGTACAATAGGTCTGACATGTGCCTCCTGTACTGGCACCCCCACTCCCAAAAAAAAAAAGAACAATTGTAAACCGCTTTGAGACTCCGATGTGCACTGAAAAGGCGGTATATAAATAAAAGATTACTTACTACTTACAAACAGTGATGGGAATAACGGCGTTACTTTTTTCAGTAACGAGTAATCTAACTAATTACTTTGACAGTAACTATAACGCCGTTATCATTTCCGACATCCCGTTACTGCGCGTTACTCAAGACGCACAATGAACGTGTTGTCATGAGAGAAGGGAGGATGAGAAAACCTCTCAGCAATTATTGGCTGATGTAAATCATATTTCCTTTACAATCTACATGTCTACAGTTGAGAGGATGGTCATAAATTGTGTTTTTGAAACAAATATGGGTCTTAATCGCGCTCAACCACGGCTTGTATCACCGTGAGGTCAGCCACAGAGGAGCGCATGTGAGCGCAGAAGTCGGCTGCATACAATTCCATCGATAAGCTCCTTGCTCTTCCTGGTTTATCTGCTAAGGACAGCAACAGGTTTGGCTAACATACATATAACACATTTTTACATAATCTAAAATGCACATAGGGTAATTTTTCAATTACTATAGGAATGATAAGAAAGAGAGGTGAAGTGTAAGACGGTTGATTTTAGAAATTGGATGCACTCGGCTGCAGCAAAACAGAGGAGTTTACGGAGGACACACGCGTTTTGTTTTACTTTTTAAAACTCATTGGACTCATTTCCAAATGGAGGATTACATATCTACGCTCAAACCATTCACTGGATTTAAACAAGGAACTGGTCTGAACCGAAGTGGACTGTGCAGGTCATTTATAAGGTATAGCTATAAGGTAAGACCCATAACTCACAGTTTTGCGTTTTGTATGAACAAACAATGCGGGCATGAAACATATTTTGCTGTAGCCAAACAAATTGTCCACTTGATTTATATGATGTATATGTTCATCTGATTGGACTGAAGTCAGTGCTTCACCGGTGTTTCCACATTCACAGTGGCGGGCTTTACAGCACAGTGAGAGATGAAGAGTGAACAGGACTTCAGCAGCAAAACAGCCTTTTCTAGATGGAAATATTGGCACTGTTAAAGGTAAAAATGCGCACGTCGGGTGCACATTATGTTCCAGAACAAAACGAAAAAGTAACGCAATAGTTACTTTTACTGGTAAATAGTTACTTTTATAGTGGAGTAACTCAGTTAGTAACTCAGTTACTTTTTGGGAGAAGTAACTAGTAACTATAACTAATTACTTTTTCAAAGTAACGTGCCCAACACTGCTTACAAAACATCAAATGGAAAAGTACAGGCTTCTGCACATTGATAGAATGATGAGTTTAACTTTAACAAAAGCTGCTTAAAAGTGTTATGAAATCTCACACGTTAGCATAATTTATCACAATGAGTTGCTAATTATTACCATTTTAACAAGCGGACCGCCATGTTCTTCCCCAAGGTCTTATCCATGTTATAAATGTTGTTATGTACATATATGTGTATGAGTGTACATGTATATATCTGTATATGTGTGTTTCTAAGTTGTAACGAGAGTGAAATAAACTGACTTTGTTTAAATATTTAGCGGCTAACGGCTGACGCGGGAATGATTTGGTTGCCATGACGCGAGTAAAAGACGCAAAAGGGACCAGAAAAACCATTTTGTTAAAAATGTATTTATTTGTTGATGATAAATGTTAATTTGTTGGATATATTAAGGTTATGACTGTGTTATTAACATGTTTGATATATTACTGTCAAACGTATATAAAAGTTCATTCTGGATGTTTACCATAAACTTTATCTGGCAACCCACGGGTTTGAGGTTCCATGCGACTGGTGTTTGGGTTTGGGTTAGCATGTTGGCACGTTAGCTATGGTTAGCAGGGAAAGATCTGTTCGTGCTTTCGGATGCTAATGGCGCATTTATTTGACTACAACATTACTGTATTACTATTAAGGCGTAAAAGATACACGCGCGTTTAGAAGAGGTATTTCCTTAGTCTAAAGCTATTCATTTCCCCTTTGTTTCGTGCTGCTCAGATAAGGATAATCCGCAGACAGATAACACTGTTTTATGATGGGTCCTCGGTGTTTGTACTGTCCATAGTCCAGTGTTCTCCCTAACGCTAATCCTGGGCTCTCTGCACTCTCCCCGTTCTGGTCCTCTATCCCCTGTCTCTGGTCCTCTATCCCCTGTCTCTGGTCCTCTATCCCCTGTCTCTGGTCCTCTATCCCCTGTCTCTGGTCCTCTATCCCCTGTCTCTGGTCCTCTATCCCCTGTCTCTGGTCCTCTATCCCCTGTCTCTGGTCCTCTATCCCCTGTCTCTGGTCCTCTATCCCCTGTCTCTGGTCCTCTATCCCCTGTCTCTGGTCCTCTATCCCTGTCTCTGGTCCTCTATCCCCTGTCTCTGGTCCTCTATCCCCTGTCTCTGGTCCTCTATCCCCTGTCTCTGGTCCTCTATCCCCTGTGTCTCTGGTCCTCTATCCCCTGTCTCTGGTCTGGTCCTCTATCCCCTGTCTCTGGTCCTCTATCCCCTGTCTCTGGTCCTCTATCCCCTGTCTCTGGTCCTCTATCCCCTGTCTCTGGTCCTCTATCCCCTGTCTCTGCTCCCGTGTCCCTCCTGGTCATCTGCACGGTCTCTGCTCCCCCTTCCCTGGGCATCTTCCCCGAATCTGCTCTCCTATTCTTGGTCCTGGTCATCTCCCTGGTGTCTGCTCCCTTGGTCCTGGATCTCCTCCCGGTCTCTGCTCTGGTCTCCTGCCGTCTGTCGAGCCCTCTCCCTGGGATACGAACATGTCTGTGACAGGGATGAAGAAGCAGTTCCACAAAGCCAGCCAGGTCAGTGCATTTACGCTGTTTATGTTTCTGTCTTTATTTGTTTGATGCTGTAAAAAACAAGGTCACACAAGTGTACTTTGTAGGGAAGGAGTGGCTTTGACATGATATACTTACTACTGGTTTATTATGGTAACAGATAAAGCTGAGGAACCTATCTTTCAAAGCACAGAGGTTATGCACAGGAGTGTGTTCCTAAGTGACAGTCCTGATTTGTTTGTGAACATCTCACTTTTACACATTTGGGTTTTTGAATGTGTAAAACGCACTTCTCAACTCTTTTTATATGTGGTTTGATTTTGAGTAATACTTTTTAAATGGAACGTTCTTAAATTAAAGTAGAAGTTTAACAGTAAAATACACTTGGTTTATATTGTGTTTACACTGCGTTTAAATATACTTTTGGCCGCCTGACCCTCACCGTGACCCTTCACCCTGACCCTCACCATCACTCTGACCCCTTACCCTGATGCTAGAGGCGAATCTCTGTTGCAGCCACTAGATCAGGGGTGTCAAACTCATTTTGGTCCGGGGGCCACATACAACCTACTTGGATCTCAGGTGGGCCGGACCAGAAGATGCTCTACAAAAATACCCAAAAACGGTACAAAGTCCATCTTTTTGTGCACATAACCACATTTATGTAAAACTTCCTTTAAAACACTGTCCTTACTCAGTTTTCTAGTGCAAATAATGTAATGTATTTACAATATTACATTGAATATGGCATTTCACAATATGTATATTAATATTTGTATGTTAGCTTTGTTTTAAGGCTTATTACATACATTAAATGTCCAAAAATCATCACCTCCATTTGCGGCTTTGTCACTACACCTGTTTTTACCATCGGTACCAGGCTGGTCTAGCCTGGTCGTACCACACCTTAGTACAAATTACATTTCATACTAAGGTCTGGATTTGCTCCATTGAGCTCCGTTTACAGGTGGGAGGGGTTAACTCCTTTTGCAGATTGAAACAATTGGATATGAGTTTACCGTGACGTATGTAGTGTTCCCGAGTGTGTTGTTAGCATTTAGCATTTAGCCTAGCCATCTCCTTTGCCGCTAACGGAGCCCGTGGGGAGTAGCGCCACAATCTTGACCAGCGATTACATTTGCTAAACATTCCTCTTGCTCCTGCTTCAATTTCTTGATAGAACCAGACCGGATTACTTTACTATCGCATTCTTCGCCATTGCCAAACTACAGCCTGCCCGTTCGACGCAAACTCTTGACGTCACCGGCACCGACTTACAAGACCTGCCTTCCGCGCTCTCTGAGTAGCCGGTCGAAATATGACAAATTGTATTGTCGCTAACACAGGGACCAGACCCAGACGGTTACATGCAGTGAAATGATGATTGAGCGGAGTGTACGGATGGCTATGGCCAGGCTAAGGATGGTCCTGCGCAGGACCAGTCCACACTGTTCAACACGTCACCAGCAACAACAGCAGAACCAGCAGCAGCACCCGCACCAGTAACAACAGCAGAACCAGCAGCAGTGCTCAAAACCCGTCTGTGATAGTTTCAGTAACACCACAAATGAATATGCGACATCAGTAACATCAGTCTATTATCAATGGCAACATGTTGGTATAAGCGAGTGGTTTCTCAGGACGCAGTCTGCAGCCTGTGTAAGAGTTTTAACAAACTCTGCGATGCTAATGCTATGTTTTTAGCTTGTCTTTACAGCAGCACTAACCTCTTGCTCTGGGCACAAACAGACTGCTGTTTCTTCAGGGCCAGACATGTTTATCTTCTGTCTTCTCAATTCTCCGCTCAAAGTGCCGTATTTTTTGCAGAGTCTCGTAGTTTAAGATGTTATTCCTTCAGCACCGCTCTGGTGGAGCCACTACAGACGCACTGGACTCACTGCTGAGCGCAGCGCTGTGGCGCGGATATTTTACATTTATTATTATTATAATTTTACATAAATGAGCTGCGGGCCGTGTCAAATCTCTTGGCGGGCCGGGTCCGGCCCGCGGGCCGTATGAATGACACCCCTGCACTAGATGGTGCTTTTGTACTGAATTAGATACGGTTACCAGAGCAACATACTATACAGCAACAACATGTCTGAAAATAAATGGAAACAACAAAACAGTGCTCTGCATCAGTGCATCAGCATTTTATAGATTCTTCAAAGGTCCAGAGGTATGTGTCCTAACAGGGGCTTTGTATTTGTTATTGAAGGGAACTAGCTAACACTAAGATAAGACTTTATTGATCTCACACTGTAGATATTTACATGTCACGGATTGTGCAAACATGTTAGAGGCACAAAATATAGTCTGTTCAGGATATATTATGTACAATAAAAGTGGCAATTAACAAACAGTGGCAATAGCAGTGCAGTTTTTTTTTCCCTAGTGCATGACTTTTTTGTGTACAGCACTTTGGCTGAACTGTAAAGTTTTTAAAGTTCTTTATAAATAAAGCTGGTATGGTATGACTTAAAGTAACTTATTGTACAGTCTGACAGCGGTGGGAATGAAGGCCCTGCGGTAGTGCTCCTTCTGAGAGAGCTCCTCAGCTCCTCTACAGTCCTGTGTAGTGGGTCTGAGGTGTGGTCCATGATGGAGGTGACTTTGACTAGCACCCTCCTGTCCCTCACCTCCTCCACAGAGTCCAGGGAGCAGCCCAGAGTGGAGCTGGCCCTCCTGACCAGCTTGTTCAGTAGGGCTGAAACAACTAATCGATTAATCGACGACTAATCGATTATTGAAATGGTCGACAACTATTTTAGTAATCGATTAATCGTTTTCTGGTTCACACGGACTCAAACAGAGCAAAAATGACATGAAAATGTAGTATTTTTTATTAAAACCGACTTTGTTTTTATAATTTCATGAATATCTGTCTGTCTCATCCAATCAGAGCAGAATTAGCACAAAGAGCCTGTTAAAAACATTTACTTTAAGTTTACGCCATCAATACGTCCTCGAGTGTTGCCACTTTAGCTTTTTGTGATGAAAAAATATTTTTTTTCTACACAATTCACAGCCAAGCGATTACTCGATTAATCGTAAAAATAATCGATAGATTAATCGATTACTAAATAATCGTTAGTTGCAGCTCTATTGTGCAGTCTACTCCTGTCCTGCTCCGTGCTGCCCGGGGCCCAGCACACGGCCGCGTAGTGTATGGCAGACTCTACCACAGTGTCATAAAAAGTCCTGAGCAGAGGCTGCTCACTCCGAAGGACCATAGCCTCCTCAGAAGGTGGAGGCAACTTTGGCCATTCTTGTACCGGGCGTTTGGTGTTATGAGACCAGTCCAGTTTATTGTACCGTCTCCTTGGGACAAAGTCTGTGATAACTGATTCCAGTATTCCAGTTCGTTCCCCTCAGACACACAGTCGTCAAAGAACTTCTGCAGGTGGCAGCTGTGTGTGTTATATGTGAAGTCTGAAGTGTAGATGGTGAAGAGAAACAGTGAGAGGACAGTGCTCTGAGGGACCCCTGTACTGCAGACCACCGCCCCAGACTCACAGCTGTGCAGCCGCACGTACTGTGGTCGGTCCAAGAAGTACTTGATGGTCCATGCAGTGAGGTGACTGTCCACTCCCGAGTCCTCCATCTTCCCCCTGCAGCTGTGCCAGTCTGATGGTGTTGAAAGCACCGGAGAAGTCAAAAAACAAAATCATGACCCTAACATCAACAGGAACTAGCTAACATTAATGTCAACAGGAGCTAGTTAACATTAACCTCAACAGGAACTAGCTAACATTAACGTCAACAGGAACTAGCTAACATTAACGACAACAGGAACTAGCTAACATTAACGTCAACAGGAGCTAGTTAACATTAACGTCAACAGGAGCTAGTTAACATTAACCTCAACAGGAACTAGCTAACATTAACGTCAACAGGAACTAGCTAACATTAACGACAACAGGAACCAGCTAACATTAACGACAACAGGAACTAGCTAACATTAACGTCAACAGGAACTAGCTAACATTAACGTCAACAGGAACTAGCTAACATTAACGTCAACAGGAATTAGCTAACACAAACGTCAACAGGAACTAGCTAAGATTAATGTAAACAGGAACAAGCTAACACTAATGTAAACACCAATTGGGCGTTCAGACCGCTAACGCTTGAATGCAACTTCTATGCGCACTGGACGCACATTCATTAACTCTCAGATGCAGAATGAAAGAGCAGTACTTTTCCTAACTGAGTTTTTATGTAAAGTTCTTCTCCAAGAATGCAGCTCTGCATCGTCTTTGTCCAAAGCTGCGCCATACGTTTATTTTATTAATAAACGGTACTTCCGCATTGGCGAACACGTTAGCAGCACTTGTTTACAGTCACGGGAGAATCAGAACTCAGGCTGGAAGCATATGTTCACAAGCACAGTGTTCTCCATTGTCAGTCCTGATTTAGTCCTGTTTACGGGTATCTTCAGTCTGTTCGCTCAGACCTCTAGTGTCCCAGTGACCACTTTGCGGTTCGCTGGTTGCTTGCTGCAACTGTGGTTGGTAGAAAAAATTTAACAATGTCCGTCTCCTGCCTGCGTTGAGTTGCCTCAACGGCACCTCTGCCGCACAGTTTGTGCCTGCGTGCCGCAACGCACATGCAATTTCACACAACGGAGGTCACCATTGACTTTGCTTTGAAAGTCGCCGCAACGCATGATGCAGTCTGAACGCCCCAAAACATCCACAAGAACTAGCTTACAATAACGTCAACAGGAACTAGCTAACACTATCATCAACAGAAACTAGCCAACATTTAAACAGGTGTAACGTATCACAGAGCTTAAAGCCAAGTGTATAGTTGCGTAACGCGGAGCTTACGGTGGTGATGTGACGTTGCTTGACCAATGCAAGGATCAAGACCCTTGCGTAGCCACCCCTGCGCCCTCAAAAATGTGTAAAGCCTAGTGTATACTCGCGCGGAGCTTACGGAGGTGACGCGACGTCACTTGCGCAACGCGTTGGTCACCGCAAGGCCCTTACGTCGCCTGCCGCGCAGCATCGAAATGTTCTAACTACGTAAGGGTCGCCGCAAGGAATCTCCGCTGTGATTGGTCCGTGTGTGTATTGGAAGGAAGCACGGAGCGGCTGCAGCAGGAGCATGGACGAGGCACTATAGAGCAGACTGCTTCACGCTTCGAAGGAAAAGCAGTTTGGGCTCAGAGCCTGATATACAGGAGACTGTGGACTATCTAACATATATATAACTTATATCTAACATATATATAACTTATAAACTGTGCAGTCGTTTGTTTTGCACTGTTCCTGTCTTTTTTGAATCGTAGCTGCGTTTGTTGCTTTCCTCCTGCACTCGTAAATCGTTCATGTTTGTCTCAGATATTTACCACTATTATTGTTTTGCTGTTTGTGCTGAAAACTATTTAATAATAACTATGTTTCCAACAAGAATATGTCTTTATTCACAGAATCACAGTTGAAATGACTTATAAAATAATGAATCCATAAAACTATCACATAAACCTGCAGTAGAAACACGTGTAATGAGCTCAAACAGCTTTGTTTGCAATTGTTGTTCTAAAGAGGACAAAGTAGCAGCGTAAATGGGACCGCTCCTGTGTGAACGCCCTCATGTGGTTTGTTGTGGGATTACAAAATTCTTCTAAAAACTCTGTAAGGAGAACGCGCCAGTATAACATCAATTGTGCTTACATAGGTCCACCGCAACCGCTAACGTAAGCCAAACCGCGCAAGTATACACTAGGCTTAACTACGCAGCCAGCGCTGCAGAGAAGCTCCACTGTGATTAGTCCGTGTGTGTGTGTGTGTTTTGGATGGAAGCATGGAGCGGCTGCAGGTAACATGGACGAGGCACTTCGGAGCAGACTCCTTCATGCTTTGAAGCAAAAGCAGTTTTGTACTGATATACTCCGCGTATATCAGGCTCTGAGCCTGATATACTGTGGAGTGGAGTTCTGTGGCATATCTAACATCGAACTTATAAACTTTACAGTTGTTTCTTTTGCACTGTTCCTGCGCCTGTCTTTGTTTGAATCTGCACTTAGTTTATCGCGTCTGTTGCTTTCCTCCTGCACTTTTAAATAGTTCATGTTTGTCTCAGCGCAGAAGGGAATTTATTTCGGGACCAGATTGTGACTAATCACAGCGGACCACTGGCCCCCACTTTCTTGAGAAAATCTGCAGGTCTCTCAATGGCGCGCACTGACAGCAGAGGACAGTGTCTTCGTTACTGGTTACTGCCATGGATCTATTATAATAACTGGATAGGGTATTACTAGCTTGTAGCTGAATAACTCATGTGCTCAGGGGATTCTCGCGGTACTGCAGACTGAACCAGACTGAACCAGACTAAATTCACGTGGGCTACCCAGAAATTTTCCCCATAGAACTCAATGCAAATTAAAACAGCTCAACCTCAGCTGATAGAGAACCTACAGCTTTCATAAAGGTCGGATTTTGTGGGGATTTTAGTGTCCCTTGTCATCCTGAACTTTTTTTCTTCTTAAATCCTTCGGTTTTGTTTAAATCCACACTTTAGTGCCACAAACTCTGCTCCTCTGGCTCTGGCTCTAACTCCCGCTCTGATGAACTGCTCTGATTGGTCAGAGCGCGGCCGAGCCCCTCTGTGCACGTGCGTGAGACCCGGTGTGAGACCCACACACGCGTGTTTGGCGCAACGCATTGTGGGAGATCATCCACTGCGCAGAACCGGGAGGACCAGACGATGCCCAAATACAGGCGAGTTTCCCATAGATCTTTGAGAGTTTCCCATAGATCTTTGCGAGTTTCCCATTGATCTTTGCGAGTTTCAGGCAACTTCCGCTAATCTTTCAGCCCCCATGCCGTCACAAAGCGCCACTGAGCACAACCATTCATTTGAATAGGGCGCCATCTTGGATCGCCGGGGCTTGGTTACTGCTTATACAGCGAAACAGCCAAAAGAAAGTTCCTACAAGAATAGACAGAAGCCAAGCGTTTGAAGGACCTGGTGAGAGGCACGTAGGAAATGGACGAGACTACTTCAGCACTGGGGCATGAGAGGCTTTACTAAATCAAATGCTTCGTTCTTGTTGTGTGGTCAGTTGTACGGCCCGCTGGGGCCAGATAAAGTTTTTTTTCCTAATTCCTTCGGAAAAGAACTGCGTAAAGCAGCCCACACATTAAAAGCGGGTTGCCTTTTTATGCTGTTACCTCCGGTAAACGTAGACGTGGAATCTGGGGGAATGATGGGAAACCACTCTGTCTTCTTGCCACTCAGCGAGTGGCGCATGCGGTTGTAAACAAAGATCCTCCTATTCTAAAGGTGCTTTCAGACCGGATCATGCGTTGCGTCGGGTTTCAATGCAAAGTCTATGGTGGCGCGCGTTCGCCCGTCACAACGCATGGACCTCTCGGCACAAAAAAGGAGGAGCAGGAGCGAAAAAACTACGCCCACAGGAGATGGATTCTGCTCATCCTTTCCTTGGTACGTTCGTGCGACAACCAATCAGAGAGCAGCAAAGTGGTCACGGGGACATTAGCGGACTGAGCGAGCAGACTGAAAATACTACTACTACTACTAATACTCGTAAACAGCCAAAACAGGACCCACACCAGACTTCACCAGAACTCAAACCAGGGTTGACAATGGGGGAAAAAACGTATGGCGCACCTCCGTGAACACATATTACTGTTGTATAAAGCCCGTGGAATGTATGTGAGCAAAGACACGCTGCAAAGCTGCATATTGGAGAAGATCTGTACACAAGAAGCCGCTAGCATAGCTCTGTTAGCATCAGAGCCGGCTACTTCCGGTACTTCCGGCTCGCGTCAGGACGTTCTGGTGTGAAGTCCTCTGCGTCTGAAAACTAGAGAATGCGCGTCTGGTGAGCCGGGCTTCCGCGTTTCAGCGTTGGCGATGTGAAAGCCCTGTAAGACAGTTGCGTTGCGTTCAGTCCAAGATGACGACGCTACGGCTCGGTTTTAGTTGCAATGGGACGTTCTATTATTGTTGGCCTCTTGGTTCTAATACTCTTGGCGAGGCTAACTGTCTCTGGTGCAGGTGCTGAGTGAGCGGCTGATGGGAGCAGAGGGAACAAAGCTCGACCAAGACTTCATCCACATGAAGAAGGTCTGTATCATTAGTCAACGTCAATCAACTCTTTATTATACTTTATGATTCACACACATACATATAATGCTGGGTTGGAATCACATGGTCCAACGGAAGTATACTTGTCCTGTCAGTTAGACAGAGCGATGTGGGAAAACGGACACAGGAGCTTTTCACTGTTTGGTATAGTTGTTATTTAGAATGAACTATTTTCAACACAGCGTACGCCGTGTATCATTTGAATGAGTTCAAATAGGGATGCACCGTTACCGATGCTGGTATCGGGGTTGATACCATAGGCTTGTACTCGTAGAAGCAGACAGCTGTGTTGCCATAATGATTTCCCAAAGTTTGGAAGCTAGAAGGCAAGCTAGGGGAAAGTGGACAGGATGTTGGCCGTTAAAGCAGACTCTACTGCAAAACTGTCACAAAGTGGGCCCAAAACAAGTACAACACAAGCAACTTGATCAAACATCTGAAAATTCACCACCACACAGAGTATAACCCCTTTGCTAGCACCGGAGCTGTTTCTTTGTACCATTTGTATGCGTGGAATATGACAGTGGCTCTTATTGTTGACTGTTAAAACAATTTTTAAAGCATGTTCTTATTGTTGAACTGAGAAATAAAGCATTTTCAATTTCAGTTTTATGAATTCCCAGGGAAAACACAATGCAGCAATATTTACAGTCCATGTGCAGTACTCGTATCTGTATTTGTTATTGGCAAGTACTCAAATTAAGGTTCTCGTATCGGTTTTGAAAAAGTGTTATCAGTGCATCCTTAAGTTCAGTATTGTCAACAATGAGGTAGATTAAGCGTCTGTTATAGTGGCAACAGTGGAGTCACTCTGGGATCAACCCAGGCCACGTCCAAGATGACCATTTGTCAATAATAATAGAAGTTGGGCACAAATATTACTTTCAACAACATTTGTAGTGAGAAATATGACCCTTTATTGTCTTTGCAGTGATTTATTGAGCTGTAAAAAAAAAAAAAAAAGTTCTGTCTCCAGAGGAAGCTCTGCAGCAGTAAGCTAACAGCAGGGGCACATAGCTCCGATAGTTCATTGTTCATTGTTTTAAAGAATTATCAACTCTTTCAACACAATGGCCTGATGATAACAAGAGTCTCTGTGAAAAACTTATATTGTTCAGCCTCCCTTTAGAACACCTTGGTTTGAGACAACCTTCGGCCTTTAAACTTGTATTTAACAGTTCACTCCCTGTTGCCTCAGTTACTACAGCCATATACCACACAAAAAAACGGCATTGTTTCTCAGAAAGTCAACAAAGTGAAGACTTATGTCTGTCAGCTGTGTTTGACGCAAATGCTACGCAGGCTAATGCATTTCTTTTGTTCTTTTTTAGGTATTTTCCTAAAAATGGACACCCGTTACAGAAATAAATTTTAGCAAAATAGAGAGTACATTAGTTCTCCTCTACAAGCAGTCACATCTGTACATGCCACAGAAAAAGAGCATTTCGACTCAGAATCAGTGAATATTTACATGGTTCATAATGGGGAGATTTACCTCTTGTCCTAATATATATATATATATATATATATATATATATATATATATATATATATAATCTCCCCATTAAGAATCATGTAAATCTGGATCAAATAAACTGTCAATTAGGCGACAAGCCGTAGTGACTAATAGCGTTGTATTACATAGATTTATATATATATACATTAGGGCTGCACAATATATAGAAAAAATATTGCTATCGCGATATTGGTGTGTATAGAAAAGATGCGCAATAAAAAATAATAATCATTTTTATTTGTCTCTTGCGTTTCAGTGTAGATGGCAATTTCAGGTGAAAGACAAAAAAAATGCAATAATATCGTTATCAAAATACTAATCACTCATATCGAGTATCGCTCTAATTTCCAATATTAGTCGCTACAGCTGTTTATTTGATCCAGCTGTTACAGCTACTATGGCAACAACTGTGGCGGAGTGATGTAGAGCATGATTGTATATATTAAAATAATGCACGTCATTGGAATTCTTGCAGACTATGGTATAATAAGTATTCCTCATTAAGAAGAAAATAAATGATATATTTAAATATATTGTATACATAAATACACAGCAGTAAAAACGCTGTAAAACTGCGGAGTTCAAAGAAATGTTAGAAGTAGCAGTTTATAATTCAGTTACAGCTGATTCAACTATTTCACCAATTGTGACTAAAATTTCCTTTTGCAATGATACACTTCTCATTAATAACTAACTCTGACTTCAGCCTGGTTCAGTCTGGAATCTCTGCATGAATGATAACAATATCCACTTCCTTTATGTCTCTGGTCCCAGTGAAACATGTAACCAGTGTTTTAGTACCGGTAAATAAATAAGACTTTTCTTCTTTTGTTCTGATCCACAGAATGTTGCCGTTCTGCACCACATGCTGCATGAGCTACTGTCCAAGACCACCGACCTCCTGCAACCCAACCCTGGTAAGAGATCTATAAGTTTAGAGTCAGAGATCTGTAAGTTTAGAGTTAGCTCAGTCTGTAACATTAGAGTTAGACATCTTTAGCCTTAGAGTTGGATCAGTCTTTAAAGCTGCACTAACTGACTTTATTTTTGTATTCATTACGAAAATGCTATCCATATCCATGTAGTGCATTGGGATAAACGTCCTTTTGAAGAATAATTAGCGCAGATTTGTGCTGGCGTGACATTATATTTTAGATCAAGTTTTGATGAAACAAGGAAGAGATGTGTTTCGGGTCGCAGATTGTGACCAATCACAGCGGACCACTGGCCCCCACTTTTGTGAGAAATCTACAGGTCCGTTAGCATAGACGGCTCAGTTAGCACAACAAGCGGCGAAGCTAACCTGAAGCTTTGTGTGTCTTCGTCACCGGTTACTGCTTACACAGCGAGACAGCCATCCAAAAGAAAGTCTCGTTCCTCCGCGCTTCCCGGTTCTATCGTTCTATGGTCACACCATCCACGTGCAAATCCATATCCATGTATTATCCATATTGGGAGACGCTAGCTCCGTCCCAACAGTGAGTGTGTGTGGGGGGCGATAGCTTCGTGGGTGCGGGGAGGGGAGCAGAAAGAGAGAGGCCAGCGAGTCAGTTTGTGCAGCTTTAACCTCAGAGTTAAATCAGTATTTAACCTTAGAGTTTAATCAGTCTTTTATCTTGGATTCAGAAAAGTCTTTAACCTTAGAGTTGGATCTGTATTGAGTTTAACCTCAGAGTTAGAGTTCAGACAGGTCAGAGTTAGAGGTCGGTTAGGATTAGAGTTTCGTTCGGGCCTGAAAAATCAAGCCCGACCCAGTCCGAGCCCGCTAATACTAAGCCCGAGCCCGTATAAGCCCGACCAATTAACGCTGTATAATAGGCCTGAGCCCGACAGAAGCCCGACACGTCTGATTTCCCTTGTTGCACACACTCACCTTCCAATTGCAAGTTTAGCCACTTCTGAATGTGTTTTGTACGTCCACCTGATCCATTTCTATTAATGTTCCGTGTGTTCGCTGTTGACCGTAGCATTCAACAGGAAAAACAGGGATGATGCGTTCACGGGTTTCTGCGGCAGTAGGACACGCCGGTTACGGTGTTATAAATGTTGTCAATCAACGTACTGCTGATTGACTGACAGGCCCAACTCCGAACTCGGGGTTGGGCCTGCTTGGGCTCGGGCTGAAAAGTGAAACTCTAGTTAGGATCAGTTGGAGTTAGAGGTGTCATGTCTGTACACATGTGTTTGCAGCAATCAGAGCCAGACTGAACGTCCTGCAGACAGTGTCCAGGCTCAGAGGTCAGAGCAGAGGTCAGAGGTCAGGGGAGTCTTACCCTCAGGCAGAGGGCATTCTGGGAGATTCCATGATGCGCTACGGCCACGAACTCGGACCAGAGTCACAGTTTGGTAATTTTTATTTTCATGTAGTGTCCCTGCGTCAGCTGTATGTGTTTGTCTTCATGGTCTCTGTGTCAGATGTGTGTGTTTGTCTTCATGGTCTCTGTGTCAGATGTGTGTGTTTGTCTTCATGGTCTCTGTGTCAGATGTGTGTGTTTGTCTTCATGGTCTCTGTGTCAGATGTGTGTGTTTGTCTTCATGGTCTGTGTCAGATGTGTGTGTTTGTCTTCATGGTCTCTGTGTCAAATGTGTGTGTTTGTCTTCATGGTCTGTGTCAGATGTGTTTGTCTTCATGGTCTCTGTGTCAGATGTGTTTGTCTTCATGGTCTCTGTGTCAGATGTGTTTGTCTTCATGGTCTCTGTGTCAGATATATGTGTCTTCATGGTCTCTGTGTCAGATGTGTTTGTCTTCATGGTCTCTGTGTCAGATGTGTTTGTCTTCATGGTCTCTGTGTCAGATGTGTGTGTTTGTCTTCATGGTCTCTGTGACAGATGTGTTTGTCTTCATGGTCTCTGTGTCAGATGTGTTTGTCTTCATGGTCTCTGTGTCAGATGTGTGTGTTTGTCTTCATGGTCTCTGTGACAGATGTGTTTGTCTTCATGGTCTCTGTGTCAGATGTGTTTGTCTTCATGGTCTCTGTGTCAGATGTGTTTGTCTTCATGGTCTCTGTGACAGATGGGTGTGTTTTTCTTCATGGTCTCTGTGTCAGATGTGTGTGTTTGTCTTCATGGTCTCTGTGTCAGATGTGTGTGTTTGTCTTCATGGTCTGTGTCAGATGTGTGTGTTTGTCTTCATGGTCTCTGTGTCAAATGTGTGTGTTTGTCTTCGTGGTCTGTGTCAGATGTGTGTGTTTGTCTTCATGGTCTCTGTGTCAAATGTGTGTGTTTGTCTTCATGGTCTCTGTGTCAAATGTGTGTGTTTGTCTTCGTGGTCTGTGTCAGATGTGTTTGTCTTCATGGTCTCTGTGACAGATGTGTTTGTCTTCATGGCCTCTGTGTCAGATGTGTGTGTTTGTCTTCATGGTCTCTGTGACAGATGTGTTTGTCTTCATGGTCTCTGTGACAGATGTGTTTGTCTTCATGGCCTCTGTGTCAGATGTGTGTGTTTGTCTTCATGGTCTGTGTCAGATGTGTGTGTTTGTCTTTTATTGTCTGTGTCAGATGAATGTAGAAGAATGTATTTGCAAATGATGGTGGAAAATAAGTATTTGGTCAATAACAAAAGTTCATCTCAATACTTTGTTGTACCCTTTGTTGGTAATGACAGAGCTGAAACGTTTTCTGTAAGCCTTCACAAGGTTTTCACACACTGTTGATTGTGTTTTGGCCCATTCCTCCATGCAAGAACTCCTCTAGAGCGGTGATGTTTTGGGGTTGTCGCTGGACAAGACAGACTTTCAGCTCCCTCCGAGGATTTTCTATGGGGTTGTGTACTCTAGACTGGCGAGGCCACTCCAGGACCTTGAAATGCTTCTTACGAAGCCACTCCTTCGTTGCCCGGGTTCATCTTCAATGCCCCTTCAGATAAAAGGAGGTTTTCATTCTAAATCTCACGATACATGGCCCCATTCATTCTTTCCTTAACACAGATCAGTCGTCCTGGTCCCTTTGCAGAAAAACAGCCCCAAAGCATGATGTTTCCACCCCCATTCTTCACAGTAGGTATGGTGTTCAGTGGATGCAACTCTGCATTCTTTCTCATCCAAACACAACGTACGAGTACCAAAATGTTCTATTTTGGTTTCATCTGACCATATGACATTCTCTCAATCCTCTTCTGGGTCATCCAAATGTTTTCTAGCAAACTTCAGACAGGCCTGGACATGTACTGGCTTAAGCAGCGGACACGTCTGACACAGCAGGGTTAGTGATAGTAACCTTTGTTACTTTGGTCCCAGCTCTCTACAGGTCATTCACTAGGTTCCCTGTTTGGTTCTGGGATTTTTTTATCACTGTTCTTGTGATCATTTTGACCCCACAGGGTGAGATCTTGCGTGGAGCCCCAGATTGAGGGAGATTATCATTAATAATTGCTCCCACAGTTGATTTCTTCACGACAAGAAATCAACTGTGGGAGCACAGTTGCAGATTCAGAATTCCCATTCTGGTGCAGGTTTACAAAAAAGAATTCTGGTGTCTTTTGACAACTCTTTGGTCTTGGCCATAGTGGAGTTTAGAGTGTGTCTGTTTGAGGTTGTGGACAGGTGTCTTTCATACTGATAACAAGTTCAAACGGGTGCTATTAATACAGTAAAAACACTCAAAGATTCTCTGTAAGTCAGAGGAGCCTCTTAAAAAAGAAGTCAAACAAGCCAGATATCTTGCTTGTTTGTAGGTGACTAAATACGTATTTTCCACCATAATTTGCATTTGATGTGTAATGTGATTTTCTGGATTTTCTTTCTCATTTTGTCTTTCATAGTTGAGGTTTACCTAAGTGGGAGAACTTGCACAGTTGGTGACTGACTAAATACTTTTTATGCCCCACTGCATGTGTTTGTCCAAATGGTCTCTGGGTCAGATGTTCATGTGGACTCATGTTCATGTGTTCAGGGGGAGCTCTGACTGGAGTGGGAGAAGCTTTGCTGCAGATCGGAAAAGCTAAAGATGATCTGAACACAAGTGTCAAGTGTTCTTTCATTGATCCTTTGCAACATCTGCACAACACTGAGATCAAAGGCATCAAGGTAAAATCAAAGACATTAACACTGAGATCAAAGACATTAACACTGAGATCAAAGACATTAACACTGAGATCAAAGAAATTAACACTGAGATCAAAGACATTAACACTGAGATCAAAGAAATTAACACTGAGATCATAGACAGCCTGAGGCAGAAGGTGGATCATTAGCTCTGCAGATGATTGACAGCTGACACATGGTCTGATTCCTTCCTGGTCTGTGTCTCCAGCACCAGCTGAAAAAGGTGACCAGTCGGCGGTTGGACTTTGACTACAGGAGGAGGAGGAGAGGGAGGTGCTCTGCTGAGAATCTACAGACCTCCTGGGACAAGTTCCAGACCTCCAAGGAGCTGGCAGAGAGGAGCATGTTCCTGCTGCTGCAGAATGATGTGAGAGACTTTCCCTCTTCTTCTTCCTCCTCTCTTTTCTTCTCCTCTTCCTCCTCCTCGGCCTCTTCCTCATCTCTTCTTTGTCCTCCCTTTCCCCCTCCTCCTGAGTCTTGTGCCCTTCCTCAGGTGGACCACCTCAACAACCTTGGAGCTCTGGTCACGTCTCTGCTGGACTTCCACAAAAACTCTCAACACATTCTGCAGGACCTACAGGCGAACCTCCAGACCAGGTACCAGACCTCCAGACCAGGTTCCTGAACTCTCTGTACCTGAACGCTGGTATATTAACACTGGTACCTGAATGTAGGATCCTTGGCGTCCCTTCTTTGTGTCTTTTTTTTTCTCAAATTATATTAAATGTAGTTTCTTGTTTTCAGATTGACAGCAGCGAGTAACCAATCAGAGACGAGGTACCGCCCCCAAAGGTCCAGGCTCCGCTCTGAAAACAGCTGTAGGTTTTACCACCAGCCGTCAATCACCTCCACGTCCTCAGGTTAGCACTGTACTACAGTAACACAGAATCTGACCGATTAATGGATTATCACAGCTCATTTAAAACTGTGAATTGAGAAGATCTTAAAGGTATAGAGGAGGATGACCTTCTATTGGTCCTCCTAAATGTCAATCATTCTGTTGATATGACAAGTATATCTGAGGACAAGTGTCTCTTGTCATTCTGAATTTTTTTTCTTCTTAAGTCCTTCAGTTTTCTTTTAAATCTACATTTTAGTGACACAAACTCTGCTTGTTTGGCTCCCACTCTGGCTCTGCGCTGATCAGCAGCTCTGATTGGTCAGAGCGCCGCAGCCGAGCCCCTCTGTGCATGTGCATGAGAGCCACAAGCGCGTATTTTAAATTACCAAATATGGGCAAGTTCCGCTAATCTTTCGGTGCCCATGGTGGCACATTCACTACTGAGCACAAGCCATTGATTTGGATCACCGGGGCTTGGTTAGGGCCAGATTCAGGGTCAGAGGACGGGGTTAATCCTAATCTCACATTTTTGTCTCATTTTGTGCAGACCAAGTGGCTGAAATTCCTCCCCGACCTGGAAGCCCCATCACATGCTGTAAGTGTTACATCTGTTTACATCAAAGAGGTCTGACGGGGTCAGAGTGTGTTGTGTCTGATTTGCTCACATGTGACGTTCTGCTGAGACAAACATGTGTAATTCAGGTACCCCAGCTTTAATATCTCTCCCCCCCCCCACCCTTTCTCTCATCTCTCTCCTCTCCCCTCTCCTCTCTCTCCTCCCCCCCTCTCTCTCCAGCTGCCTCCCCCCTGGAGCAGCCTTGTTGCAGAGCCCTGTACTCCTTCAGATCTGAGCGAGAGGAGGAGCTGGACATGAGCGCAGGTGACATCATCGTCCTCATGAACCGCGTCGACCACAACTGGTTCCAAGGATCCCTCGGGTCTCGATCTGGACTCTTTCCCGCCAATTATGTGGACGTGCTGGTGCCCCTTCCCTCCCCCTGACCTCTGTCCCTGGTGCCCCTCCCCTCTGACCCTGGTGCCCCTCCCCCTGACCTCTGGCCCTGGACTGCACAGATTTAGCCCCAGATCTGCACTTTTTCTCAGCATAAATGAATCTTCAGTGAAAGAAGAGAAAGGCCTCAGAGAGTGACTTTATAACCCTAGTTTTTGATGCATGTGAGAGACTGTTTTCATACAGAGCACATAAGACATCTCTAAATGAATAACTCAGGAGGTCATATATATTTCTATATTCCAACGTTGGACCTAAAGGACTGTACAGAATGTTGACTTTGTCTGTAATATTCGAAACTCTGATTAGCAAGCTGTAGGCGCTTTACCGTGATTGAACCACTTGTGAGCTCTGTGAACAATATGTAGCTGAGGAAGGAGCTGGGATCAGTTTGATCCTCAGAACAGAACGGATCAAGGCTTTATCTTTGTCTGTTTCTTGATGTTTCTCTCCCTGTTGGTGCAGGTGTATCAGCTCTCTGACCCCTGACTCTCAGAGAGCCTCATGATTGTACTCAGTCTCTGCTACTTGTTTGATGTCAAGTTACAAAGCACTTTATGCATTATGTGGGTCTCTGACCCGTGACCCTAACCCTGACACCTCTGACCTCAAAGTCCTTGAAGCACATTCTAGAACATAGATATATTGCATAAAGACACTGGTCTGATGTGAACCATGTAACAACACTGTTCCTCATCACAGACATGCAGCTGTGTTTAGCCCCGTCCATGCTCACATCAGGAACTATGTCACAAGCATGTTGCTCCACCCCTGCTGTCTGAAAGCTTGTGTCTCAAACCTGCAGAAGTATGTCATGCTACCGCTGTGACATCACTATGACATCACAATCAGTTGTCTGCCTTTAAAACAAAAGTATTGCCCATAAAATAATTGATGATGAGGTGAATTCTGGTGAAATTGAAAACATGATTTACAATGCAGCTCCCTCTGATGGCAGCCCAGGATGCTCTCACTGCAGACACTACTCCCTCTTATGGCAGCACAAGGAGCTCCCTCTGGTGGCAGAAGCACCAAGACCCGGCGATCCAAGATAGCGCCTTATTTAAATGAATGGTTTGTGCCGGTATGGGGGCTGAAAGATTTGCGGAAGTTGCCTTGAATTCGCAATGATCCATGGGAAACTCGCCTGTATTTGGGCATCGTCTGGTCCTCCCGGTTCTGCGCAGTGGATGATCTCCCATGATGCGTTGCGCGAAATACGCTTGTGTGGCTGTCATGCACGCGCACAGAGGGGCTCGGCCGCGCTCTGACCAATCAGAGCGGGAGCCAGACGAGCAGAGTTTGTGGCAGTAAAGTGTGGATTTAAAGAAAACCGAAGGATTTAAGGAGAAAAAACGTTCAGGATGACAAGATACACTAAAATCCCCTCAAAATCCAACCTTTATGAAAGCTGTAGGTTCTCTGTCAGCTGAAGTCACCCTGTTTTAGTTTACATTGAGTTCTATGGGGAAAATTTCTGGGTAGCCCACGTGAATTTAATCTGGTCTAGTCTGCAGTACCACGAGAATCCCCCGAGCACATGAGTTCTTCAGCTCCAAGCTAGTAATACCCTATCCAGTTATTATAATAGATCCATGAGTAGCGCAGGGAGTTACAGGAAGCTCTGACTGCAGACGCTGCTCCCTCTGGTGGCAGCAGAGGGAGTTACAGGCATATTCTTGTTTCACATATCTTTTCTAGATATTATTCAGGCTTCGGTGATCCAAGATGACGTCATATTCAAATCAATGGCTTGTGCTCTGTGGCGCATGGGACCACCTACTATGATGCTTTGCACCAAATACACGTGTGTGGCTCTCATTCACGTGCACAGAGGGACAACTGATCAGAGCGGAGCTAGAGTGGGAAGCAAACGGGCAGAGTTTGTGGCATTAAGTGTGGATTTCTAGAAAACCCGAAGGATTTAACAAGATACAAAGTTCAGGGCGACAAGGGACACTAAAATCCGCACAAAATCCGACCTTTATGAAACCTGTAGGTTCTCTGTCAGCTGAGGTCGAGCTGTTTTAGTTTGCGTTGAGTTCTATGGGACATTTTTCTGGGTAGCCCACGTGAATTTAGTCTGTATTATTGCGGGTTCCGAGCTATAAGCTAGTAATACCCTATCCAGTTATTATAGATCCATGATATTATTCCACAACAATATCATCACGTATCGTAGAAGTGGAAAAATTTAGCGCTATCTAGTGGTGAACGTGGTGTAGATCCTCCACTGATACAATAGTATTAAATAAAACTTTTTGATGTGTACAAATATAAAGACACTACAAAACTTCGGACGTAACTTATGTGAAGATTCAAACCATGTGACTCAAAATCAATAAATGTGACACATTTTGTTAAAAACAAATATATATATATATATATATATATATATATACTATAGTATATATTATTCTACATAAGACCGGACCATAACACACCGGATCATAACTGGAGTCTTCATGTTTCACTTTAATATAATTGAACATTTCTTTAAGACTAGTTTTAAGACTGTTATTTGTGTTTTGTATCATGTTTTTATATATTTTCCTTTTATATGATCTGCAAATGACAGAAAACTGCACAAGCAATAAATGTTTTTACACTGATGTTTTTCTCTGATGTTTCCACTGCGGTGTTAGGATCAGACACTCGAGGACGAAGCTTCAGAAGCCAGTGTTTAAATGTAGCTCTAAAATCCAGCTTCAGTTTAAATCCATTGCAATGCTGTCCCCAGTTCGTACCAGAGGCAAACACTGATGTGACTGATGATTCTGTGGGGAGTTTGCATGTTCTACCTACGTCTGTTAAAATTGGTTTTATGCATAATTGATTTGGGAAGACAATAACACATTTAAGAATAGGTGCATAATCTTGTTTGTTAGGGTTCACACAGAGAAACATTTGGGAAAAGTAACAAATCCCATAATAAAACATAACACTTTAAACGTTTGAAAAAATATCTACTATTTCAAAGTGTATTTGTGTCCTCTCTCTCTCTCTCTCCTCTCTCTTCTTACAGTTAAACTAAGGTTTTCATGTCAAGTCATCTAATGTGTCGAAAGGCATTTATAAACCATGCTCTTTTCGAATACTTCTTTAACTAATTACAGTAGTTCAGCTGAGAAATTTGCATTTCGAAATTAGTTTTCATTCAATCATTTATTTTCTACCCTTATTATTTGTTCATATCTGGGTCGGGGGGGGGTGGCATTGAAAGCTGCTACCCAATGCTCATAGCACCAAGCCCTCGCTGATCCTCCTGCAGGTGGTGATGACACAGCCTTCCTCTTTCAGCCGGGGCTTCAGGCCCAAGGACACAACCACAGTTGTGTTTGTGTCATTAGGCAAGACACTTAAGAATGAGTCTGGTGTATGTCGATGGTTGGTGGTGATGGGAGGGGCCGATGGCACATAGTGGTTGCCTCGCATCTGTCAGTGTGCCCCAGGGCAGCTGTGGCTTTATCACCACAGTGTACGGAGTGAATGAATAATGACATGTAAAGAATCTTTGAGTGTTGAAAAAGCACTATATAAAACCGATGCATTATTATTATCATTATGTTTTTCCGTCCGCCTGCAGGGGGCACTGCTGCCGCGGTCACTCTGTTTAAAGCACATACCGGAAATATGTGTGTCCTCTTCTACCAGGCCGATCCATCATGGTGGGTGTTGTTTTCAATCAAACCGAACAATCTGGATCAATCCTCCTCTGTAGTCGATTATTTTAATTATATTTACGCTGCAATGAAAACCGGATCTCTTAACCTTTATATACAACTGGTTATCGCGTCTAAATTCAACCGATGTAGGTTTTTATGAATTATTTTAGTCCCAGATTTCCGCTGGCCACGGGAGCCCAGCGTCGGTACAGTTTTGGTGAATTACTTTATTTCTTTCTCATTTTGCTTTGAATAGATTTCGTTTCGCTTCATGATCCGAGTCAATCTGAACCCAGTCTGTTATGACTGTTTATCATTGTTAGCAAGTAGCTATCACTGCTGCTGCTGCTGCACTGTTTCATCATGCTCCAGACATACAGTTCGAATATGCTCTTATCAGAGTAATGAGAATGTGAACTCGGGTTAAAGTTCATGCTTTGACGCATTGAACTAAAACTACGTGAAATAGTCCTGTATCGAAAGTGACTGTGGATCTTTGTGGCCAGGTCATTGATAATGCAGGTAAAGCAAACCAATCCAGGGAGCCTTTCCCTGTGTTTGAAGGACTTTCCGTTCCTGCCAAACCCTGATGCTCTCAGACATCCAAGACTAATGTTTAAGGATCTACTCTAAAGCTGAGAACGAATTTCCTATTGAGATAATCTAGGTAAGTAGTTTTGATAGTTAAGACCAGGTTTAGGTCTAACCTGAGTGTGTGCTTGTAAACCAATGTTTCATAGTTTTTTCTGATGACAGTTCATATTTATCCTCAGGGGCGAGTCAGGACCAAAACGGTGAAGAAGGCCGCGAGGGTCATCATCGAAAAGTATTACACACGCCTGGGAAATGACTTTCACACAAACAAACGCGTGTGTGAGGAGATCGCCATCATCCCCAGCAAGAAGCTCCGCAACAAGATTGCTGGGTACGGACTAGTCACACTTCCCTTATCCCCTTCGATTTCTGCACATTTTTGACCCTGATTGAATCCCTGGGAATCTAAATAATGAGCTTGACTCTTTGTAATGACCAGGGACGTGTAGTTCTGACATGTTATCTTGTTTTTTTCCCCAATTATAATTGACACAAGCTCATACCACTTAATGTTTTTTAAATCCCACTACGCCCCAAATGAGTTAAGCAAATGTTATTGAGCTCGAGGAAGTCAACAGGAGCTAGAGAGGAGCCAACCATGAGGCTTTCAGAGAATGTGGGAGGTGCCCTTCATCAAACATCCTCACTCCACAAACGTGCAGAGCAGTGGTCACGGGGAAACAAGCTGGTCAAAAAGACTTGGGCAACCAACGAAGCAAAACCAGGGATGACTTGGAGCTTGTGAACACAGTAAATGTTTATATTAAGTTAATATTACCTTATATCCATGGTGCAAATCATTCAGTTATATTACGCTAGTGGAGAAGTTTATATAAAAAGCCGCTAGCTTTAACTCGTTAGCATCAAAGCCCTGCCCACCACTTCCGCGCTGCATTTTTCCCCATTGCAGGGCAGTACGTCAGATTGACTAAACTCATGCGACTGAAATCTAGTGAATGCACGTCCATGCATCAGCGGTGGGAGCGCGGCTTTAGGCAGTGATGTGTTTCAGATGTATGTGTTCGATGCTATTGTCCTGTATCGAAAGTGACTGTGGCCTCTGTGACCAGGTCATTGATAATGCAGGCAGAGCAGACTTGAGGGCCTTCCCGTGTCTGAGGATTGTTCCTGTCAGACCCTGTTGCTCTCATACATTAGCCACTCGTTTATCTGTGTTTTTGCTGCATATAAACAGTTTCTTATATATAAAGCCACGTTCAATGACGACAAAAGGTGCCACGAGCACCGCTGTATTAAACGCCACCGGCACTTCCGAGGCATATCCTACACTCCGGGTTTTAGTTAGACAAGATTGTTTCCTCTGAGCATGTTTACGGGCTTTGCTCTTTGCAAAGTGGGCGTCGTGAATGAGACTCACTAGAGGAGAAGCAATAGCAAGTGGCTCATGCATGCTAGTTACATGTTTAAATCCAGCGCTTTTCACCACTGAATAAGGCTGCAGATCTGCTATAAATTGCCTATGCACTACAGTCAATGACGCGACTTACGGTTGCTGGGAAACCACACGTAAACAGTTAAAATATCAGAGCCAGCACGGAAGTCAGACGCATCACCCCTGACTGAATAGAGCGTATACAAAGCGATCAGTCTCGCCACAGAGTCTGTGTAAATGTTTATCGGCTGCCTCCTCGGTCTTTGATTAGCATGTAAAACTACTCACGAGCATGTAAACTAACTTTAATGTGCTCTTGAGACCATGACGTAATTTAGATCATATTGTTTAAAAATTCATATTTATTTTGTATAAAACTGAGTGCAGCTCAGCGGCTTGTCTCCTGATCTTCTATAGACGTAAAGCCTAGCGTACATCGACAGAGAAACTGGGGACAACTAGTTGCAAGGCGGCTTTTGGCGACTGAGAGGAGATGATGGAGATGATCAGTTGCCGAAATCGGTCGATGTGCGCGCTCTTACAACTGGAGATGATCAGTCGGTCTCCAGTTTCAGTCAGTTGCCCGTGTTCTACTTTTTGGCAACTAGTTGTCCTCAGTTTCGGAGATATGACCCGATGTGCGCGCTCCATGCGCCGCTCCAACAACGCGTGTGTATTGCGTGTGTTGCGAGCGCGCAACAGTTTATGTCAGAAAACACACTGTAGTTGAGGCCAGTTGCTGTCGATGTACGCGCTGTTATTCCCCAGACTGGTCTGCGACTGGGAGTTGCCCGTTTTCGTCAGATTGTCGATGTGTGCGGGGCAGCAACTCATATGTGACGGATATAATCAGTTGCCAGTCCGATGTACGCTAGGCTTTAGAGTATTTGCTCACGGAGCTCACATGTATGTTATGTTCACAAGCTCCGTGTCCCCCATTGTCAATCCTGGGTTAGCCCTGGTTTAGCTCCTGTTTTGGTTGTTTTAAAGTGTCTTCTTGATCTGACCGGCCCGGGACTTTCCTGCACTCTGATTGGTTGCCGCACTTGAATGGAGCAAGGGTGTTCAGTGAATCACGTCTCCTGCGTTTGCAGAGACGTTGCAGACAATGATGATGTGCTAAACAGACTTATCTGATCGCTGCTTACCGACAGATTTCTTCTAAAGCCAATGAGGCCGAAATCTGTGCCGTGCTGTAACGAGGAACTCTAGACTACTCATGTAAAAATGTTCTACAGCAACAGATCAAAGCATTAGTTCTGCGTCTTGATCCTCTCACTTTGTAGCTCTGATACTTTGAACAACATTTCACCAAAAGTCGTTATAATCTGACTAAAGCTAAACCTGAGGAGGTCCTTCTGCTCTCAGTGGCTGAACTCTCTCCTCAGGTATGTGACACATCTGATGAAGCGCATCCAGAGAGGACCAGTCAGAGGCATCTCCATCAAGCTGCAGGAGGAGGAGAGGGAGAGGAGGGACAACTATGTACCAGAGGTGAGTGAGGCCCCTCCCTGTGTCTGATGTCGGCAGTTTTCAGTCCGATCATTTTAAAAGCTGCTGTTCCCACTGGAACATGCGTTGCTGCCAGTTTCAATTAGAGCTGCAGCTATCGAATATTTGAGTAATTATTTCTATCAAATATGCACGATCAATTCATCTTATATTTTTGGTTTAATTAAGGCTTAATTAAAAAATATGCAATATCAATGAGCAAGATCAAATGATATTCCTTGCACTAGAACATAGTGTTTTATTCTGAACTTGAACTAAACAAAAACGTACACAAAAAAACGCTAGCTTAAACTTGTTAGCATCAAAGCCCTGCGCCTGTCTGGCATGTTTCCCCATCGCAGGGCAGTATGGCAGACTGACAAATATCATTCGGCTTAGTTATTGCACGTCCATGCGTCACCGGTGGGAAATGCGGCACTACGGCTCCGAGCCACAAGACTCAGGAGTCAATATGGAGCTGGACCAACACACTTGGTCTCTCGGCCTCTGTTCAGGCGTTTGTCTCTGTGTTCAGGTCTCTGCTCTGGACCAGGAGCTGATTGAAGTTGATCCTGACACTAAAGAGATGCTGAAGCTGCTGGTGAGTCACACGTTTTATTCTAATTTACATGAAGGCAGGGGCCGGCGGGAGGGGGGGGGGGGGGCAGAGCCTGTATCGAAAGTGACTGTGGTCTCTGTGACCAGGTCATTGATAATGCAGGCAGAGCAGACTGAGGGCCTTCCCGTGTCTGAGGGACATTTCCTGTCAGACCCTGGTGCTCTCACACATTACATTCATTCATCTGTGGGACTAGTTCAATGAAACGGGCAGACCCAGTGCGGTCCTGGTCTTGGGACCCAGTGTGGTCCTTGGTCCTGGTTTTGGGACCCAGTGCGGTCCTGGTCTTCCTCACTTCACCTCCTCTTCCTCTTTTGCAGGACTTCGGGAGTCTGTCGAACCTGCAGGTGACGCAGCCCACAGTCGGGATGAACTTCAAACAGCCGCGAGGCGTTTAATGTTCTTAATAAAATCCTTTTAAAAAAAACTGCTTTTTCACTTTGTTTTTATGTAATATTTGTGTGTGTTTGTAGCTGTCATGATGGCTGTGGAAAAAATAAAGAAACAAACATTATGGCTAGTGGTCTTTGGATGTCTCATTCATGAAAATGTCTTCAGTGTCATTTCAGTGAGATGTGTTAAGTCATAAACTTGAATTGTTGAATTAGAAAAAGTGGATTCTGTAGAATTAAAGATTGGACCCTGTACTTGTCTCAGTGGAGAAATTCCAGTGTTGCATTAACTTTCAAAACTAACGGTGAATATTCAGTTAATCACATCTTTAAAGTAGAAACTGACGAGACGAAAGCATCTGACAAACTTTTTATTTTAGTCGTGCTCTTAGTCACATGACTTATGTACAATTGGTGTTGTTCTGTTGACAGTCTGTAGGGAGCGCTAGATCAGACACTTCAGGAGGAAGAAGTTACAGACGGCCCCCTGTGGACAGTCGCACATGCGGCCGATACGAGCGCCTCTCCGGACCGCACAGTGTTCTCCCAAGTCACACTGCAACACACAGTTTGAGTAGGTTACGCTGCAACAACATAATCTGAATGGGATCAGATCAGTTTCTTAATCCAGGACACTTTGTATGCAGGGAACTGGCCTCCCATGAACACGCATCTAGATAGAAAAGTCAGTCTCCAATAAAGTCTCAGTACCTTAACACCATAATATGTCTCTAGTTCTGGCTCTAAAACAGTTGCTTCTGTCACTAGTCTCACATGTATTTGTGATGTCACATCTTTAGATCATAGGACTCAGCCCAAAGATGAAGACAGTGTGTCTGTGTCACTCACAGAGGGGACCTGTCCGTACTTCTTCTCCCAGTGATTGATCCTTGTCGTCTGCAGCTTCTCCAGAACCTCCTGAAGGTCTCCCAACTGCAACATATTATTGTTATTAGTAGTAGTGGTAGCAGCAGCAGTAGTGAGTTGAGAAACTTTATTGATCCCGAAGTCACAGGTACATAATAAATAGGTTGCTAAAATGTAATAAAAGTCATTTTAAACGTTAAAAGTGCATCCAATCACTTGGCTAAGTCAATAAGTTGTGCAGTCTAATGGTTTCCTCAGCCTGTCTGTGGAGCAGCGCTGGACAACAGTGTTCTACTGAACTTGCTCCTCCTCTGAGTGAAGGCCTCATGTGGGGGCTCTGAGTCTGGACATGGTCCTCCGCTCAGCCGCTACCTCCACAGGAACCAGCTTCAGCCCGACCACAGAGCTGGCCTGTTGAATAATTTGGTTCAGCCTGGTTCTTGTTACTGGTGCTGCACCAGGACACAGCAGTGTACTGGAGGGCACTCTCTGGTAGAGGATACACAGCAGTTTAGAGCATATGTTAAAAGAAAGTACAGCCTCTTGTAAAAATGTTCTGTGTTGGTGGTCCAGTCCAGCTTGTTGTCCAACACGAGCCCTTGACACTTGTAGGACGGTACCATCTCCACATTGTCTCCCTCAATGTTCACTGGCTTCCTTCTGAAGTCCAGAACCGTCTCTGTGATGTTCTGGATATTAAGCTGCAGCTGGTTCCTCTTTTACCAAGCCACAAAATCCTCCACCAGTTGCCTGTCCTCTTCATCTCTTCCCGCAGCCGTAGCAGTAGTAGTAGTAGTAGTAGTAGTAGTAGTAACAGCAGCAGTAGTAGCAGTAGTAGTAGTAGTAACAGCAGCAGTAGTAGCAGTAGCAGTGGTAGTAACAGCAGCAGTAGTAGCAGTAGTAGGAGCAGTAGTAGTAGTAGTAACAGCAGAAGTAGTAGCAGTAGTAGTAGCAGTAGAAGTAGTAGTAGCAGTAGTAGCAGTAGCAGTAGAAGTAGTAGTAGCAGTAGTAGCAGTAGCAGTAGAAGTAGTAGTAGCAGTAGTAGCAGTAGCAGTAGTAGTATCAGCTCGGAATCAGCTGCAGACACTTTTAGACAGTATCCTGAAATAACCTTGTGATTATTGTCATAGAGCACGAGGGTCAGAGAGCAGAGGTCAGAGAGCAGGGGTCAGAGAGCAGGAGGGTCAGAGTGCAGGGGTCAGAGAACAATCAATCAATCAATCAAATTTTATTTATGAAGCGCTTTTCATACATAAGATGCAACACAAAGTGCTTTACAGTTTGGTTAAAAACAATCCCGCCGACCCAAGACCCCTCCCCCAGACCACCCAACAGACCCCCCCCAAACCACAGACAAACACACACACACGCGCTCATGAACACTCATACACACACACACACACACACACACACACACACACACACACACCAGTAAAACAATAAAAACATGATGAGAGACTTGGCAGGGTTCAGATGCAACCAGCTGAAAAAGCGTCATCCAAGGAGCCGTCTGCACCAGGAGCAGAGAGCCGCCCGTAGCCACAGGGGACGACACAGGACCCAGAGGAGACATGAAACCGAGGCCCCAGGCCCCCACCAGGCCCCAGAGTCCGACCCCCACAGCCACACCGACCACTGCTCCCGGTGCAGAGGGCTCCTCCAGAGGAAACACTGGGTACACTAAAAACAATACAATAAGTAAAACACTAAAATGTGAGACTAAAAGGAACACACAATACATGAATAATAGCAATAGCAATATAATAAATTAAAGCCGCAAGCGGCGTCAAACGGCCCTCGCCGCACCGCGCGACTCCCCGCACCGCGCGCACCACCCCGTTCCACGCCGCCCCGCACCAAGCCACCCCGCACCACGCCGTCCCGCATCACGCCGCCCCGCACCAAGCCGCCCCGCACCAAGCCGCCCCGCACCAAGCCGCCCCGCACCAAGCCGCCCCGCACCAAGCCACAACGCCCCGCTCCACAACGCCCCGCACTACGCCGCACCACACCGTACCACGTAGCACCGCGCATAGGATGTGGCGCCGCCGTGTGATGATTGGTTCCCGTAGCCATAGAAGAACTTAGTCAAATTGTAATGAATATGATTATTAGAGCTGGTTTGGCTCCCCATGTAAACTTTGAATCAGTCTGTAGGGGGCGCTAATGGGCTAATTTCAAATATTTCACTTTCACCTGACCTAAACCCTGGAGTTGAACAATGGATTCAAGTTTAATGCAAATCAGTCTTTGTTTGTGCAAACGGGGAAAAAATGTATGTTGTCAAAAACAGCCAAAAAACCCTCACATTTTGCCGTTCCGCTTCTCAAACAACGTTTGACTGATTAAAATTCCCTGAAGTAATTATGAAGGTAAATGTGTTGAGATGATTTGGAACAATTTTGAGGCCAATCGGTGAAACGGCCGAGGAGGAGTCGCTTTCCAACCAACGTTTATGAAAATGATTGGTTTTCATGTTTCCATTTTGCAATGAAATTTATGGGCTTCCTGTTTGTCAGGGGGCTTAGCCATAATAACATTTTTCCCATGTCTTGACTTAAGGAACATGTGTTCCAAATTACATGGTTCTACGACAATTTTGACCTCAAACCCCTCCCATAGGCATTTTTAATATGGCTGTTGTAGGTGGCGCTATAGAGCCAATTTCAGAATTTTAACTTTCAAATGACCTAGACCCAAGAGTTGAACCATGGATTCAAGTTTTGTGCAAATCAGACTTTGTTTGTGCAAACGGAAGCAATTTTTCTATGGTCAAAAACTGAAAAAAAATACGCCACTTTTTGGCGCTCCGCTGCTCAAACAACGTTTCACTGATCAAAATTCCCTGAAGTCATTTTGATGGTACATGTGTTGAGATGATGTGGAGCGATTTTGAGGCGAATCGGTGAAACGGCCGAGGCTGGTTTGATGTTTGTGTGAGGTGTATATTTGCAATGAATGGGGAGCGTTTGTCGTCGCCACGGCAACAGGGTAAAAAATAAGCCTTGGACCCAATTGACTTTTTGAATCAAGAGGGCAAAACAGATGTATGTGCAAAATTTCAAACATTTTGAAAAAACTAAATTTGAAAATGCCCATTTAAAACTTTGAAATAGTCTGTAGGGGGCGCTAATGTGTCAATTTGAATCATTTAACTTTCAAATGACCTAGACCCTAGAGTTGAACAATGTATTAAAGTTTTGTGAAAATCAGACTTTGTTTGTGCAAACGGGAGCAAATTTAATGTTGTCAAAAACGGCCAAAAAAAGGTCACATTTTGCCGCTCCGCTGCTCGAACAATGTTTCACTGATCAAAAATCCCCGAGGTCATTTTGAAGGTACATGTGTTGAGATGATGTGGAGCGATTTTGAGGCGAATCGGTGAAACGGCCGAGGAGGAGTCGCTTTCCAACCGACATGTATGAAAACTTTTGCTGTTCATTTTTCCATTTTGCAGTGACATTTATGGGCTTGCTGTTTGTCAGAGGGCGGAGCCATAATAATATTTTTTTCTTGTCTTGACTTGAGGAACATGTGTACCGAATTTCATGACTCTACAACAAACTTCATCTTCAGAACTCCCATAGGGGTATTATTTTGGCTGTTGTAGGTGGCGCTGTTCTGGCATTTTTTGAGTCCCATTAAAATAAACACCAAAATATCAAATTTTTCGCCAGGTCTGATTTTTGGGCAAAATTTAACAACTTTTCATGCATATTCAGGGGGTCAAATTAAGGCTCAAAGTGCAGAAGAAAAAAGAAAGAAAGAAAGAAAGAAAGAAAGAAATTAAAGCCGCAAGCGGCGTCGAACGGCCCTCGCCGCACCGCGCGACTCCCTGCACCGCGCGCACTCCCCGCACCACGCCGCCCTGCACCACGCCGTCCCGCACCACGCCGTCCCGCACCACGCCGTCCCGCACCACGCCGTCCCGCACCACGCCGTCCCGTACCAAGCCGCAACGCGCCGCTCCACAACGCCCCGCACTACGCCGCACCACACCGTACCACGCAGCACCGCTCAAAGGAGGTGGCGCCGCCGTGTGATGATTTGTTCCCGTAGTCATAGAAGATTGTTAGTCAAATTTGAATGAATATGATAAGTAGAGCTGGTTTGGCTCCCGATGTAAACTTTGGCTCAGTCTTTAGGGGGCGCTAATGGGCCAATTTCAGAATTTTAACTTTCAAATGACCTAGACCCAAGAATAATAAAAATAAACACCAAAATACAAATTTTTTCGCCAGGTCTGATTTTTGGGCCAAAATTAACAACTTTTCATGCATGTTCAGGGGGTCAAATTAAGGCTCAAAGTGCAGAAGAAAAAAGAAAGAAAGAAATAAATAAAAAAGGAATTTTTTTTTTAACGTCTCGAGCAAAAACAATATAGGTTTCAATGGCATGTGATACATCATTTTAAAGCTTTTGAGTTTACGCACGCAACCGTCACGTTTTGGTGAGTGACGGGCGCTGACGCGTCCGTCACGCACCGCCACCATTTGTTTTCACCATTGTGAAAGCAATAGGCCCTTACCCCGTTCGGGGCTCGGGCCTAATTAAAGCCGCAAGCGGCGTCGAACGGCCCTCGCCGCACCGCGCGACTCCCTGCACCGCGCGCACTCCCCGCACCACGCCGCCCTGCACCACGCCGTCCCGCACCACGCCGTCCCGCACCACGCCGTCCCGCACCACGCCGTCCCGCACCACGCCGTCCCGTACCAAGCCGCAACGCGCCGCTCCACAACGCCCCGCACTACGCCGCACCACACCGTACCACGCAGCACCGCTCAAAGGAGGTGGCGCCGCCGTGTGATGATTTGTTCCCGTAGTCATAGAAGATTGTTAGTCAAATTTGAATGAATATGATAAGTAGAGCTGGTTTGGCTCCCGATGTAAACTTTGGCTCAGTCTTTAGGGGGCGCTAATGGGCCAATTTCAAATATTTCACTTTCACCTGACCTAAACCCTGGAGTTGAACAATGGATTCAAGTTTAATGCAAATCAGACTTTGTTTGTGCAAACGGGAAAAAATTAATGTTGTCAAAAACGGCCAAAAAAACCCTCACATTTTGCCGCTTCGCTGCTCAAACAACGTTTCACTGATCAAAATTCCCTGAAGTCATTTTGAAGGTAAATGTGTTGAGATGATTTGGAACAATTTTGAGGCCAATCGGTGAAACGGCCGAGGAGGAGTCGCTTTCCAACCGACATGTATGAAAATGATTATTTTTCATTTTTCCATTTTGCAGTGAAATTTATGGGCTTTCTGTTTGTCAGAGGGCTTAGCCATAATAAAACAAGTTCAATGTCTTGACTTGAGGAACATGTGTTCCAAATTACATGGTTCTATGACAATTTTGACCTCGAACCCCTCCCATAGGCATTTTTAAATCGGCTGTTGTAGGTGGCGCTATAGAGCCAATTTCAAAATTTTAACTTTCAAATGACCTAGACCCAAGAGTTGAACCATGGATTTAAGTTTTGTGCAAATCAGACTTTGTTTGTCCAAACGGAAGCCATTTTTCTATTGTCAAAAACTGAAAAAAAATACGCCACTATTTGCCGCTCCGCTGCTCAAACAACGTTTCACTGATCATAAATCCCTGAGGTCATTTTGACGGTACATGTGTTGAGATGATGTGGAGCGATTTTGAGGCGAATAGGTGAAACGGCCGAGGCTAGTTTGATGTTTGTGTGAGGTGTACATTTGCAATGAATCTGGAGCGTTTGTCGTCGCCACGGCAACAGGGTAAAAAATAAGCCTTGGACCCTATTGACTTTTTGAATCAAGAGGGCAAAACAGATTTATGTGCAAAATTTCAAACATTTTGAAAAAACTAAATTTGAAAATGCCCATCTAAAACTTTGAAATAGTCTGTAGGGGGCGCTAATGTGTCAATGTGAATCATTTAACTTTCAAATGACCTAGACCCTAAAGTTGAACAATGTATTAAAGTTTTGTGCAAATCAGACTTTGTTTGTGCAAACGGGAGCAAATTTAATGTTGTCAAAAACGGCCAAAAAAAGGTCACATTTTGCCGCTCCGCTGCTCAAACAATGTTTCACTGATCAAAAATCCCTGAGGTCATTTTGAAGGTACATGTGTTGAGATGATGTGGAGCGATTTTGAGGCGAATCGGTGAAACGGCCGAGGAGGAGTCGCTTTCCAACCGACATGTATGAAAACTTTTGCTGTTCATTTTTCCATTTTGCAGTGAAATTTATGGGCTTCCTGTTTGTCAGAGGGCGGAGCCATAATAATATTTTTTTCATGTCTTGACTCAAGGAACATGTGTACCAAATCTCATGTTTCTACGACAAACTTGACCTCCAAAAAGTCCCATAGGGGTATTATTTTGGCTGTTGTAGGTGGCGCTGTTCTGGCATTTTTTGAGTCCCATAAAAATAAACACCAAAATATCAAATTTTTCGCCAGGTCTGATTTTTGGGCCAAAATTAACAACTTTTCATGCATGTTCAGGGGGTCAAATTAAGGCTCAAAGTGCAGAAGAAAAAAGAAAGAAAGAAATAAATAAATTAAAGCCGCAAGCGGCGTCGAACGGCCCTCGCCGCACCGCGCGACTCCCTGCACCGCGCGCACTCCCCGCACCACGCCGCCCTGCACCACGCCGTCCCGCACCACGCCGTCCCGCACCACGCCGTCCCGCACCACGCCGTCCCGCACCACGCCGTCCCGTACCAAGCCGCAACGCGCCGCTCCACAACGCCCCGCACTACGCCGCACCACACCGTACCACGCAGCACCGCTCAAAGGAGGTGGCGCCGCCGTGTGATGATTTGTTCCCGTAGTCATAGAAGATTGTTAGTCAAATTTGAATGAATATGATAAGTAGAGCTGGTTTGGCTCCCGATGTAAACTTTGGCTCAGTCTTTAGGGGGCGCTAATGGGCCAATTTCAAATATTTCACTTTCACCTGACCTAAACCCTGGAGTTGAACAATGGATTCAAGTTTAATGCAAATCAGACTTTGTTTGTGCAAACGGGAAAAAATTAATGTTGTCAAAAACGGCCAAAAAAACCCTCACATTTTGCCGCTTCGCTGCTCAAACAACGTTTCACTGATCAAAATTCCCTGAAGTCATTTTGAAGGTAAATGTGTTGAGATGATTTGGAACAATTTTGAGGCCAATCGGTGAAACGGCCGAGGAGGAGTCGCTTTCCAACCGACATGTATGAAAATGATTATTTTTCATTTTTCCATTTTGCAGTGAAATTTATGGGCTTTCTGTTTGTCAGAGGGCTTAGCCATAATAAAACAAGTTCAATGTCTTGACTTGAGGAACATGTGTTCCAAATTACATGGTTCTATGACAATTTTGACCTCGAACCCCTCCCATAGGCATTTTTAAATCGGCTGTTGTAGGTGGCGCTATAGAGCCAATTTCAAAATTTTAACTTTCAAATGACCTAGACCCAAGAGTTGAACCATGGATTTAAGTTTTGTGCAAATCAGACTTTGTTTGTCCAAACGGAAGCCATTTTTCTATTGTCAAAAACTGAAAAAAAATACGCCACTATTTGCCGCTCCGCTGCTCAAACAACGTTTCACTGATCATAAATCCCTGAGGTCATTTTGACGGTACATGTGTTGAGATGATGTGGAGCGATTTTGAGGCGAATAGGTGAAACGGCCGAGGCTAGTTTGATGTTTGTGTGAGGTGTACATTTGCAATGAATCTGGAGCGTTTGTCGTCGCCACGGCAACAGGGTAAAAAATAAGCCTTGGACCCTATTGACTTTTTGAATCAAGAGTGCAAAACAGATTTATGTGCAAAATTTCAAACATTTTGAAAAAACTAAATTTGAAAATGCCCATCTAAAACTTTGAAATAGTCTGTAGGGGGCGCTAATGTGTCAATGTGAATCATTTAACTTTCAAATGACCTAGACCCTAAAGTTGAACAATGTATTAAAGTTTTGTGCAAATCAGACTTTGTTTGTGCAAACGGGAGCAAATTTAATGTTGTCAAAAACGGCCAAAAAAAGGTCACATTTTGCCGCTCCGCTGCTCAAACAATGTTTCACTGATCAAAAATCCCTGAGGTCATTTTGAAGGTACATGTGTTGAGATGATGTGGAGCGATTTTGAGGCGAATCGGTGAAACGGCCGAGGAGGAGTCGCTTTCCAACCGACATGTATGAAAACTTTTGCTGTTCATTTTTCCATTTTGCAGTGAAATTTATGGGCTTCCTGTTTGTCAGAGGGCGGAGCCATAATAATATTTTTTTCATGTCTTGACTCAAGGAACATGTGTACCAAATCTCATGTTTCTACGACAAACTTGACCTCCAAAAAGTCCCATAGGGGTATTATTTTGGCTGTTGTAGGTGGCGCTGTTCTGGCATTTTTTGAGTCCCATAAAAATAAACACCAAAATATCAAATTTTTCGCCAGGTCTGATTTTTGGGCCAAAATTAACAACTTTTCATGCATGTTCAGGGGGTCAAATTAAGGCTCAAAGTGCAGAAGAAAAAAGAAAGAAAGAAATAAATTAAAGCCGCAAGCGGCGTCGAACGGCCCTCGCCGCACCGCGCGACTCCCTGCACCGCGCGCACTCCCCGCACCACGCCGCCCCGCACCAAGCCGCCCTGCACCATGCCGTCCCGCACCACGCCGTCCCGCACCAAGCCCCAACGCGCCGCTCCACAACGCCCCGCACTACGCCCGCAGCACCGCTAAAAGGAGGTGGCACCGCCGTGTGATGATTTGTTTCCGTAGCCATAGAAGAATGTTAGTCAAATTGTAATGAATATGATAAGTAGAGCTGGTTTGGCTCCCCATGTAAACTTTGACACAGTCTGTAGGGGGCGCTAATGGGCCAATTTCCAATATTTCACTTTAACCTGACCTAAACCCTGGAATTGAACAATGGATTAAAGTTTTGTGCAAATCAGACTTTGTTTGTGCAAACAGGAGCAAAATTAATGTTGTCAAAAAGAGCCAAAAAAATCCTCACATTTTGCCGCTCCGCTGCTCAAACAACGTTTCACGGATCAAAATTCCCTGAAGTCATTTTGAAGGTACATGTGTTGAGATGATGTGGAGCGATTTTGAGGCGAATCGGTGAAACGGCCGAGGCTGGTTTGATGTTTGTGTGAGGTGTACATTTGCAATGAATGGGGAGCGTTTCTCGTCGCCACGGCAACAGGGTAAAAAATAAGCCTTGGACCCAATTGACTTTTTGAATCAAGAGGGCAAAACAGATTTATGTGCAAAATTTCAAACATTTTGAAAAAACTAAATTTGAAAATGCCCATCTAAAACTTTGAAATAGTCTGTAGGGGGCGCTAATGGGTCAATTTGAATTAATTCACTTTCAAACGACCTAGACCCTAGAGTTGAACAATGTATTAAAGTTTTGTGCAAATCAGACTTTGTTTGTGCAAACGGGAGCAAATTTAATGTTGTCAAAAACGGCCAAAAAAAGGTCACATTTTGCCGCTCCGCTGCTCAAACAATCTTTCACTGATCAAAAATCCCTGAGGTCATTTTGAAGGTACATGTGTTGAGATGATGTGGAGCGATTTTGAGGCGAATCGGTGAAACGGCCGAGGAGGAGTCGCTTTCCAACCGACATGTATGAAAACTTTTGCTGTTCATTTTTCCATTTTGCAGTGAAATTTATGGGCTTCCTGTTTGTCAGAGGGCGGGGCCATAATAATATGTTTTTCTTGTCTTGACTTGAGGAACATGTGTACCAAATCTCATGTTTCTACGACAAACTTGACCTCCGAAAAGTCCCATAGGGGTATTATTTTGGCTGTTGTAGGTGGCGCTGTTCTGGCATTTTTTGAGTCCCATAAAAATAAACACCAAAATATCAAATTTTTCGCCAGGTCTGATTTTTGGGCCAAAATTAACAACTTTTCATGCATGTTCAGGGGGTCAAATTAAGGCTCAAAGTGCAGAAGAAAAAGAAAGAAAGAAAGAAAGAAATAAATAAATAAATAAAAAAGGAATTTTTTGTGACTTGTCTCGAGCAAAAACAATATAGGTTTCAATGGCACGTGATACATCATTTTAAAGCTTTTGAGTTTACGCACGCAACTGTCACGTTTTGGTGAGTGACGGGCGCTGACGCGTCCGTCACGCACCGCCACCATTTGTTTTCACCATTGTGAAAGCAATAGGCCCTTACCCCGTTCGGGGCTCGGGCCTAATAAAAAAGGAATTTTTTTTTTAACGTCTCGAGCAAAAACAATATAGGTTTCAATGGCATGTGATACATCATTTTAAAGCTTTTGAGTTTACGCACGCAACTGTCACATTTTGGTGAGTGACGGGCGCTGACGCGTCCGTCACGCACCGCCACCATTTGTTTTCACCATTGTGAAAGCAATAGGCCCTTACCCCGTTCGGGGCTCGGGCCTAAAAAAGGAATTTTTTTTTTAACGTCTCGAGCAAAAACAATATAGGTTTCAATGGCATGTGATACATCATTTTAAAGCTTTTGAGTTTACGCACGCAACTGTCACATTTTGGTGAGTGACGGGCGCTGACGCGTCCGTCACGCACCGCCACCATTTGTTTTCACCATTGTGAAAGCAATAGGCCCTTACCCCGTTCGGGGCTCGGGCCTAAAAAAGGAATTTTTTTGTTAACGTCTCGAGCAAAAACAATATAGGTTTCAATGGCACCTGATACATCATTTTAAAGTGTTTGAGTTTACGCAAGCAACCGTCACGTTTTGGTGAGTGACGGGCGCTGACGCGTCCGTCACGCACCGCCACCATTTGTTTTCACCATTGTGAAAGCAATAGGCCCTTACCCCGTTCGGGGCTCGGGCCTAATAAAAAAGGAATTTTTTTTTTAACGTCTCGAGCAAAAACAATATAGGTTTCAATGGCATGTGATACATCATTTTAAAGCTTTTGAGTTTACGCACGCAACTGTCACATTTTGGTGAGTGACGGGCGCTGACGCGTCCGTCACGCACCGCCACCATTTGTTTTCACCATTGTGAAAGCAATAGGCCCTTACCCCGTTCGGGGCTCGGGCCTAATAAATAAAAAAGGAATTTTTTTTTCGACGTCTCGAGCAAAAACAATATAGGTTTCAATGGCACGTGATACATCATTTTAAAGCTTTTGAGTTTACGCACGCAACCGTCACGTTTTGGCGAGTGACGGGCGCTGACGCGTCCGTCACGCACCGCCACCATTTGTTTTCACCATTGTGAAAGCAATAGGCCCTTACCCCGTTCGGGGCTCGGGCCTAATAATAAATAATAAAAGATAAATAGAATGGAATAATAAAAACTAATCAAAAGCTACTCTAAAAAGGTGCGTCTTGAGCCTACTTTTAAAAATATGAACGTTCTCTGCGGCCCTGAGCTCCTCCGGCAGACTGTTCCAGAGACGGGGGCCGTAGTGCTGGAAAGATGCCTCGCCGTGAGCGTGTGTCCTGACTTTGGGGATGGTTAGGAGTCTGCTGCCGGAGGAGCGCAGGGGCCGGGAAGGTTCATAGGATAAAAGCAAATCTGAAAGATAAGAAGGCCCAAGACCATTAAGACATTTAAAAACCATTAAAAGAACCTTAAAATCGATCCTGAAACACACGGGGAGCCAATGCAGCGATTTTAAAACCGGTGTAATGTGGTCCCGCCCCCTGGTCTTAGTCAGGACACGTGCGGCCGAGTTTTGGAGTAATTGAAGACTTGCAATGTTCTTTTTGGGAAGACCAGAGAGCAGGGCATTACAATAGTCAATGCGACTGGTGATAAAAGCATGCATCAGCGTCTCCGTGTTGGCCCGAGAGAGAATGGGGCGGACTCTGGCGATGTTCTTTAGATGATAAAAACCTATTTTTGTGATACTCTTGATGTGAGGAATAAAAGTCAGCTCAGAGTCAAAGATTACGCCCAGATTTTTCACTTGTGATGATGGATTAAAAGAGTGTGATTGGAGTTTTGATAAAAGTTTCTCTCTCTGGGCCTCAGGACCGATGACTAAAACCTCAGTTTTGTCCTGGTTAAGCTGGAGAAAGTTTTCTGCCATCCAGGATTTCAGGTCTAAAATGCAGTTAAAAAGAGCATCCATTGGCCTGGTGTCATCAGGAGACATGGAGATGTACAGCTGAGTATCATCTGCATAACTGTGGAAGTTAATTCCATGTCTCCTGACGACACCGCCAAGAGGGAGCATGTACAGGTTAAAAAGGACTGGACCTAAAATGGAACCCTGGGGCACACCACATGTGATTTTATGGACCTGAGAGGAGCAGGTATCCAAACTTACCATGAAGGATCTGTCTGTTAAATAAGAAGTGAACCATTTGTGGACAGCACCAGAGAGGCCGACAGGGCCGACAGGGGTAAGAGTGCAGGGGTCAGAGAGCAGGAGGGTCAGAGAGCAGGGGTCAGAGAGCAGGAGGGTCAGAGAGCAGGGGTCAGAGTGCAGAGGTCAGAGTGCAGGGGTCAGATAGCAGGGGTCAGAGAGCAGGAGGGTCAGAGAGCAGGGGTCAGAGAGCAGGAGGGTCAGAGAGCAGGGGGGTCAGAGAGCAGGAGGGTCAGAGAGCAGGGGTCAGAGGTCAGAGTGCAGGGGTCAAATAGCAGGGGTCAGAGAGCAGGGGTCAGAGAGCAGGAGGGTCAGAGCAGGAGGGTCAGAGAGCAGGGGTCAGAGAGCAGAGTGCAGAGGTCAGAGTGCAGGGGTCAGATAGCAGGGGTCAGAGAGCAGGAGGGTCAGATGCTTGTTGCAAAAATACTGAAACAGTCCGTGGCTTCAAAGAGAAGTCTCTGTTTAAGTCATTAACTCTGGGACAATAGTTTCTACCTCAGCACGAGCATCCACATATTTTATTCTACATAATTGAAAGCATTCAGGCCACACCAGGCCAGGCTAGACCACACCAGGCCACACCAGGCCACACCAGGCCACACCAGGCCAGGCTAGACCACACCAGGGAAAGACTTGAGGAGGGAGAGACTTGAGGTGCTGGAGTTACAGTGATTTTCAGAAGCGCACTGAACCGGTCGAGAAACATAAAAGAATCCAGTCAGTTTTCAAAATAAAACAGCAATCTCCAGTTTTTATCACTACATTTCTGTAGCTTGAATGCATGCGTAGAAATAAGTTTTCAGCGCCATCAGATTTCAGCTCCAGCTTCATGTGAGCAGTTGTGTTTACGATAAACAAGATTATATTTGTGTATTTTGTTATGTTTTGCTGTACACTATGGCACTACACAGTACAGTGACAAAGTACTCTAGTGCAAATTCACGTAAAGATGCTGAATACAGATAAATATAAATATATGTAGGCTGTAGGCTTGTGTTTTAGTTGGGACTTGTACATTAGCTACTATTGCGTTCCAGTAAAGGATGATTCGTCATTACAGTATTTTGTTTTGATCTTCACTACAGCCCGTCCCTCCGTGTGGAGCGGACCCCTCTCTCAATGTGGATCTCTTTAAAATTAACTTTGTTTGTGATTGAATTCCACCAACGCCCAGGGAAGTAGTGAAAACTCCTGAACTCAGCAACTCATCTACCCAGTCCAACACAACTTAATCTTAATTTTTCACAAATACATAAACATTTGGTAAATGATGTGGTAGAAAAAATTCTGTAAGAGTATTTATTTAATGTGACAAGCATATCTGTTATATTGCAGGGAACATGGGGGACTATTGTAAAGTATGTTTCTTTGCTGATTGACAATGTCCTGATTTCATAGGTGAAATGACAATAAATATGCATATAATATATAATCTCAGAAAGGTACTCATTGGAATTCTGTGTATCACATGGTTTTGCGTTCTGTACTTGTGCAGTGTTCTACATCCAAAAGGTCTATCCATCTGAGCGCACACCATGGGAGACTTCCATGCCAATGTATGATTTGGGATTATGGATGTTCAGTCTAGTAGTCTGCATGTTGACCATTATTGTTTGTGTACAATTGTGCAGTAAGATAGAAAATAAAATTCAAAGTGATATACTGTAGATAAAGATATATAGATAGATAAAAATGACGTTTTCCTAAAGGGAGTAATTTATTAAGAAAATACCTGAAAAGAAACAAAAGATTTTTATGTAATATATGGTTGTTGTAACCGAGGACCAGGGTCTGGGACTGTGAGGACCAGGGTCTGGGACTGTGAGGACCAGGGTCTGGGACTGTGAGGACCAGGGTCTGAGACTGTGAGGACCAGGGTCTGAGACTGTGAGGACCAGGGTCTGGGACTGTTAAGACCAGGGTCTGGGACTGTTAGGACCAGGGTCTGGGACTGTGAGGACCAGGGTCTGGGACTGTGAGGACCAGGGTCTGAGACTGTGAGGACCAGGGTCTGAGACTGTGAGGACCAGGGTCTGGGACTGTGAGGACCAGGGTCTGGGACTGTGAGGACCAGGGTCTGAGACTGTGAGGACCAGGGTCTGTGACTGTGAGGACCAGGGTCTGGGACTGTGAGGACCAGGGTCTGAGACTGTGAGGACCAGGGTCTGAGACTGTGAGGACCAGGGTCTGAGACTGTTAGGACCAGGGTCTGAGACTGTGAGGTCCAGGGTCTGAGACTGTGAGGACCAGGGTCTGAGACTGTGAGGACCAGGGTCTGAGACTGTTAGGACCAGGGTCTGGGACTGTGAGGACCAGGGTCTGGGACTGTGAGGACCAGGGTCTGAGACTGTGAGGACCAGGGTCTGAGACTGTGAGGACCAGGGTCTGTGAGGACCAGGGTCTGAGACTGTGAGGACCAGGGTCTGGGACTGTGAGGACCAGGGTCTGAGACTGTGAGGACCAGGGTCTGAGACTGTGAGGACCAGGGTCTGAGACTGTGAGGACCAGGGTCTGAGACTGTTAGGACCAGGGTCTGAGACTGTGAGGTCCAGGGTCTGAGACTGTGAGGACCAGGGTCTGAGACTGTGAGGACCAGGGTCTGAGACTGTGAGGACCAGGGTCTGGGACTGTGAGGACCAGGGTCTGGGACTGTGAGGACCAGGGTCTGAGACTGTGAGGACCAGGGTCTGAGACTGTGAGGACCAGGGTCTGAGACTGTTAGGACCAGGGTCTGAGACTGTGAGGACCAGGGTCTGGGACTGTGAGGACCAGGGTCTGAGACTGTGAGGACCAGGGTCTGAGACTGTGAGGACCAGGGTCTGAGACTGTTAGGACCAGGGTCTGAGACTGTGAGGTCCAGGGTCTGAGACTGTGAGGACCAGGGTCTGAGACTGTGAGGACCAGGGTCTGAGACTGTGAGGACCAGGGTCTGAGACTGTTAGGACCAGGGTCTGGGACTGTGAGGACCAGGGTCTGGGACTGTGAGGACCAGGGTCTGAGACTGTGAGGACCAGGGTCTGAGACTGTGAGGACCAGGGTCTGAGACTGTGAGGACCAGGGTCTGAGACTGTGAGGACCAGGGTCTGAGACTGTGAGGACCAGGGTCTGAGACTGTGAGGACCAGGGTCTGAGACTGTTAGGACCAGGGTCTGAGACTGTGAGGTCCAGGGTCTGAGACTGTGAGGACCAGGGTCTGAGACTGTGAGGACCAGGGTCTGAGACTGTGAGGACCAGGGTCTGGGACTGTGAGGACCAGGGTCTGGGACTGTGAGGACCAGGGTCTGAGACTGTGAGGACCAGGGTCTGAGACTGTTAGGACCAGGGTCTGAGACTGTGAGGTCCAGGGTCTGAGACTGTGAGGACCAGGGTCTGAGACTGTGAGGTCCAGGGTCTGAGACTGTGAGGACCAGGGTCTGAGACTGTGAGGACCAGGGTCTGGGACTGTGAGGACCAGGGTCTGGGTCTGTGAGGACCAGGGTCTGGGACTGTGAGGACCAGGGTCTGAGACTGTGAGGACCAGGGACTGGGACTGTGAGGACCAGGGTCTGAGACTGTGAGGACCAGGGTCTGAGACTGTGAGGACCAGGGTCTGAGACTGTGAGGACCAGGGTCTGAGACTGTGAGGACCAGGGTCTGAGACTGTGAGGACCAGGGTCTGGGACTGTTAGGACCAGGGTCTGAGACTGTGAGGACCAGGGTCTGGGACTGTGAGGACCAGGGTCTGAGACTGTGAGGTCCAGGGTCTGAGACTGTGAGGTCCAGGGTCTGAGACTGTGAGGTCCAGGGTCTGAGACTGTGAGGACCAGGGTCTGAGACTGTGAGGACCAGGGTCTGGGACTGTGAGGACCAGGGTCTGGGTCTGTGAGGACCAGGGTCTGGGACTGTGAGGACCAGGGTCTGAGACTGTGAGGACCAGGGACTGGGACTGTGAGGACCAGGGTCTGAGACTGTGAGGACCAGGGTCTGAGACTGTGAGGACCAGGGTCTGAGACTGTGAGGACCAGGGTCTGAGACTGTGAGGACCAGGGTCTGAGACTGTGAGGACCAGGGTCTGGGACTGTTAGGACCAGGGTCTGAGACTGTGAGGACCAGGGTCTGGGACTGTGAGGACCAGGGTCTGAGACTGTGAGGACCAGGGTCTGAGACTGTGAGGACCAGGGTCTGAGACTGTGAGGACCAGGGTCTGAGACTGTGAGGACCAGGTCTGGACTGTGAGGACCAGGTCTGGGACTGTGAGGACCAGGGTCTGAGACTGTGAGGACCAGGGTCTGGGACTGTGAGGACCAGGGTCTGAGACTGTGAGGACCAGGGTCTGGGACTGTGAGGACCAGGGTCTGGGACTGTGAGGACCAGGGTCTGAGACTGTGAGGACCAGGGTCTGGGACTGTGAGGACCAGGGTCTGGGACTGTGAGGACCAGGGTCTGGGACTGTGAGGACCAGGGTCTGAGACTGTGAGGACCAGGGTCTGGGACTGTGAGGACCAGGGTCTGGGACTGTGAGGACCAGGGTCTGGGACTGTGAGGACCAGGGTCTGAGACTGTGAGGACCAGGGTCTGGGACTGTGAGGACCAGGGTCTGAGACTGTGAGGACCAGGGTCTGGGACTGTGAGGACCAGGGTCTGGGACTGTGAGGACCAGGGTCTGAGACTGTGAGGACCAGGGTCTGAGACTGTGAGGACCAGGGTCTGAGACTGTTAGGACCAGGGTCTGAGACTGTGAGGTCCAGGGTCTGAGACTGTGAGGACCAGGGTCTGAGACTGTGAGGACCAGGGTCTGGGACTGTGAGGACCAGGGTCTGAGACTGTGAGGACCAGGGTCTGGGACTGTGAGGACCAGGGTCTGGGACTGTGAGGACCAGGGTCTGAGACTGTGAGGACCAGGGTCTGAGACTGTGAGGACCAGGGTCTGAGACTGTTAGGACCAGGGTCTGAGACTGTGAGGACCAGGGTCTGGGACTGTGAGGACCAGGGTCTGAGACTGTGAGGACCAGGGTCTGGGTCTGTGAGGACCAGGGTCTGGGACTGTGAGGACCAGGGTCTGGGACTGTGAGGACCAGGGTCTGAGACTGTTAAGACCAGGGTCTGAGACTGTTAAGACCAGGGTCTGGGACTGTGAGGACCAGGGTCTGGGACTGTGAGGACCAGGGTCTGGGTCTGTGAGGACCAGGGTCTGAGACTGTGAGGACCAGGGTCTGAGACTGTGAGGACCAGGGTCTGAGACTGTGAGGACCAGGGTTATTTCTAAAATGGAATCCGAGCTCAGTGCCACAAGGTTCGGCTGTGTTTGTTGCAGCCCCCGTTACTGCTGCGGAGCTTTTCCTTTCCCAAATTGTATTATTTACAGCTCGAAAAATCCCTGTATTGACAATAAGGAAACGTATTTTGCGCCTCAAATGTGACTTTACTGTTGCTACAACAGCAACTTAATCCACCTCATTGTTGACAATATTGAACTCATTCAAACTATACACGGCATATGCTGTATTGAAAATAGTTTTCACTCAAAATAAGAGTTATACTAAGTCGTGAGAAGATCTTGTGTCAGTTTTCCTGCACAGCCTTTGTCTATCTAATAGGACAAAAACACCTCCTGCCCAATGCCACGCCTCCTTCGGACCACGTGATTGCAACCCAGCAATACATTACTAAACACTATGACCAGCAGGGGCAGGTCCCAGCGCAAAAGGGTCCATGAGCTCGTGTGCTGACATGCTTGCAATCTGACATCTTGCTGTTGGTGGCTTACCCGGAAAGAGAATTATCCAGCGCAATCTAATGCTACCTTTTATCCTCTCGAAAACGTCGGCCTTTGGCTCAACGCTATGTTCCAGATGCGTGTCAGTGCTGAGGGGACCCGCCTAGTTTAGCCGCTGTGGACTTTTGAATGCATTCGTTAAATGAATGGGGCTCGTACTGGATAACGCATGTGCAAATGTGTTTTCTTCCTGTGGGAAGGAATGCCCGCGGTCATTTTGAATCTGCTCATGTCTGTGGCACATACATTTCAACAAAGGAAAAAGGCGTCTCTACATCTGTTGATATTTACAGTGTATGACCGTGACAAGTAGAACATAAAGCCGAGTGACAACCAGCCATGGGGGAGAACACAGGGGAGAACATGGCCAATAACATGGGGGAGCAAAACTGAATGGAAAGCAAAGATACATTCAAAGCATAGGTCAGTAAAACATAACTAAAATAGATAAATAAATAATTGTTATTTTCTATGATGCTCAGCAGACTGCATGTCCTCCTAGGACTGAGTCAGAGTGGGACCATGACCTCAGCAGCTACAGACGCTGTCACCTTCAGTTTCTGTGTCAGTGTGTGTTCCGACTCAGTGTGTGTCAGTGTGTGTTCAGTGTGTGTTCAGACTCACCAGTCTCATGTCCCTCATGTCCTTCTGGTCAGTTCTTCCTGTGCTCCACAGAGAACACATCATCAGCCACAAGCACAAAGCCACACGCCACATCTGTGCTATACAGATAACCCTAACCTCCTCCTAACCCTATCCCTAGCACAGGAGAGAGACTGAAGACAGATATATATACACCCTAACTCTGATAGGGAGCAAAAACACGCGCTCTACTCCGCACTGACTTTTAAAGTCTACACACCCTCACAGCCCTCTCTTATACACACCCTCACCCCCTCCCCCCCACCACCACCACAAGGTCTGCTGTTCTGTGGATGCAACTCTGTATTATTTTTTACCATACATTTACATTCCACAGGACATTCTCTCTGTCCTCTGTCCTCTTTTGGATCCACATGCTCTAACTCCAGACCTCAGCAGGGGACACAGAGAGAGAGGACACAAGACACACAGAGAGAGGACACAGGACACACAGAGAGAGGACACAGGACACACAGAGAGACGACACACACAGAGAGAGAGGACACAGAAGAGGACACAGGACACAGAGAGAAAGGACACAGGACACACAGAGAGAGGACACAGGACACACAGAGAGACGACACACACAGAGAGAGAGGACACAGAAGAGGACACAGGACACAGAGAGAAAGGACACAGGACACCACACAGAGAGACGACACACAGAAGAGGACACAGGACACAGAGAGAAAGGACACAGGACACACAGAGAGAGGACACAGGACACACAGAGAGAGGACACAGAGAGAGGACACAGGACACACAGAGAGAGGACACAAGACACACAGAGAGACGACACAGGACACACAGAGAGACGACACAGGACACACAGAGAGACGACACACAGAGAGAGAGGACACAGAAGAAGACACAGGACACAGAGAGAAAGGACACAGGACACACAGAGAGAGGACACAGGACACACAGAGAGACGACACACACAGAGAGAGAGGACACAGAAGAGGACACAGGACACAGAGAGAAAGGACACAGGACACCACACAGAGAGACGACACACAGAAGAGGACACAGGACACAGAGAGAAAGGACACAGGACACACAGAGAGAGGACACAGGACACACAGAGAGAGGACACAGAGAGAGGACACAGGACACACAGAGAGAGGACACACAGAGAGAGAGGACACAGAAGAGGACACAGGACACACAGAGAGAGGACACAGGACACACACAGAGAGAGAGAGCACAGAAACACTTGTTGTGACTCAGTCCAGTATCCTCAGAATCCTGTAAACACGTCAGAGCCGCTGCAAGACTAAAAACTTAAATGTCACTTTTCCTGTTGTTTTATTCATAATCACAGGAAACAGCGTTACATAAAGTCCATTAGAGTTTAGAGCGCAGTCAACTCTTCACAAAGAACTACTTGAGAAAACCGAGGGAAAACTTTCAAAAGGCTCCAGCGACACATGAATAAATAATAATAATAAGGTCCTGCTTCAGACGCACGAGTCACCTTCTCCTGTTCTCCAAGATGTCCCCCCTGTTCTCCAAGATCAGCGTCAGCGCTGGTTCTCCTGGTCTGTGCAGTGGTTCTACTTCTGCAGGACTAGAGGAACACCTGAGGGTTCTGACCAGAGCGCAGATCAGAGCAGGATGAGAGCGGTACAAGTTTGTAGAGCTTATAAAAAAACAGATCGATTTAAAAAAAACAAAAGAGACTGAGACACTAACATCCACAGAATCTTGATTTGTGATCCCTTGAGCTAACCTTTCTGGTCTCTATCTGGAGTCTCTCCTTGCTCTCTCTCTCTCTGGTCTCTCTCTAGTTTCTCTCTGCTCTCTCTCTAGTCTCATTCTAGTATCTCTCCTTGCTCTCTCTGGTCTCTCTCTGGTCTCCAGGAGAGAGGCTGTTTATTTCTTCTGGCAATATGTACTGTACATTAGATCTTAGGTTACATGTTTTCAAAGATTGTATATGTTGAAGAAGATGACAAAGTCTGGGATCGTGTCTTTAATTCAGACAGAAGACATGTTTTATTGTTGATGGTAGAGCAAGCACAAACAAAGAATGTTACAAACGGCAAGCGATAATATAGCATGGAGGAATGAACACCGTCCAATCAGCTTTTGCCGCGATGCCAGTAGCTTGGCCTTCAGATAGACAAAATATCAAGTGGAAAAGTACTGTCTCCTGCAAATGTTAGAATGAGTTTGAACTTTAACCACAGTTCAAAGTGTCATGAAATCTCACAATGTTAAACTGTAAACCTAAACTTTGACAATCAATGATGTTTTACATGATCAAATTTAGGATGACACATTATACCGTTTATCTTATTCCAACAAAGGTAACATGTAGCACAAAACAAAACAAAAACACATAAAACACTTTTAATGAAAAGTGAATTGTGTAAGGCTGCAGTACCGGGGTCCACCACCAGGCTGAAGACCGGCAGACACCCTCGCCATAGTATACCGCTCCTTCTTTTCACTGGGACACGCTGGGAGAGAGCTGCCCCTGCTGCCCAAGAGAGAGAGCTGCCCCTGATGTCCAGGAGAGAGAGCTGCCCCTGACAACCAGGAGAGAGAGCTGCCCCTGATGTCCAGGAGAGAGAGCTGCCCCTGACAACCAGGAGAGAGAGCTGCCCCTGACGTCCAGGAGAGAGAGCTGCCCCTGATGTCCAGGAGAGAGAGCTGCCCCTGATGTCCAGGAGAGAGAGCTGCCCCTGATGTCCAGGAGAGAGCGCTGCCCCTGCTGTCCAGGAGAGAGAGCTGCCCCTGACAACCAGGAGAGAGAGCTGCCCCTGATGTCCAGGAGAGAGAGCTGCCCCTGACAACCAGGAGAGAGAGCTGCCCCTGATGTCCAGGAGGGAGAGCTGCCCCTGATGTCCAGGAGAGAGAGCTGCCCCTGCTGTCCAGGAGAGAGCGCTGCCCCTGCTGTCCAGGAGAGAGAGCTGCCCCTGATGTCCAGGAGAGAGAGCTGCCCCTGATGTCCAGGAGGGAGAGCTGCCCCTGCTGTCCAGGAGAGAGCGCTGCCCCTGCTGTCCAGGAGAGAGCGCTGCCCCTGCTGTCCAGGAGAGAGCGCTGCCCCTGCTGTCCAGGAGAGAGCGCTGCCCCTGCTGTCCAGGAGAGAGCGCTGCCCCTGCTGTCCAGGAGAGAGAGCTGCCCCTGCTGTCCAGGAGAGAGAGCTGCCCCTGATGTCCAGGAGGGAGAGCTGCCCCTGCTGTCCAGGAGAGAGAGCTGCCCCTGATGTCCAGGAGGGAGAGCTGCCCCTGATGTCCAGGAGAGAGAGCTGCCCCTGCTGTCCAGGAGAGAGAGCTGCCCCTGATGTCCAGGAGAGAGAGCTGCCCCTGATGTCCAGGAGAGAGAGCTGCCCCTGATGTCCAGGAGAGAGAGCTGCCCCTGATGTCCAGGAGAGAGAGCTGCCCCTGATGTCCAGGAGAGAGAGCTGCCCCTGATGTCCAGGAGAGAGAGCGCCCCCTGCTGTCCGGGATTAGAGCTCTACCCAGAGTTCAGTCTTTGAGCTCTCCTCAGAGTTCAGGTCATGGCCTGTGTGAGCCTCAACAGAACTTCCTCTATATCCAAACCAGATTCTACTTTCATCACTTTGTCTCTGGATCTGGAGCCCTGCACACAACAACAAAACATCACCTGCTTTATATGAGAATAATGACTGACAGACACACACCTCGAGGATCTCATACGAGCAAGGCCCCAAATTCAAGTAACAAGCTGCTTTTTTATTTTCTAGAAGTAAAGTCCGACTCACACTGCATTCTGAAAGGGAAGCCATGAGGCCAGTGTCAAAAAATTGTAATGCTGATTACATTGTATAAGCTGATTAAGCTTATACAATGCTTAATTTGCAACATGGGAGGTCCCGGAACACAGCAGATGAGTTGTTCTGGCGAGTTCTGAAGGAGGGGGCTACAGTTACTTTTAGTGATGGATATACAGTATGAAGCCCCTTAACCATAGACAGTAAATATAACACACTGAAGCTTTTCTTTCCAGACTGTTTGAAATGTGTCAAAGCCCCTGAACACCGTACCGCAGTGGCAAGAGCTCTGGTGTGTGCAGTCTTTGTCTGGTGCACACTGGGGTAGTCTTGCACAGTTTTTCCAATGGGGTTTTACTGCTAATGGCAAATAAATGAATCTGAAAATCAGTTGTAAAAACTAACGAGCATAGTGACGCCCATCTCCGTCGATGAAACGTATGTGTCATCACTCTTCAAATTCCACAGCGGCTAAACTCCCTTCAGAATTGACACGCATCTGGAAAAAGGGTAGATTTGTGTCCCCACCAAAGGTAAAACCAAACCTACGCCATTGCATGCACACGCAGACACACACACACACACACACACACACACACACACAGACACACACAGACCTTGTACAGAGAGATCTGAGTCTTCTTCAGCTGCAGGACTTCGGCCAGAAACCTTAGGAGCTCAGTGTTGGCCTCTCCATCTGTAGGGGGCGCTGCCACCGACACACACACTGCTGCTGCTGATACCTCTAAAGGAACACATCATAAATTAAAACACACACACAGACACACACACACACACACCTTCTGTTGATACTTCTACAGGAAGTATCACACTTACACACTTACTACAGAATAACACACACACACACACACACACCGGTCACAGCACTGAGTTTGGCTCCTGGTTTGGCGTGGACAGAGATGGTCACTGCTCCACTCTGGTCTTTGGAGACTGGTCCTGATTGTTCTGCTGCTGTAGCCCCTGCTGCTTTAGCTCCTGCTGCAGACTGGCCCTTCCCCTGGTGAAGAAAAAGAATATCTATGAAAACTGGACTGACTCGCACATAAATGTCTAAACATGTCAGACAGAAAAGAGTCTATTAGAGCATAAAGATCCCTGTGAGTCACTATCTGCCTCTTTAGGTTGAGCTGATGGCTGAGTGAGGGTGGTCCTCTCTTTGATCTAAAGATGTGACATCACAAATACATGATGAGAAACTAGTGACAGAAAAAACTAATTTAGAGCCAGAACTAGAGACATGGGTGAAGGGAATGAAAAAAGATGGGCAGGTATGCAGCATGAGATTTTATAGGGCGACAGTAGCTCAGTTAGTAGAGCATTGGCCTTTGAGCTGTCGTTGTGTCCTTAGGCAAGACACTTCAGCCCCATTGCCTAGAATGAGTCTGGTGTGTGTGTGTGAATGGTTGGTGGTGGTCGGAGGGGCCGATGGCACAGACTAGTTGCCTCGCTTCTGTCAGTGTGCCCCAGGGCAGCTGTGGCTACATTTAGAAAGAATAAGCGTCTGAGTGTCCACAAAAGCGCTATACAAAACCGATGCATTATTATTATTATACCAGAAGCATCAAAGTCCTCCTCTGATCATCTGTTAGCTTCAACCTTCACCAAAACATCGAGTGGAAAATCACCTCCCTATTGTTGTCATGATGATTTCAAAAAGAGATCCATAGGGTTTAATACTGAGTTCCATCCTTGTGATTTGAAAGTTACGTACCTCAGCTTTAATGTTACTAAAACCTAAAGATAAATATTTCTTTTGCAGGGTATGGATCTCAAATAGTTGCCATCAAATTAAAAAATTCACATGAACCATCCACAACTATCAGAATTGTATTAAGACCTGAGAACCTGGATCCCTGACCTTCACAGTGAGACGACCATAGACGACCGAACCCTAACGCTACCTTGTTCTTCGGCATGGCTCGGTGTAGTTCTCGGTGTAGTTCTTTGAGGAGAAGACGAGAGTGTGTGAAGTCTGGCTCGGTCTGTGTAAGAAATATGATGTTAATAATCTCGGTAAAACTAAATACGGCCGGGAAAACATGAATAAAGCCCCGGTGAAGAGCCCGTTAGCTCCTGTTAGGTAAATCGAAAGTTACGACTGTAACTACGGTTCTATGAATCCTGGATGACCGCCAGAGGCGGTGCTTTAAGCACTGAATGATCATCTTTGAGCATGCGCAGTTCGAGAATTAAATGACAACAAAGTCACTTGTGACCTCCTCGTGACCCCCGTGAGTCTATATAGGTCACGTGACACGAGAGCCCAGCCCCTTTTCACCTCGCAAGCAGACCGTGGCCCTGAGGGACTGGACGCTCTGGCGGTCATCCAGGATTCATAGAACCGTAGTTACAGTCGTAACTTTCGTTCTATTTCATCCTTCCTGACCGCCAGAGGCGGTGCTTTAAGCACTGGATGACAAATACCAACAAGGTCCCGAGGGGTCAACGAGAGGTACACACCCACCTCATAACGTCGAATGGTGCCGCAGCACCCCCTCCAGCGGACCAGGGACCGCCACATTGACCCTGTAGTACGTCGCGAAGGTAGACTGCGACGTCCAGGAGGCGGCCGCACAGACTGCGTCCAGAGGCACACCGCTCATAGCAGCCCAGGAGGCAGAGACGCCCCTGGTCGAATGACCCCTCACCCCAGCAGGCAGCTGGCGCCCATGGGAGAGGTAGCACTGTCTGATCACCTCGACAACCCACTTGGAGAGGCGCTGAGACGACAGAGCCTGGCCCTTCCTGGGGCCGGCATAGCACACGAAGAGGCGATCCGACCCCCGCACACTGGCTGTGGCAGTTCGGTAAACCTCCAATGCCCTGACAGGACAAAGCGGTTCTACAGAGGCCCCAGTACCAAACCGGGCCAAACTAAGTGGAAGGACCGCACCAGCGAACACCTTTGGGCGGAAGGAAGCTTCCGGCCAAAGCGTAACCCCCAGACCATTGGGATCCCATCGGCAGCAGGACTCGTGAAACGACAGAGCCTGCAGTTCACTCACACGCTTACCCGAGGCCATAGCCAGAAGAAAAGCGGTCTTAAGGGAGACCCACTTCAGGTCCACACGATCCAGGGGCTCAAACGGGGGAGCCCGCAACGCCTCCAGAACCAACGTCAGGTCCCAGGGTGGAACCATGGGCCGTCGCGGGGGATGAAGACGGCGAGCACCCTTCAGGAACAGGGAAACATCCCCGTTACTCCCCACCGTAGAACCGGCCACACCCTCATGAAAACAAGATATTGCCGCCACATATACCTTGAGTGTAGAGGGAGAGCGCCCCCGGTCCATGAGATCCTGGAGGAACTGCAGAATGGCAGGCACCGGGCAACGCACAGCATCATGTCCCCACGTCAGACACCACTTGTCAAACAGCTTCCATCGGTTGGCGTACTGTCGTCGAGTGGAAGGCGCCCTGGCATTGGAGATGGTGCGGGCGACCCCCTCACCATACCTCGGGACAATTGCACTGGACCCCGCAGTGGCCACACCCAGAGCTGAAGCCGCTCGGGACTGGGGTGCAGGAGCCTCCCCCCCAGCTGGGACAGGAGATCCCGCCGTCGGGGCAGCGGTCTCTGAGAGCCGCAGCAGAGCCTGTGCAGCAATGGAAACCAGATCCGGCCCGGCCAGAACGGAGCTACCAGGAGAAGGTGGTGCCCCTCCTGGAGAACTCTCAGGAGGGTTGGGAAAATTAGTGGCAGAGGAGGGAAAGCGTAGAGCAGCGTACTGGGCCAATCGTGCGCCAGCGCATCCAGGCCCAGAGGGCAAGCCACGTCCGTCAGGGAAAACCACAGCGGGCAGTGGGTCGACGCCTCCGACGCATACAGGTCCACCTCGGCCCGGCCAAACATAGTCCAAATGCTGGCCACCACCTCCGGGTGGAGACGCCACTCCCCGGGCTGGGGGCGTTGGCGGGACAGAAGGTCCGCCACCACATTGTGCACCCCCGGAATGTAGGAGGCCCTCAAGCTTGCCAAGCGAAGGGCTGCCCACAGCAGTAGCTCCCGGGTCAACCGCAACAGCGTCACGGACCGGGTACCCCCCAGGTGGTTGACGTGATGCACCACCGTGGTGTTGTCGGACCGCACCATGACATGCCGGCCACGCAGTCGTGGGAGGAAGTGCGCGAGAGCAAGGCGGACCGCCATGAGCTCCAGGGCATTCACATGCAGCCGGCGGACCTCTGGAGACCAAGTCCCCTGTGCCATCCTGCCCTGCCACGTCGCCCCCCAACCAGTGAGGGACGCATCGGTGTGCACCACCTCCCTCCGAGACGGAAGAGAGCCCAGTGGGACACCACCCTCGATCCAAGACCTGTCCCGCCAACAGGATAGGGACTCCAGGCACTGCGGCGAGAGCAGGAGTCTGCGTCGCCTGTGAACGAAGCGTGACGGATCTAAACGTAATCCGTTCAGCCACATCTGCATGGGACGAAGGGAGAGAAGGCCCAGCGGCACAACGGCAGAGGCCGCCGTCAACTTCCCCAAGAGGCTGAGGTACAGCAGGAACGGCAACGCCCGACCCCGCTGAAATCTGTGGAGCATGTCCACAATGCCATCGACCCGCAGAGCCGACGGACGGGCGGTCATGGCAACCGAATCTAGGTACACCCCCAGGAAAGTCGTTGCCTGAGCCGGAACCAAATTGCTCTTGGCAACATTGACCCGCAGACCCAAACGCCCAACGTGGTCGAGGACAGTCTGAGTGTCCCGAACGGCCTGGGCACGACTGGAGGCGCACACGAGCCAGTCGTCCAGATAAGGCAGGACCCTCAACCCCCCTGCCTGAAGAGGGGCCAAGGCCGCCGCAACGACCCGGGAAAAGACCCTGGGGGACAGGGACAGCCCGAAGGGGAGCACCCGAAATTGATAATGCCGCCCCCGGAAAGCAAAACGCAGAAACCGCTGGTGATGCGGGGCAATCGGCACGTGAAAATAAGCATCCTTCAGGTCGATGGATGTGAACCAATCGCCCGGAGATATTGCCTGCAACAGCTCCGGGGTCCTCAACATCCGAAACGATATCGTCTTGAGGAACACATTGAGGCCCCGAAGGTCCAAAACCGGACGCCAGTCGCCAGTTTTCTTCGGAACTAGAAAATAAACGAATAAAAGCCCCCTGGGTCCAGCAGGGGGTCCACAGGCACTATAGCCTCCTTGTCCAGCAAGGTGGCAATCTCTACGGACAGTGCCAGTGTCCTGGCCCGGTCGTGGATCACAGTCCACCTGACGGGGCCAGGGACCGCAGGCCGACGGTGGAACTGGAGAGTGTACCCCCGGGAGAGCGTGCCCAACACCCAGAGGTCTGAGGTGTGAGCGGTCCAGTAGTCCAACTGCTCCCGGGTAAAAGAACCCACCGTCAGCGGCCTGACCTCATCTCCGAGCCCCCCGTGGCCTGGAGACCCCGGGGGGGCGCCCGAGAGCCCGTGCGTTCTGGGGAGGCCGCCGGGTAGAAGGCCGAAAGCCCCTATGGTCAGGCGGAGGGACACCTGGTGGCCGCGAACCCCTAGGAAAGGGCTGTGGAACACCATACACCCGCGGAGTAGCAGCAGGAGGGGCAACCCGTGGAGAGGCCCGCCGGTGCAGCCCAACCAGCTGGTCACGCGTCCGGGTGGCCTGCGCCGTGCGCTCCAGCGCCTGAAGCGCAGCCGCACCAAAGAGCTCCCCCGGAAGCACCGGAACACTCCGGAGAGTCCTCCTACAGGGCTCAGTGAGGGGTGACTGTGCCAACCACACCTGCCGACGTGTCTGAGTCAGGGTCGACAGCAGGCGGCCCAGTTCCCGCGACATAAGGGCAAAAGCGTGGAGGGACGCATCCAACAGTCCCTGGGTCGGGGCATCGACTGTAGAAACCTCCAGTGCGTTCGAAAGGCCCAGTAACAAATGGGAAAGAGAGTTCCCCATGCGCCCCATTCGCGCCCCAGTATCGTACGCCCGACACAGCAACTCATCTGTGAGGCGACACTGGGGGTTAGGGCACCTCGGATCAGACCGGAGGGCCTCCTCCGGCGAAACAATCAAGGAGGCCACTGCCGGCTCGACGGGCGGCATGTGGCCCAAGCCAAATTTGGGGGCATCCTGCATTGAAGCCAAAGCCCGGCCATCGGACGTCAGTCTGGACATAGCCTTTGTATCCGTCCAGCATGCATGTAACTCCTTCACGTACTCCATCGAAGGAGGCACAGAGACAGAGGGAAGGGGCCGCTGTCGCTTAAAGAAGGCGCTACCAGACGGCACAGTTCCCTGCGGGACATCAAGCCCCAAGTGGGCGAGTGCAGAGCGCCCACTCTCCTCTCCGTCCAGGCACCCCGTGGACGCCAAGGAACCAGCGTCAGAGGCCCTGGAATCAACCTCCTCAGGGTCAAGACGAAAATGAGTGTCAGATGCAGCCACAGACATCACATCGTCCTCCCACAACGGGGCCAGGTCCGGCACAGGAGGGCCCAGCACATGTACCCCCGAAACCGGGCGAACATCCTGCAGAAGTGCCTTCATTTGGGCCATCTCGGACGCAAGGTGGTCCATCCGTGCAGACAACCCTGCAGGCACCCTACGCTTCCTCTGCGGAGCCGAGGAAGCAGTGGACACAGCCGCACGCTTAGACCCAGAGGGCTGGGCAGCAGGTGGCAGGCAGGGCGGCACCTCCGAAGAGCCCTCATCCGGATCCAGGGCCGCCAGGCGCTCCACGCGTACAGAGAGTGGCAGTACCGCACAATTGGAGCAGGCGTCCACCGTCAGGCCCTGTCTCAAATGCCCGATACCCAGGCACGCAGGGCAGAGGTCATGGCCATCCTCGCGGGGCATCGGTGCCATGCACCCACGACAGCCCAGCGACTCGTGCATAACGAGCGCGCCTGAACTGGTGGAGCAATGTAAGCAGAGTCGGGTCGAGCTGAAAAACGCCACAGACGACTCAAGCACACAGAGAAAACCAAACAACCGAACAGAGGGCGAACAGTCTAACTGTTGGTAAAGAAAAACTAATGTTAGCATAAACTGAAAACAGAAGAGCCAACGAAAATGTACAAACACACAATGTGGGCCAACGAAAGAGTCCGGTGGGGCAGAGAACGCCACACTCGCCTCCACAACCAGAGCAATATCAACAAACTGAACAGAAATCGAACAGTATAACTGCTGATATAAAAATACGCTAGTACAAACTGAAAACAGAAGACTAGACGAAATAATGCACACACGCACCCAACGTGGGCTGAGTAAAGAGCCAGGTGTGGCAGAGGACACCACCCACGGCTCCCCAAACAGAGCAAAAGTAACACACTGAACAGAGGACGAACAGTATAACTGCTGATAGACGAAACAAAACGCTAGTACACACTGAAAACAGGAGACTAGACGAAAATGTACACACAAACACAACGTGGGGCAGGGAACGCCACACACACGACTCAATTAACACCGGCCAAACAGAGCATAAACACAAACTGAACAGAAAACGAACAGTATAACCGTGGACATCAAACGTCAGCTCACTCCGAAAACGGAAAGCTTAAACTAAAAATCACACGCACACACGTGGACAGAACTCACCGGTGAGCCGGCGGAGCTTGCACAGCCCCTGAGGGGCGAGATCCACCCGCTGCCTCGACGCGAGTCACGGAGCTGATGTGCAAGCAGGACGTATGTGGTAGGTAGGTAGCACAAACGCTCAAACACACACGCACAACTCAAACCTGCGCTGCGAGAAGAAGAAAAGAGGCTGGGCTCTCGTGTCACGTGACCTATATAGACTCACGGGGGTCACGAGGAGGTCACAAGTGACTTTGTTGTCATTTAATTCTCGAACTGCGCATGCTCAAAGATGATCATTCAGTGCTTAAAGCACCGCCTCTGGCGGTCAGGAAGGATGAAATAGAACCATGGTTAGGTCCCGTTAGCTCCTGTTAGCCCACACTCGGTGCAGCGATGCTAAAATGTAAACATAGGTACTTCCGGTTTTCAAAATAAACTCAGCAGACCAGTTTCAAAATAAACTGAGCAGGATGATGGAAATGTGACTGTAGTATGTGTGTGATAGTGTACACACAACACCAAACTGTCCCAGGTCACAGTGTTGCATCATGACAGACTTATTTATGTTTCATGTTTCACAGCTGACGAAGAGGAGGTGTGTGTGTGTGTGTGTGTGTGTGTATGCACAAGTTTCCTTAGCTGATAAGAGGAAAATATCATTACAAGACTACTTTAATTTCACATGAGGTTAAAAAAACACTTGAAAAAATTTCAAATGGAACAGATAATACATTTGAGTAGATCAGATACTTTTTAGGCAAATGTCCAACACTGGATTCATGAGTGGACGGTGGCACCACATGATATTTTGACACTTTCATTAACAAAAAAAAGCAAATACCTGATGCTTAAAAAAAAAAAAATACAGTCTATGGTGGTTACACATAGAGGAGAGGGACTACATTTATATGGTCTGTTTTGATTTTATAGAATAATATTGTGATTTTGGGCGTGACGTCATTGACCCACATATGTATGATGCAGTATTGTATTGTGTCCAGTAGGGAGAGCTCTCCGCTACCTGTAGAGTTCTCGCTGTGTCTGTTTAAACTGCTGCTGTCTCTGATCCATGACTCTGTCAGTAGAGACCAGTGGGAGAGACCAGAGAGAGAACAGAGAGACCAGACAGAGAGACCAGTGGGAGAGACCAGAGAGCGAACAGAGAGACCAGACAGAGAGACCAGTGGGAGAGACCAGAGAGAGAACAGAGAGACCAGACAGAGAGACCAGTGAGAGACCAGAGAGAGACCAGAGAGACCAGACAGAGAGACCAGTGGGAGAGACCAGAGAGAGAACAGAGAGACCAGACAGAGAGACCAGTGGGAGAGACCAGAGAGAGAACAGAGAGACCAGAGAGAGAACAGAGAGACCAGACAGAGAGACCAGTGAGAGACCAGAGAGAGACCAGAGAGAGAACAGAGAGAGACCAGAGACAGACCAGAGAGAGACTTAAGAGAAACCAGAGAGACCAGAGAGACCAGAGAGAGACTAAAAGCTACAAAAGTTTGCTTCTGACTTTAATAAAGGTAACTGTCATAGGTAAGTAAGTAAAGTTTACTTATATAGCACCTTTCACAGACCAGGGTCACAAAGCCCCTTTACAATTAAACACACAGTATAAAAAAATAGTGCACATTCACATCAGTTCTAAAAACATAGTTGTGAATCACATTTCAGATAGGCCTATGTACAGTGAAGCGAGAAAGCCTTTATGCCCGAACAAATAAGTCTTAAGTTGTGACTTGAAATAGTCCACTCACTCTAACATGTGTAGAGACATGTTGTACTAGTGGTTACTTGATGTATTTGATGTTGGAGTATACTTGAACATACATAAACACGCATACATGAGCAAGAGAACCTGATGCTGACCTTTTAACTCTGACCTCTGACTCTATGGTAGTCTCTGGTAACTAAGCGTCCCCCAGACCCTACAGTCCCCATCGTTGATATTCAGCTGGTGTCCTCTGTCGCTGGAGCCTTTTCTTCCTCAGACAGAAACACTTGACTCTTTTTCAGTGAATTTCTTTTCGATTGGGTTAATAAATCAGGACTTGTTCAGATTTTTACAATTGAGGCTTTATATGTCACATGCTCTCAGGAGGGAGGCTTGATATGTCACATGATCTAAGAAGGGTACATGTCTTTGTGGACTCAGAGGTGATTACTAAGGTCCATCCATCCAAGCTAAATAAAAGATAACATACACTGGGTGAGACAACCTACAACATAAAGATACTTAGTATATAAAACATTAATGTAAATTGAAGCCAGCATTAGTATGACACAGTAAGAATGGGAGGAGACAACATGATCCCAACCCTAACTATGTGGAGGACCATGGGAGAACCATGTGGAGGACCATGGGAGACACGATCCTATCCCTAACCATGTGGAGGACTATGGGAGACACGATCCTTACCCTCACCATGTGGAGGACCATGGGAGACACGATCCAAACCCTAAACATGTGGAGGACTATGGGAGACACGATCCTTACCCTAACCATGTGGAGGACCATGGGAGACACGATCCTAAACCTAACCATATGGAGGACTATGGGAGACACGATCCTTACCCTAACCATATGGAGGACTATGGGAGACACGATCCTAACCCTAACCATGTGGAGGACTATGGGAGACACGATCCTTACCCTAACCATGTGGAGGACCAAGAGAGAAGCATGTGGAGGACCATGGGAGACACAATTCTAACCCTAACCATGTGGAGGACTATGGGAGACACAATCCTAACCCTAACCATGTGGAGGAACAAGGGAGAACCATGTGGAGGACTATGGGAGACACGGTCCTAACCCTAACCATGTGGAGGACCAAGGGAGAACCATGTGGAGAACTATGGGAGACACGATCTTTACCCTAACCATGTGGAGGACCATGGGAGACACAAGCTGCTGGAGACAGGTCTGAGTGCAGAGACTTTATTTAAATGTAAATGTTGCAGGTAGCATTAGCACATTAGCAATGCACTGCATGTCTACAGCCAAACATGATACATATTGATAGAGAGAAAAACAGTGAAAAACGCAACTGACGTCTAAGATAACATAAGAGATCTTTTATTTGTGCCACAGTGAGGAAATTTCAATCTTGCAGAGCACATACAGGACAGTAGTAAGAGCACACGTTTGACTTCAAGCGTTTGTTGTGTCATTGTCCTCCAAATAAATTAATGGAAAGATCCATCCATCCATCCATCTTCTACCCTTTAATCCATTTCTGGGTCAGGGGGGTGGCAGTCAGAGATGCCACCCAAGTCTCATAGCACCAGCCCCTCACTGACCCTCTGCAGGTGGTGAGTCCACAGGAGGACGGCTGCTCTCTGAGTGTGAGCATAGCCTTGATCTTTCAGTGGGGGCTTTGGGCAAAGTGGGGTTAAGTGTCTTGCCCAAGGACACAACAACAGCAGTCATCAGTGGGAGTCGGTGGAGAAGGTGCAGAGGTGGGAATTGAACCCACGACCTTCTGGCCTTAAGGCCAATGCTCTACCAACTGAGCTACTGTCGCCCCTAATGGAAAGATAATAAATGCAAAATAGTACCTGGAAGGCTCCCAGTCCTTTTGGTTGATTGCCGCTGGCTATCGTCGTCTTCTGTCTTCCTGATGAGCAGGTATCAGATAAAAAGACACATTCATCAGCACCGGGCGGATGAATTTAACCAGTACTTCAACCGGTTTGATTCTCCCCCCTCTCCATCTGCCCCCCCTCCCGCCCCCACCTCTTCACACGTCCCCAGCCCAGTGGATACCGCCCAGTGGACACTGCCTCCGGCTGCCCCTGGCCCTCCTGCCCCCACATCCCCAGCCCCCACCTCGGACAGTACACCCCGCCCCCCCCCCCCTCTCCATCACACCGTACCAGGTGAGGAGTCAGCTCCAACGACTGAAGCAGAGGAAATCCGCAGGACCGGACGGGATCAGTCCCAGGCTGCTGAGGACCTGTGCAGACCAGCTCTCTGGGGTCCTCAGCTACATGTACAACCTGAGCCTCAGCCTGGAGAATGTCCCTGTCCTGTGGAAGACCTCCTGTGTGATCCCGGTTCCTAAAACTGCACATGCCAAGGAACCGGCTCACTACAGACCAGTCGCACTGACCTCCCACCTGATGAAGACCATGGAGCGGCTCATCCTCACCATCTCCGCTCCGTGGTCAGCCCCACCCTGGACCCGCAGCAGTTCGCCTACAGGCCCAACATCGGAGTAGAGGTGGCCGTCATCTACTTCCTGCAGAGGACGCTCTCCCACCTGGAGCCCGCCGGGAGCGCTGTGAGGGTCATGTTTTTTGACTTCTCCAGCGCTTTCAACACCATCAGGCCGGCACTGCTGCGGGGGAAGATGGAGGACGCGGGAGTGGACAGTAGCCTCACTGCATGGACCATCAACTACACTTCAGACCGACCACAGTACGTGCGGCTGCGCAGCTGTGAGTCTGAGGTGGTAGTCTGTAGTACTGGGGCCCCTCAGGGCACTGTCCTCTCACCGTTTCTCTTCACCATCTACACCTCAGACTTCACACACGACACACACAGCTGTCACCTGCAGAAGTTCTCCGACGACTCCGCCATCGTGGGCTGTGTGTCTGAGGGGAACGAACTGGAATATGGGTCGGTTATCACAGACTTTGTCGACTGGTGTGAGAGCAACCACTTGTGCTGGAACACCAGTAAGACCAAGGAGATTGTAATCGATTTCAGGAGGAAACCACTTTCCCACACGCTGCTGAACATCCAGGGGGAGGACATTGAGCTGGTGGACAGCTTCAAGTACCTGGGTGTTCACATTAACAATAAACTGGACTGGCCCCATAATACAAACGCCCTGCACAAGAATGGCCAAAGTCGCCTCTTCCTTCTGAGGAGGCTGAGGTCCTTCGGAGTGAGCAGGCCTCTGCTCAGGACTTTTTATGACTCTGTGGTAGCCTCTGCCATTTACTACGCTGCCGTGTGCTGGGCCCCAGGCAGCACAGAGCGGGACAGGAGTAGACTGAACAAGCTGGTCAGGAGGGCCAGCTCCACTCTGGGCTGCTCCCTGGACTCTGTGGAGGAGGTGAGGGACAGGAGGGTGCTAGTCAAAGTCACCTCCATCATGGACAACACCTCCCACCCACTGCACAGGACTGTAGAGGAGCTGAGGAGCTCCTTCAGTGGAAGACTGAGACACCCTCAGTGCAAGAAGGAGCGCTACCTCAGGGCCTTTATCCCCACTGCTGTCAGACTGTACAACAAGTCACTTTAAGTCACTGTATAAGACTGAAAGAACCTGCACTACTATTGACACTATCTCTGATTGCCACTTTAAATTGCCACTTTTTATTGTACATAATATATCCTGTATTTAACATGTTTGCACATTTCCTCTCTTTTTGCACAATCTGAGTGTTCCTATCCATGCCAAATGTGACATGTAAATTTCTCCTCTGTGAGATAAAAAAAGCATATATTATTTGGCTTATGTCCTTGCCTGTTTGTACGACCAACCGCACTGCCAAATATCACAGTTTTGGCTGTTATTCGATGAAACAGGTTGTTTTGGTCAAGTTTCCGAAGGCTCGCAGTTAGACTTCCGCGTCTGTCATGGAGAGTTGGCAAGGTCGGGTCGTCACATGCACGGGGTCAATACCTTTAAGTGAAACATGTGAAATGGGAACATTTGAGTGAAACACGTGAAATGGAAACATTTGCTTGAATCTGTGATTTTGTGTCCAATATGTGTCCAACATGTGCTTTTTGTAAAAGTACATACTTGAGTATGTTAGAGGGAACTGCATCCTTCACAGGGTCCTTCAGGATCTGGACCGATCGTCTTTCGGTCAGCCATTCAGGGTGAGTCCTTTCCCTCAGCAGCTGGTTCGGTTCATTTGTGCTGCTAAGCGCTCATGGAGTGCTGTGAGTTTCCTCTCCAGTTTTTCCGACTCTTTCTTGGATGTCTTCCTCTGTGACTGTAACTGAGGCAAACTGACTGGTTGGCAGTTTGGAGTGCTTCAGGTATGATCATCTGGCCGTGCTTCTGTGGGCCACTTCTCTCCGAGCCTCCAACCGTCTTTTCCATGGTGGGTATTGTCCATGGCTCCCATGGTAGCTCCTATGACCAAGCATCTTTAGGATCACTGCTGCTGAAGTGTATAATCACTAGTTTCAGTGATTGTGGTGGTTGGTATTGCCCTCACTGCTTCATGCACACTTTCTATGAGACTTTCAGGTGGTACATCACACAACCACTGTTCCGGTGTCGGGGTTGCCCTGTACCCATTTTTGCCATTATCTTATCCTTCATGTCAGTCACTGCCTCGTGTACCCAATATGTACCCAATATCTGGTTGGAGAGTTGGTGTTGGTGGGACCTCCCCTCTGACCTCGGCATCTGTAGCACCTGTGGAATCGTACAATCATCAATCTCAAGCTGTGATAGCAGTTGCTATGTATGGATGATGGAGCACTGAGCCACTATGTTGTTTCGGGGTCACCCGTTATTGTGGGTTTCGAAATAACCAAATCTAATTTAACAGATGTTTAGTATCTTAATATCTCTGTATTTTATACTGTTAATAATAGTATCTTATTATTATTCTTGTTTTTAGATTGTTACTTTGATGTTATTTTTATTATGAAATACTATGCGAGCTACAGTGACAACATTCACTTGGATCAATAAAGTCTCTAAAGTCAGTCTAACCTCTCTGGCCAGGATTATTCGAGTAGTAGCATTCCAACAGAGCACCTGTCAGAGCACAGATGTTGCATCTCGCCCACTTTTGCTTTGTTCCAGTGGCCCATAGGTCGGTGTTCTTTTGCGTTCAATACATTTTCTATTTTTGAAGGAAAATGAAAAATTGAAAAAAAGCTATTTTGCACTTTCAGGCACACGGCAATATACAAAAATGACCATTTTGGTTTTTCATTTCTTATAAGACATGTATATTGTAATAACCAGATTTGGGAACTATAAAATGCAATAATTAACCTTTTTTATTGTGCATTTAATACATTTTGGTGTCAATCTCTTACCGGAAGTGAAACGAGTTTGTTTACTTCAGCCCGGGACCATGGATCTATTATAATAACTGGATAGGGTATTACTAGCTTGTAGCTGAATAACTCATGTGCTCAGGGGATTCTCGCGGTACTGCAGACTGAACCAGACTAAATTCACGTGGGCTACCCAGAAATTTTCCCCATAGAACTCAATGTAAATTAAAACAGCTCAACTTCAGCTGACAGAGAACGTACAGCTTTCATAAAGGTCGGATTTTGTGGGGATTTTAGTGTCCCTTGTCATCCTGAACTTTTTTTCTTCTTAAATCCTTCGGTTTTCTTTAAATCCACACTTTAGTGCCACAAACTCTGCTCGTCTGGCTCTGGCTCTAACTCCCGCTCTGATGAACTGCTCTGATTGGTCAGAGCGCGGCCGAGCCCCTCTGTGCACGTGCGTGAGACCCACACACGTGTTTGGCGCAAGGCATCATGGGAAATCATCCACTGCGCAGAACCGGGAGGACCAGACGATGCCCAAATACAGGCGAGTTTCCCATAGATCTTTGCGAGTTCCAGGCGACTTCCGCTAATATTTCAGCCCCCATGCCGTCACAAAGCGTCACTGAGCACTGTCACTCCCGTATTCGTCCCGGAAACCGGATTTGTCCGGAAGTTCAGTTTGCACATGTCAAAAAGTTTAATATGTCCTTAAGTGGTGACTGGTTAAGTTTAGGCGTCTGATTAAGATGGTTAAGTTTAGGGTTAAGGCTGGGTTGGGGTTATTTTATGGGAATGGCTGGTTAAGTTTAGGCATGAATAGGTAGTTTTTAAAATTTTTTTTTTAGATTCCGTGACGTAATCTACTGCTGCGTATGCTCATTGGATCAAACTGAACTTCCGGACGAATCCGGTTTCCGGGACGAATCCGGTTTCCGGGACGAATCCGGTTTCCGGGACGAATACGGGAGTGACAAGCACAACCATTCATTTGAATAGGGCGCCATCTTGGATTGCCGGGGCTTGCCCGGGACCCTGTGGCTGCTGTGGTCAGACGCCAGTCTTTATGAACTGCGTGAAGCGGAGAGAGCGGTGAGATGTCAGAGAAAATATAGTAATTTACAGACATTGCTTATCTCGTGTGAATGCACTTCAAAATCTCAGACGTCCTCCACGATTATCGCAAATTGCCAGGGGTCCACAGGTAATACTAATCCCGTGCAAATAGGGCTAAAGTAATCGAACTCGTTTCACTTCCGGGTAATCGAATGACGCCGAAATGTATTAAATACAAAATAAAAGGGTTAATTATTTAATTATCTAGTTCACAAATCCCGTTATTATTTGTTAAATGTCTTATAAGAAATGAAAAAAACCAAAATGGTCATTTTTGTATATTGCCGTGTGCCTGAAAATGCATTAATCCATTTCCCTTCAAAAATGGATTGAACGCAAAAGTACTGCATTGGTAGAGATACCAGAGGAGCCAAACACCAGCTCCTGGTTGACAGAACAGTCGCCCAAGACTGCCGGTCAAGACACACTAACCTGTGCACAGCCTGGTTGTACAATATCAACAGGGCTCTAAGGGACTTCGTAGCAAACTCAATGGGGATGTGGAAGACCACCCTTGAGGAAAATGGCAAGCCGCTTGCACAAGTGACTATCAAATGTGGGATCTACCAAGGAGATGCTCTGTCCCCACTGCTGGGCTGCATAGGCCTGAACCCTCTAAGCCAAATATTCGACCAGACTGGTCATGGATACTGCCTAAGGAATGGAGCAAAGTTCAGTCACCTCTTCTACATGGATGACATCAAGCTGTACGGAAAAAGAGCAAGCAAGACATAGACTCTCTGATCCAAACCACCAGGATCTACAGTCATGACATCGGGATGATTCAAATTAAGATCTAGATATCCTTTATTCATCCCACAGTGGTTCTATAACTTGCGTGGCATCACAAGTTATAGAACAGTAGGAGGAGCACAGCACAAGATAAGATAAGTGAACATTAGCTGTACTAGATAAAATAAAACAGAGGCTGTATCCGGACGTCCACACTATACCCTATCCACTCACTCACGATATAGTTCAAAGTCTCTAACTCTAGCATCAATAAAAAGTATAAAAACTATCTTGAAAATGATAATAATAATAATAAAAAGAAGTGTAAAAGTTTTACATTTGGCAATATAAGAGGCAAGTATAAAGTGCTGTGTATTCTAGTGCAAGCAAAGTGTAGTTATATGTTAGCATCTGTACATTAGCAGCAGTATCCCAACTTAGCAAGTCGGGAAAACTTGCTAAGAAGTACAGATGATGGGTGAGAAACCTTCCTTTGCTTTGACTAATCCCTGTACGACTGAGAGTTTACACAAAATTAGCAGCAGTATGTTTACATCTGTACATTAGCAGCAGTATGTTTACATCTGTACATTAGCAGCAGTATGTTTACATCTGTACATTAGCAGCAGTGTGTTTACATCTGTACATGTTAGCAGCAGTATGTTTACATCTGTACATTAGCAGCAGCATGTTTACATCTGTACATTAGCAGCAGTATGTTTACATCTGCACATTAGCAGCAGTATGTTTACATCTGTACATTAGCAGCAGCATGTTTACATCTGTACATTAGCAGCAGTATGTTTACATCTGCACATTAGCAGCAGTATGTTTACATCTGTACATTAGCAGCAGTATGTTTACATCTGCACATTAGCAGCAGTATGTTTACATCTGTACATTAGCAGCAGTATGTTTACATCTGTACATTAGCAGCAGTATGTTTACATCTGTACATTAGCAGCAGTATGTTTACATCTGTACATTAGCAGCAGTATGTTTACATCTGTACATTAGCAGCTGTATGTTTACATCTGTACATTAGCAGCAGTATGTTTACATCTGTACATTAGCAGCAGTATGTTTACATCTGTACATTAGCAGCAGTATGTTTACATCTGTACATTAGCAGCAGTATGTTTACATCTCTACATTAGCAGCAGTATGTTTACATCTGTACATTAGCAGCAGTATGTTTACATCTGTACATTAGCAGCAGTATGTTTACATCTGTACATTAGCAGCAGTATGTTTACATCTCTACATTAGCAGCAGTATGTTTACATCTGTACATTAGCAGCAGTATGTTTACATCTGTACATTAGCAGCAGTATGTTTACATCTGTACATTAGCAGCAGTATGTTTACATCTGTACATTAGCAGCAGTATGTTTACATCTCTACATTAGCAGCATGAGGCTCTGAGACACAGGGACTCAGTAAAGTGACAGTGACATGTGGTTATTGCTGGTATTAGTTAACTTAAGGATATTGCAACAAGTTGGCCGTGTTCATTAGTCCTCATTGTTTGTTGTACAGTCTGACAGCAGCAGGACGGAAGGACCTGCAGAATCTCTCCTTCACACATTGAGGATAAATAAGTCTGTCACTGAAGCTGCTCGCCAGCGCAGACAGAGTCTCCTGCAAGGGGTGACAGTCATGGTCCAGCATAGATGTTGCACCTGCTGCACTGTGTCCAGGGAACAGCCCAGGACTGAGCTGGACTTCCTGATGACCTTGTCCAGCTTCTTCCTGTCCCTCTCTGTGATGCTGCTGTTCTAGCAGACCACACCGTACAAGAGGCTGATGCCACCAGAGTCATAGAAGGTCATTAGGAGTGGCCCCCTGCACTCCAAAAGACCTAAGCCTCCTCAGCAGGTAGAGTCGACTCTGGCCCTTCTTGAAGAGGGCATTTGTGTTATGAGTCCAGTCCAGTTTGTGGTCCAGATGAACACCGGGGTACTTCACTGGATGTTCACTGGGTCTAGCGCGGTCGAGTGACGTCTGCGGAAATCCACCACTATCTCATGTCATTCGGACACAAGAAATGTAGCAAGATGGGGACAAAGTAGTCCTCACAGAAGGGATCTCACTCCTAGAGGGAACAATAGCAGATGTTGAGGTATCTCGGTATACCACAGGCAAATGGCAAAGTGGAAACTGCGAAATACCTCCAGGGAATAAGGCAAGACCTAAGAGCCGCCTCACTGGCAAGAACAATGCCCGGGCAACGTCCCTGCCAGTGATCAAATACCCAGCTGGAAAAATAAGGTGATCAAAGAAAGAGATTCAGACCACGGATGTTAAAACTTGAAAGCTCCTCACCATGCATGGCGGGTTCCATGCAAAATCCAGCACCCTGAGACTGTACGAAAGCTACAAAGAAGGAGGCCGAGGACTAGTGAGTGTGAGAGCCACTGTCCAGGACGAAACATCCAAACTCGATAACTACATCATGGAGAAGGCTAAAACGGATGATGTAGATACATAGATAGATAGATATATACTTTATTGATTCCAATGCACAATGCATTGGTCCCTTGCTCACAATCATACAAACATAAGATAGAGCTAAAAGATACAAAACAATTAAAAAAGACAATAAAAACATTACAATCATTAAAGGAGGAGTCAAGGCACTGCAAGACAATTCTCAAGACCGTCCAGCACCACCTCCTTTGTTTTGGCTGAGTTTAGCAGAAGCTTGTTCCGCTGACTCCACTCCACAAAGTTCTCAACCAAGCCTCTATACTCCCCCTCATCACTCCCCCTGACGCATGCCACGATTGCAGTGTCATCAGAGAACTTCTGCATGTGGCATGTACTCAGTGAATGTCTCAGACAGTGGTGAGATAAGGAGGTGCTGGAAGAGAGCCCATCATGGAAGGACAAGCCCCTACGCGGCATGTACCACCGGAGCATAGCAGAAGTGGCTGATCTCAAGAAGTCCTACCAGCAGCCAGAGGCACTCATCGTGGCTGCACAGGAGCAGGCCCTGAGCACCAGAGCGATAGAGGCCCAGATATACCACACCAGACAAGACCCAAGTTGTCGGTTGTGCAAAGGGGGACCTGAGACGATCCAACACATAACTGCAGGGTGTAAGAGGCTGACAGGGAAGGCCACCATGGAACGCCATAACCAAGTGGCTGGCATAGTGTTCAGAAACATTTGTGCAGAGTATGGGCTGGAAACCCTGAGGTCTAAATGGGAAACTCCTCCAAAGGTGGTGGAGAATGAGCGTGTGAAGATCCTGCGGGACTTCCAGATACAGACCGACCGAATGGTAATGACACCAACCTGACATCGTGGTGGTAGACAAAGGGCAGAAGAAAGCCGTGGTGGTGGACATGGCAATTCCAAGCGTAGCATCAGGAAAAAAGAGCACGGAAAGCTCGAGAAATACGAGGGCTCAGAGAGGAGCTGGAGAGGGCCTGGAGGATAAAGGTGACAGTATAGTGCCCATGGTGATCGGTGCACTCAGGGCCTGGTTCCCCCGAAGCTGGAGGAGTGGTTACAGCAGATCCCTGGAAAAACCTCGGAAATCTCGGCCCAGAAATGTGCAGTGCTAGGAACAGAAAACAGAAAAGATACTGTGCAGAACCCCCCCCATGTATGTATATATATATTATATATATTATGTATATATTATGTATATATATATATATATGTGTATATATATTATGTAGCTTAATTTTAGCACAACTGGCTTTAAACAAGATTTGCCAATGGGACAAAACAAAATGATCTATTTTTAAAATACAAGAAATGTTGTTTAGCATGTGTCGATGTAAGCGTTTATTACCTCATATTTTATCACTTTTTACTGTGTGGGTCTTATACATGTTTCAATTCACTGTTAAGGGTTTGAAAGTTACGTACCTCAGCTTTAAAATGTTATTTTGAAACTTCCCGGATGTGCGCGCGCTCAGACTGTCGCGCTCGTGCCCCCGGCTGCAGCCTGTTGCAGAAGCAGCGGCTCGAACTCAGGACGCGTCTCATCCAACAACTCCCCCCAACAAGGAACTACTACCGAAGAACCCTTACCCGGGACCCACGGACGGGAGCCTCAAAGTGCGAGGAGGTGGGTGCGGAGGAGGAGATGCGTGATGGGGAGATGTGTGAGGAGGTGCGTGAGGAGGAGAGGTGCGTGATGAGGAGATGAATGAGGAGGTGCGTGAGAAAGATGGTCAGATCTCGTTAGGTCTACATACTTTTAAATGTTGGACAGGATTAAGCTTCTGTATATCTTTTTATTCTAAGAAAATACTACCACTACTACTACTACTACTACTACCGGTACTACCACTACTACTGCTACTACTTCCACTGCTACTCCTACTACCACTACTACTACTACTGCTACTACTTATACTATTACTACTACTGCTACTATTAGTACCACTACTACTACTACTACTATACTAATGCTACTACTTACACTACTTATACTACTACTACTACTACTTCTACTGCAGAGTCCAAGAGAAATTCCCTTTCACATCCGTCAGAAAAACAAAATAAATAAACTAAGAAAATAAATAAATTCTCAGATAATGATTGTAGTGAAATAGGAGTTCCTCTCTGTGGTTCTCCTCTCTGTGGTTCTCCTCTCTGTGGTTCTCCTCTCTGTGGTTCTCCTCTCTGTGGTTCTCCTCTCTGTGGTTCTCCTCCCCTGGTTCTCATCTCTGTGGTTCTCCTCTCTCTGGTTCTCCTCACTGTGGTTCTCCTCTCTCTGGTTCTCCTCACTGTGATTCTCCTGGTTCTCCTCTCACTGTGGTTCTCCTCACTGTGGTTCTCCTCTCTTGTGCTCCTAAACCCTCAGATGTATCTCCACAGATTCTCCAGGCTGTAGATGGAGAATACTGTATTTTCACAGAGGAGGATTTAGCAACAGCGCAGGGACAACATCTGATTATAACAATGATAATAATCTACGTTTTATTTATAATGCACAAATGCATAATTTAAAATGGGGCAGGTGCACCCTTCTGGGTTCAGACCGCTCCCTCTGGTACCCTCTCTCTGGGTTCAGAGCCCTCCCTTTGTGTTCAGACCCCTTCCTTTAGGTTCAGGCTCCTCCCTCTGTGTTCAGACCCACCCTCTGCGTTCAGTAATTGCATTAGTTTAAGTTGTTTCTCCTGACGATGGATCAGCCTCTCACTAATGAACACATGCTCCAACATTAGATCTGTTAAAACACACACACACACACACACACACACACACACACACACACACACACACACACACACACACACACACACACACACACACACACACACACACACACACACACACACACACACACACACACACACACACACACACACACACACACACACACACACACGGATACAAGTTTAATATAGTGCACAGTGCTTTTTCTGAAGTGTTTGTATGTGTCATTTGTGGTGTATGTGTTTGCACCGGTTGTGGGCGTTTGGCGTCAGCATTGTCATGGCGACGCTCTCTTCCAATCATAGCTGGAGTTCAGTCTGTGTGATGTTTCTGTTTGATGCTTTGGCTTTCATGTGTACATCGTGCTCATACTGGTGACTGATGCACATCGCAATCCCTTATTTCATACAATGGTTCTTACTGGTTCACTCTGGTTCACACTGGTTCTTACTGGTCCTAACTGGTTCTTATTTGTTCACACTGATTCTTACTCGTTCTTACTTGTTCACATTTGTTCTAGCTGGTTCTTGCTGATTCTTATCTGTTCTTACTGGTTCTTACTTGTCCACACTGGTTCACACTGGTTTACACTGGTTCTTACTGGTTCACACTGGTTCACACTGGTTCACACTGGTTCACACTGGTTTACACTGGTTCTTACTGGTTCACACTGGTTCACACTGGTTCACACTGGTTCACACTGGTTCCCACTGGTTCCCACTGGTTCTTACTAGTTCACACTGGGTCACACTGGTCCACACTGGTTTACAATGGTTCTTTCTGGTTCACACTGGTTCACACTGGTTCACACTGGTTCACACTGGTTCACAGGGCCACATCTCATGTTAAAAGTGAGAAGTGAGTAGTTCTGGATCTGGGCCTAATCCATACCATACCAGCTTTATTTATAAAGCTCTTTTTAAAATGTTTACAGTTCGGCCTAAGTGCTGTACACAAAAAACAAACACATAGACTAAAATACATATATAAACAATTTTACCAAAGATCAAACATTATCAAAAGCAAGTGAAAAAAGATAAGATTTAAGAAGTGACCTGAGGGCACGAGAGGGAACATAGAGCAGAATAAGATCACAGAGGAAGGAGGGGGCTAGGCCATTTAAACATTTAAAAGTAAATAAAAGAATTTTAAAATCAATTCTAAAACCCACCGGAAGCCAGTTTAGACATTTTAAAACCTGTGTAACATGCTCACATCTGCAAGTTCCAGTTAAAAGTCGAGCTGCAGAATTTTGGACGAGCTGCAGCCGAGACTTTAACAAACAAACCTGTGACATCACTGACTGTGACATCACTGACTGTGACATCACTGACTGTGACATCACTGACTGTGACATCACTGACTGTGACATCACTGACTGTGACATCACAGGGTTGTGGTTCAGTTTCTTGTACTTTAGTTTAAAACTGTAGTTTTTAGAGTTCTGTGAAACTCACCTTTCCTGAGTTTGGCCCAATCACACGTGTCAGCTCGTCACGCTCTTTGGTTTGCAGTCTGTATGAACTGTGCTATATAAATAAAAGTGGATTGATTGATTGATGTGACCTCCGCTCATCTTGTGATCTCTGCTCGTCATGTGACCTTTGCTCAGATGGATTACAGGTTTCATGCATTTTTCACCTGTTTCTGATGTTCCACATGATGCATTATGGACACTTCAGTCAAAGTCACCAGAAAAATACATCCAGCTGCAGAAGCATAGACACAGACAGACAGACAGACACACGCACAGATAATTCAGTACCTGTAGTCCCAGCAGTAACTGCAGTACCTGCAGTTCCAGCAGTATCTGTAGTCCCAGCAGTAACTGCAGTACCTGCAGTTCCAGCAGTATCTGTAGTCCCAGCAGTAACTGCAGTACCTGCAGTTCCAGCAGTATCTGTAGTCCCAGCAGTAACTGCAGTCCCTGCAGTTCCAGCAGTATCTGTGGTCCCTGTAGTACCTGTGAAAAACCAGGATCAGGGCTCATATGGTATCTGAGGCTCGATGCCCAGTCTGATTTAACAGTTCTGTTCTAAACCATGTTTATCTTGTACATGTTTCTTTGTGTTTGCTTGTTCTATTCTGAGCTTTAGACCTAGAGCTGGAGCTCTAAGGTTAGAGCTTCATAAAACCCAAAACAAACTTAAATCCTCTGCCTCCAGGATTAGCTCCTTTCCTGCTTCAGCTCGGTCATGGTTGCTACAGTATAACAATGTCTAAACATGAGATAGACAGATAGATAATTTGTCTGATACAATGTTAACAACATGGTCAATAACGTGTCATGAAATTGCTAGAAACGAATACATTTAATCCTTTAATTTGATTTAAGTCAAATGAAAGTCAAATAAAAATGTAACAGCAATAACTAAAGTTCCACAGTGTTTGAGGCGTGTGGAGGAAACTCTTCAGTCTCTCAGTTCTTAATAGAGCGCAGCCTCCTTCCAGAGGGAGAACAGCTCATGGTGGAGGAGGAGAATGCCTGCCATGATCTGTGCCCTCCTCTCACAGCTCCTCACAGCTCCTTACAGCTCCTTACAGCTCCTCACAGCTCCTTACAGCTCCTTACAGCTCCTCTCAGCTCCTCACAGCTCCTCACAGCTCCTTACAGCTCCTCACAGCTCCTCACAGCTCCTTACAGCTCCTCACAGCTCCTTACAGCTCCTCACGGTGGCTGAGTGGATAGCACTCTCGCCTCTCAGCAAGAAGGTCCTGGGTTCGAATCCCGGTCGGACCAGGGCCTTTCTGAGTGGAGTTTGCATGTTCTCCCCGTGTCTGCGTAGGTTTCCTCCGGGTACTCCGGTTTCCCCTACCACTAAAAATATGTCCAATAGTTCTGGCATGTGCCCCCTGTACTGGCCCCGCTCCCATCTCTGTGTGGAGTGAGAGACAAGTGCCCAAAATTAACAATTGTAAACCGCTTTGAGACTCAGATCTGCAGTGAAAAGGCGGTATATAAATAAAATACTTACTTACTTACTTACTTACTCACAGCTCCTTACAGCTCCTTACAGCTCCTTACAGCTCCTTACAGCTCCTTACAGCTCCTCACAGCTCCTCACAGCTCCTTACAGCTCCTTACAGCTCCTCTCAGCTCCTCACAGCTCCTCACAGCTCCTTACAGCTCCTCACAGCTCCTTACAGCTCCTTACAGCTCCCCTCAGCTCCTCACAGCTCCTCTCAGCTCCTCACAGCTCCTCACAGCTCCTCACAGCTCCTTACAGCTCCTTACAGCTCCTTACAGCTCCTCACAGCTCCTTACAGCTCCTTACAGCTCCTCTCAGCTCCTCACAGCTCCTCACAGCTCCTTACAGCTCCTCACAGCTCCTTACAGCTCCTTAGAGCTCCTCTCAGCTCCTCACAGCTCCTCTCAGCTCCTCACAGCTCCTCACAGCTCCTCACAGCTCCTTACAGCTCCTTACAGCTCCTCACAGCTCCTCACAGCTCCTCACAGCTCCTTACAGCTCCTTACAGCTCCTCTCAGCTCCTCACAGCTCCTCACAGCTCCTTACAGCTCCTCACAGCTCCTTACAGCTCCTCACAGCTCCTTACAGCTCCTTACAGCTCCTTACAGCTCCTTACAGCTCCTCACAGCTCCTCACAGCTCCTTACAGCTCCTTACAGCTCCTCTCAGCTCCTCACAGCTCCTCACAGCTCCTCACAGCTCCTCACAGCTCCTTACAGCTCCTTACAGCTCCTCTCAGCTCCTCACAGCTCCTCTCAGCTCCTCACA